AATGTACCAGACCCTTATGATAAAGTGTGTACTTGGCAGGAGCAGCGTTCATGAACATCTCTTATTGACTCAGATGTCATCACAATGACATATTAGTCAGTACAATGTACAATATACAAAAATAACTTAGACTAAACTAACTACAAAATACATAATGTAAACAACATGACAAATGCAAAAATATAAGTTATAGAGTCAAGTTTAAAATACAGCATAAGAAAATGTAAAATATCAGTGTGATGTATCATTGACACAATGTTCATCCAACACATATACAATGTATGAATAAAGATCATTGCCAGGATTAATAAATGATTATGTCTGTTGAACTTGGTAACATGCACACATGGCACCACCAACATTTCTAGTACATGGTACAGATGCTAATACAAGATGGCAAGTAGAACCATGTAGAGCATTAATGGACATTATTATAACATGCACATCCAACATGCCATGCTACGGCCAGTAGCTATATTTATCACATGACAACATGCTGTACTTGGTAAGATGTGAACTTGGGATCACTTGAATCAAGGTACTTGGCACACATGCAAATATAAGATGGCAAGTATGCCAATGCAACATGTAAAATCAACATGCACATCCAACATGCGAACATGGCAGTACTCGCATTCTGATACATGTACACATGCTAAAACAAGATGCCATGTCCAACCAAAATAGTACATGTTCTAATCTAGAATAAATCTTGAATAATCACTTGCACATTCAACATGCCATGCTGAGCCAGTTGCTCTGTCTTTCACATGCTAGACCAGTAGCATGTTGTCAGAAAGGTTGCTAAAATATTGCCATGTTACTAACAAGTATATGCCAAGTGACTGCATCTTGTAGATAGTACCACTTGGCAACATGGCAGAACATGGCATGTTGGGACCCGGTGGCCATAAATGTGATTATCTCAAACAGTATGTGGCTAAGGAAAATGTGCATATTGTGGCTCTTTGCGAAACAGGCAATGTTACGGATGACGATTTAAAATTCAAAACTTTTGACTTAAATAATTTTGGACCGCCTAAATTTTGTACAAACCATGGAAGAGGTTTAATCTGATGGGGGCATGGCTCAGTTCAAATAAAAATTCTTGATCAGTTTAGATCGCTCGACCTTGTTAACTGTTTAGCTGAAGTTAAAGTGAGTCATAAAACCTATTTATATGGGTTTTTCTACAGATCACCCTCACAGAGTGCAAATGAAACTAGGCAGTATTTTTCTAACTTAAAAGTTAACCTGTCCCAGGTTATTTTGCATCCCAACAACGGGATCTTTATTAATGGCGACTTCAATGCCAGAAATGACTCTTGGTATGATCATGATCATGATAATAACAACTTAGTTCGTATTTTTGCTGTGTAGACGATCTTTTAGAAATTTTTCTACAGAAATATTTTTGCTTGACAATTACCAGGTAAAATGCGTATTTGCGTGACATTTTTTGTCACGCACAAATAACTGGCGTGACTTCGAATTCTTCAGCAAATGCGTGACAAATATGCAAATTGCGGGACAGTTGACAGGCCTGCTATTCAACAACTGTGTGTAAGTGAACAATTCCTAGCCAGTGATTTCAGTAACTTTTAGAGGGGATTGTACCTACAGTAAAACCTGTCTAATCCGAGAGACCAGCTAAAAGCGTTTGGATTAGGAGGTGTTCACATTTTGAGGTTTTGCATTTGCAAGATTTTGGATTTTGAAGAAATAGGAACAAATTCTCAATAAATATTTATAGTTCTTTTGACTACATATAGCTTTATGGCATTACACTCAAGTGACATGAAAATCTGATTCAAATGAATTTAGTCATCCTAGAAAGCCCCACCATGAGTGAGATCATTCAAGGTTTTTTCAAATATTTGAGCAATTTTGAATGGGACATGTGATATTTTATGAAAAGTGTTCAGATAAGATAGGTTAATTTTTCAAACACACTGCTCAAATTGGGAGGTGTTCACATTTCAAGGTTTTTTAACATTTGAGTCAGTGGGAGGAAGAACGGAACCAATAAAATGTTTAAATCTTTCGGATTAGCCAAGTGTTCAGATATACAGGTTTTACTGTACTACAATTGTTTCAAATCTTTAGGAGGAAGGTGTACATCATTACAGAGAAATGACAGGTGACACACTGCCATGTGAACTGGTCATATTATCAGATGTTCCCAAACTTTACTTCCAGAAGAGGTCATTTCCCAGGATTATAGATGAACCCTTGGCCAATCAATGATATAGTTTACATAAGAAAGTATGCCTGTATGAATTCTGGGATATTCCTGTTTTGTTGAGACGGATGAGAATAAAATTAACCCTTTGCAAAATTGATCAAAACTGCCTCCAATCATCCAATACTTGGCTCATTCTAAGAGTGACCAATGGACTATTGGTGCAACATCTAACAGGTCCCTCATTGAAATAATCAGTGATCCGGTATTTGTGCATTCTAATCTGGTTTTTATTGAATTTGCTTCTGATTTCGGAATTTACAGATCTGATATTTATTGACTACTAAACTTTTAGAAGGTTTTCTTTAATGGAAGGCAATGTGAGTATGTGGGAGTAGATATGTGTTTCTTTACTTTGCTCGATGCAACAGAAGATACGAATTACAATATGAAAAGCGTGGGTATTTTTAGTTCAACGTCGTTAAACTCAATAACGGCGTTATTTATTATTAAGAATTTTCTTGGGGCCATTATTGAGTTTAACCTCCTTACTATTCTTTCCATTGATGCAAGTTTTGGATCCACCGAAACCATTTTTCCGCGATAACATGCAACTGATACTTGACAACAATATAAAAACACATAACATCAAGCGATTAAACACAATATTATTGTATTAAATGGTCATTTATACAAGTAAAATGAGGTTAAACTTACCAATCTCTAAAATGACATTTCCGCATGTCCGCCATTGTGTCTGTTCGTCCCGGGTTAAAATTTAAACTATTGAAACGAAATTGTTGTCAAATAGATTGATAATTATCACGCGATTACTCGGGATAAAATAACTATTTTTGAGGATAGCAGGTATCTTTGATTGATTTATATAGCGCTTGTATACACAAAAAAATAGTTATTAATTGCAAACCTACTGTTCGTTGATGCAGTGTCGCAATGACGGTTAATTCCTGATACGATTTGCAATTTCGATGTTACCGGAGTTGACCGATATTTTCGTAAAATTCCAAACCTGTCTCCAATATTTTCGTAATTATGCATCAATATGGTCTAAGGGGGGTACGGGATGGTGTGTATGTATTTATAAGGTATGTATGCATGCTTGAATCACATTCTTTATGTAATATTACCATGTTTTCGGAGTTTAATTAGTTCCGCATGTCGGAACCTGCTGAACGACTAAATTAACACATCAAGGGCAAAATGGTCATGGAGGTTAGACCTAGCCGGGCCATAAGACATGTCAGATAAGAAAAGAGGCCCAGGCTAGGTCTAATGTTGTTGGACTAGGGTATTTTATGAGTGTACGCCACGAGTGAGCAAATCGAACTAGCTTTGAGGGGGGTGGGTTCTTTCCCCCAAGAAAATTTGAAAAGAGATTGCATTTGAAGCGTTCTGGGGCGTTTTAAAATACGAAATTTCGACTCCGAAAAAATGGATTAATAAAATGTTAGGCCATTACTTCAGAATATCAAACGTGGGTCATTTCAATATTAAAAATTCACTTTTCTCAAAATTTTGAGCTTTGCCACTTTCGTTTATTGAAGAATCATGGTGTTACGAACATGGTACAATATAGGTGAATTACAAACAATTAATGGCTCAATAATGTTCTCTACAATATGCTATTTGAAAAAGTTTTAAATACATGAAAGAGCTCGACCGTTAAGCGAGATCATTAAGGCTTAAATATTACATTTAGCGAAATTGATCGATCCCGGCCATTAAAAAACCCAAACAAATGAGGAAAAGGTACGCGATCTATCAAAGACATGTAAATGATAGAATTATAAAATACACTTGCACCCTGATACAATAACGTTTAATAAAGTAAATTTTTCTCAACTTGACAAAAATAAACCATCAATTAAAAGTATATCAAATGTATAACGATACAAATTCTATATTGTGTTTAAAAATGTGTTGAGTGTTTATGTCGTGGCAAGAACTCAAAATGACTATACAACCGACGCTCTATCATACGAACCTTATCACTCACTCACTAAACTAGCATCGACCAATTACCTCTTATCCCTATACAACACACTGTTCCATTTACGCAACGCACAAAGAAATCATTTATTTGCTAATGTCGCTTTGCTCAAACGCAAATAAATGTGAAATATCCTGCCACCACTGCAAAATAATGGACTTGCCCACTTGGTCTCTTGGATCCACTTGTAAAATATATATAACCAATATTTTAGGCTCATATCATTCCTATGTCTATTTTCTAAAAATACCCAAAATGCATACTTTATTTGAGGAAAACTAAGGATTTTTACAATAGTACATTCATTTTCAATAAATATGGAATACATCGAGAGGTAAGTTCCACTTATTGCAAGTAATTTTGTCAGTCACTATGGATCTGATTCTCCCTTTAAGATGTCCCACTTAACCTTCCCCATTTGAAGAGTCAACAAACATTCTTCATAAGATGATGTTATCTGAGCATTCAGCATATAGATAATAGAGCTACGTGTATTTAAGGAATTAATAATGATAACTAATTCATACGGTGAAATGTTGCACAAGTTTGGATAGAAGCATAAACCAAAGATGAGTCCATTTTCATCGACATTCTGTCTGACAAATGCTGACATTGCACCATATAATTATTTATTCCCCATCAGACATAAAAACCTCCCTCAGATGTCCCGTTGCACAAGAAGATTGCATAATTGCTGTTCATTTATGTATGAAGGAATACAGAATGGTATTATGCAGTCTATTAAGCAAAGCAACTAGAACTGATGCCACTGTCAATTTTCATTTATGCTTTTAATCATGAATTCAGGGTGGTGGACGAGTTGCAATAAATGCGCTACTGGTGTTGACATCTATCATCCAGGCAGTACTGGGTTTTACATCATCGGCCTACTGCTGTAAGGCTGTCTGTTGTTGCAACAACTCAAGTGTAAGTTATTCAATGTGTTTATTTCGAATACTGTACTCCCGGTAATTTTTGTGTGCTACTTTGAAAAAGAGAAATTAGAAGAAAGATCATTATAGCTGAGACTAACATAAAATTTTATGTTAGTCTCAGATTACTGTATTAAAATGAGCATTCTAACAAAAATGGCTTAATAAGAAGCCAAATTCATAATAAAAAAATAAATCATAATAAAAAAAGATAAGGACCCAGTAGATATAACTATAAGTCATGGATGGCAGGATCTCAATTAACTATCAGGATCTGAATTAGATAGGTATAGTATACACAAGTATCATATAGCAATTTGTGTCAGATGCTGAACGCAAAATGCCAAACACCAACCAACCGCAACCACAAAAAAGTTGGAGACCTAATGGTGGGCTCCTGTACCTTATTCTTTCACTCAGGGTTCCTAGTCAATGACAAGTGAAGAACAACATAATTGTGTGAGAATTTTTTATCAGGGCCCATACCATCAACATTGCACCTGGTTACAACACCACTATAAAACAAGCATCTGCATACAATGCTAATGTACCACAGACCCAAGGTGCTGGTGGCCCACCACCCCAAAATACAGAGAAAAAAAAACTTTGAATAAACTAAATCATTAAAGATGCTTACAATAAATGTACACAACCATAAGTAAGCTCACTTTCAAAAGGCTAAATAAGGGAGTGTTTACACAATGCGGGGATATCCCAAAGCTAATGTCATGTGATGGTTCAAAGTTCACTAATTAAGTACAGTGGATGAAATGTTCTAAAACTAGTGGTTATTGTAATCACTGATCAGGAAATACTATAGTATACGGGTATATATTGTAACAGTTAGGCCTTTTTGTGGATATTATGGTAGTGTGGACTAATAGACCTCTGTATACCTTGTGGGTTACGTGACACACGTTAAATGTGTTTGCACCAAAGATTCAACAGAACATTCAATTATATTTATTACACAACAAACGATATATTGTGGCGTCTGTAGGCCCAAAATTGTGTACATCAAATAGCAAAATGTCCTTGCAATAAACTTGAATAGAACCAATGTTTGTTGTTGTTGTTATTGTTATTGTTATTATTATTCACTGTGAGTCTATACATATAAACATCAATTGTGGGATTGGATTGAAGTCACACAATCAAAGCGATGAAAAGAACATCCAGTTCCATACAAGGACCAGTATCTTGTCTCGTGCAGGTAGCCTCCTCCGGCTAAGTCCAGTGTATCCTCTTCTCCCTCAGGTAGCCTCCTCCGGCTAAGTCTAGTGGATCCTCTTCTCCCTCAGGTAGCCTGCTCCGGCTAAGTCCAATGGAACGTCTTCTCCCTCGGGTAGCCTCTTCCGGCTGAGTCCAATGGATCACCTTCCTCAGGAAGTCCGTTCGACAAAGTTGCTAAAATAAAGACCCAGCCTCAGTGAGTCTGTTCGACAAAGTCAACTGGAACGTCTTCTCCCTCAGGTAGCCTCTTCAGCTAAGTCCATTGGATCCTCTTCTCCCTCAGGTAGCCTCCTCTGGCTAAGTCCAATGGATCCTCTTCTCCCTCAGGTAGCCTCTTCAGCTAAGTCCAGTGGATCCTCTTCTCCCTCAGGTAGCCTTCTCTGGCTAAGTCCAATGGATCACCTTCCTCAGGAAGTCTGTTCGACAAAGTCGCTAAAATAAAGACCCAGCCTCAGTGAGTCTGTTCGACAAAGTCAACTGGAACGTCTCCCTCAGGTAGCCTCTTCCGGTGAAGTCCAATGGACCCTCTTCTCCCTCAGGTAGCCTCCTCCGGCTAAGTCCAATGGATCCTCTTCTCCCTCAGGTAGCCTCCTCTGGCTAAGTCCAATGGATCCTCTTCTCCCTCAGGTAGCCTCCTCCGGCTAAGTCCAATGGATCCTCTTCTCCCTCAGGTAGCCTCTTCAGCTAAGTCCAGTGGATCCTCTTCTCCCTCAGGTAGCCTCCTCTGGCTAAGTCCAATGGATCCTCTTCTCCCTCAGGTGGCCTCTGGCTAAGTCCAATGGATCCTCTTCCTAAGGAAGTCCGTTCGACAAAGTCAACTGGAACGTCTTCTCCCTCAGGTAGCCTCTTCAGCTAAGTCCAGTGGATCCTCTTCTCCCTCAGGTAGCCTCCTCTGGCTAAGTCCAATGGATCCTCTTCTCCCTCAGGTAGCCTCTTCAGCTAAGTCCAGTGGATCACCTTCCTCAGGAAGTCCGTTCGACAAAGTCGCTAAAATAAAGACCCAACCTCAGTGAGTCCGTTCGACAAAGTCAACTGGAACGTCTCCCTCAGGTAGCCTCCTCCGGCTAAGTCCAATGGATCCTCTTCTCCCTCAGGTAGCCTCTGGCTAAGTCCAATGGATCCTCTTCTCCCTCAGGTAGCCTCCTCTGGGTAAGTCCAATGGATCACCTTCCTCAGGAAGTCCGTTCGACAAAGTCGCTAAAATAAAGACCCAGCCTCAGTGAGTCCGTTCGACAAAGTCAACTGGAACGTCTCCCTCAGGTAGCCTCTTCCGGTGAAGTCCAATGGACCCTCTTCTCCCTCAGGTAGCCTCCTCTGGCTAAGTCCAATGGATCCTCTTCTCCCTCAGGTAGCCTCTGGCTAAGTCCAATGGATCCTCTTCTCCCTCAGGTAGCCTCCTCTGGGTAAGTCCAATGGATCACCTTCCTCAGGAAGTCCGTTCGACAAAGTCGCTAAAATAAAGACCCAGCCTCAGTGAGTCCGTTCGACAAAGTCAACTGGAACGTCTCCCTCAGGTAGCCTCCTCCGGGTAAGTCCAATGGATCACCTTCCTCAGGAAGTCCGTTCGACAAAGTCGCTAAAATAAAGACCCAGCCTCAGTGAGTCCGTTCGACAAAGTCAACTGGAACGTCTTCAGTGAGGAAGTTTCACAATAAATTATCTAAGTCAAACTTCAAATAGAACAAAGTCGAAGAATATTTCAAAGTGTGAGTAAGAAATATTCTAAGTCCAAGTTAGTATAAACGACTAAAATGTATAAGTCCAACTCCAGGTAGATGTACCACAGAACAAAGTCAAAGAATATTTCGAAGTGCCAGTAAGAAATGTTCTAAGTCCAAGTTAGCATCCACAGCAAAATATACAAGTCCAACTTCAGGTAGATGTATCACAGAACAAAGTCAAAGAATATTAAAAATGATTAAAATATTCTAAGTCCAAGTTATCATCCACAGAAAAATGTACAAGTCCAACTCCAGGTAGATGTATCACAGAACAAAGTCAAAGAATATTAAAAATGATTAAAATATTCTAAGTCCAAGTTAGCATCTACAGAAAAATGTACAAGTCCAACTCCAGGTAGATGTATCACAGAACAAAGTCAAAGAATATTGAAAATGATTAAAATATTCTAAGTCCAAGTTATCATCCACAGAAAAATGTACAAGTCCAACTCCAGGTAGATGTATCACAGAACAAAGTCAAAGAATATTGAAAATGATTAAAATATTCTAAGTCCAAGTTATCATCCACAGAAAAATGTACAAGTCCAACTAAATTGACTTTGCCAAAGTTTAACCTCAAGTAGATTCGTCTACAGCCAGGTACATGTGAACAGAACAAAGTCAAAGAATATTCCCAAGTGCCAGTGAGAAATATTCTAAGTCGAAGTTATCATGTACAGAAAATGTCAAAGTCCAACAAAGTCAAAATTGTCAAAATTTACAAAATATCACGAGCGGAGCTCTGTACCAGTCAAAAGCTAAATCAAGTCTCTCTCGAGTGTCAACTTTCTCAGCTTATATACTCTAGGAGGTTGCCCGGATGACGTACTCGCGCAATACAAAATATTGGCGCAAACTGATTAACCAAATGTTTAAATTACGATTACGGGCCTACAGACGTGAAAATAACTCACAAATATGGTTGGTAATTGCGAGTTAATTATACAGATAAGAAATATAATGATAAAGTGTGGAAATACATTCACAATAGGTGGCTAGAGCAAGTTATTTAATGGAACAGGAAATAAAATGACCGCCGAAATGGCAGACGAGATTGAATTGACATTTCAAATTCACGACCAAATATCTTGAAAACTAAACATTATTGCTACCCCTAATTTACAGAAATGATCGCTAATATTGTTATCTATCTAAATAAATCTAAATTAATAATTCAAATGGACTAACTAACCTGTATTTTTGCGATAAGTACGGAGCTTGAATATTCGAAGTTGTGGCGTAGTGAAATTACTCTAAATGAGCACTAATTTGCGGAACGAAATTACAATATCGCAATAATGGACGTGAAACGAAATTACCTACTAAAATATAATTTGATCGCTAGCCACCTACTTTAACATTGTAAAAGGTCACAAATAAATATAATTATCACCAAAGGACCAGGTAAAGTAAGGGAACAAGTGAAGTTGTTGTATTTAATGGCCATAATCTTGAGACTATCCAAATGGAAAACTATAATAATTTTTCAAAAAAAATATTTTGTTACAATATATTAATGAATTTTGAACATCAAAGCTTTGTAAAAGCCATGAAATATATTGATTAAAAATCACAATAAGGAAAGTTATTTCAGTTGAATTAATCATTAACCAAATCAAAATAGATTCAATTAAAAAAAATCTGAATTCCTATTTGCACTGCTACACCTTTTCTGACATTGATTTATAATTCATCTTAAAGCCCTAATGACAGAATGAACATTAATTATATCATCTTAAAACCTCTTCCCTTGTACCACAATTCTTTCTGACTTGAGAAGACCGAGTCTTTATTAATTCCTTTTTATTGAATAGGCCTACCTGACTCAGCAATAAAATGCACTAACAGTACTTTTATACAAAGATAAGCTTTAAGAGATGTCAGTATAACTTCAATGTTAACAACAGTAAGTGGTTCATAGGTTTTTGTCTAGGAGAATAACAGGAGGTAAGCATGTAATTATTCTTTTTTAGTTTGGTCTATTTGTTTTTGTAGCATTCAATCCTCTTGTATTGATGATATTTTCATAATTTTAAGTCTTGTTTTATTTAAACATTTAAGTTCTTATTTTGAAAAATGATTCCTTAGAACATCAAATGAAGTCCTCCTGGTTTAGTATGAGAAAGGAGTTCAACTGAGTAGTACACAACTCATATTTTTAAAAAGTGGTGAATATTTGTATTAACCTAACCTAAAAAAGCAAAAAAACTGTCAGTGTTATATTGATTAATCATAATTAGAGGGTGGTGTATTATAGTTGATGAGTTTGCTCAGGGTAGTCACCAAAACTGCCCTTTGTTGCCATGAATCAAGTAAACTGCCCTTTTATGCTATAAATCAAGTTAACTGCCTATTGATGCTATAAGTCTAGTAAACTGCCCATTGTTCCTATGAATCAAGAAAACTGCCCATTGTTGCTATGAATCAAGAAAACTGCCCATTGTTGAATCAAGAAAACTGCCAATTGTTGCCATGAATCAAGGGAGTTATTATAATCTTAGGGAATAAACATGCAGAACCAGGTCCAGTCACGAGTAGGTGCCTATCAGCCTCAGCAGCAAATTATTTACACCATTCAACCCCCAAATCCAAGTGGCAGAGTTGAAAGATTCGATGGAAAAGCATCAGCCATAATGGGATCCTTGATGATTGGGTTTGGGATCCTATCTATTGCTCTTGGGGGTGCAGCTATTGGTTTAAACGCATCATTGTTTTTCATTGGTACAGGAATCTGGTGTGGGCTGTTGGTAAGTATAGTAAATATATTGAATGTTACTAACTAACCACACTCAACTCTCCTTAGTTTGATTTTGTTAAAAATGACTCATCATTTTGTTAAAAATGATTCATCACTTAAGTTTCAATGTTAAATCTCTTGAACGAAACATTTTTTCTAGAAAGAACCCAAATTCTTATTTTACTAATGATTAAGAATCATAATTCTGAAAAATCATAAAACACTTCACATCTTAAGATAGTTCAAGTTCTATCAGAGATATCAATCAAATAAGTTCAAACATTAAACAAGCAAATGATATACAGGGTGACCCAAAAAAAACAGAACAACCCAAAACTGTAACAAAGCCATTTTTCCCTTTGAGATCAAAGTATGGCATTATTACTCACATATGTCAAAATTACATATCTACTTTCTACATGGTGCATTCTAAATTTTGTAAAACTTTGAAATTCTAGAAATGCCCCATAATTCATTCATCAGCGCATATTGTTTGCATAATTTACACTTTTCTCATAGAATATCTCACCTGATGTTTCACTGTTTAATAATCTTTATAATCATTACTTTTAGGTTAATGATGTCTAAACTTAACAAAAACTCTAAAAAAAAGTTTGAAATTTCGTATTTTTGTTAAAGGGGCAAAATATGAAAATTTTAACTTTTTCTGGGTTATCAAGGCAACATTTGGCTTATTGCAATTTTTGGTGGTTCTGTTTTTGGGGCCACCCTGTATTTTATAGGCCATATAGATTTTTTACATGAAATGTGTATTCTCAAATAATGCATTTTTTGTATTATTTGAAACCCACTGCACTTGTCCAATTATTGCTTTTCAAAAAATGTTCCATTAGGAAATCTTTTAAGGCATTACAAATGTTCACATATTAGATATGCATTATTCTAATCTATTTGTCTACAGGGAGACCCCAAAAACAGATCCCTCTAAAAGTGTGATAATTTCTAAAATACCTATCCCAAATACCTAATCCAGTAACTGTGAACAATAAACAGATACCTCTTGTAAACAGCAATAAACATTTAGGCATTATTTTAGACAGAAACCTTACATTTGAGAGAACATACAATTATTATCCCAACGAACGAAGTTCTGTAGGGATATAGTGAAGCCCTCCGTCCGTCTGTCCGTCCGTCCGTCCGTCAGTCCGTCCGTCTGTCCGGAAGATAACTCGAATACTAGTCCACAGATTTCCTTCATATTTGGTGGAAAGATGTATATTGGTGAATAATTTTACGCAAAAAAATTTTTTTTCAAGATGGCCGCCAGTTTAATAATGGCGGGAACTTTTTGCAAAAATCTTATGTTTTTCATTTTAAACCAAAATAATAAATATTATTATTTGAAATTTTGGTAGTATATTAACAATATCCATCTATTTCACATATATCCCGGGTTTTTCACCCTGACCCCCAGGGGCCGTAAATGGGGGATTGGGAAAACAGGAATTCGCGTTGATTTTGAGATGTTTTTGAAGTATAGCTTTATTATACTCAAATGAAAGGCAATTTAGAGTAGATTGTAAATATTGTAGCGTTTTTCTGATTCTGGCCTCAAAAAATTCAAAATGGCCGGCTAATGCGGGATTTCACAATTATTTTCTGATCTCTTAAAAGTATGGCTATATTATACTCAAATTGAAGGTATTTCAGAGTAGATCACAATTATGGCATTGTTTTTCTGATTTGCGCCTCTGAAAATTCAAAATAGCTGACTAGAGCAGAAATTCACCATTACTTTGAGTTATCTTGAAAGTATGGTCACATGATATTACAATGATTTAAAATATTTATTGAAGGTAAGAGTAGATGGTAAATATTACATTGTGACTGTACAGATTGATGATTAATATAGTGTTCGTTGGGATTTGCTACTCTGTGGAGTTGCCATTTTCTAGTTAACTCTGTAATTACTAAATGCAATAAAATGTTACATTCATTTAAGGCACTCAAGTTTTCTGTAAGATTAAGCATTTGCAAACTATTAACCCCCCTATCACACCAAACTAGTTCTTATCCGTTCTTGCCAGTCCTACGAAAACGTCGTAAAACGGGCTCAATCTGGCTGCGGTCGGGATATATGTCTAAAATAATTATCTACTTCGTTCATAAACAGTCTTCAATACGTCCATCTCATTCGCAGTTCGTCCAGGTCGCACCACGTCGGTGTGCAACGTAGTATAAACCGTCCCTTAGTCTTGAAGGTCATCATGACCTGATTACAGAACGGTATGGTCGCCATCGAATTTTGAATCGATTCAAAATTCTAAATCACATACCCCGTCCGGGAAAGTCCATGAAGTTCGTAAACAGACCGTAGGACGTTGTAGCTACGTTCATTCAGTTCGCACACAGTTTAAAACCGATTCGGCAACGTTTTGACGATCACCAGAAAATTTTGAGCATGCTCTGAGTGCTGGAGGACCTCCTCGTTCTAGTAATTTCATGAAGTTTGTAAACAGATCCCGAACGGTTCTTAGTGGGTCCTTAGTACGTCAAATCCGTTCGTGCACAGTTTAAGCCCGTTTTCGTGAACGTAGTGAGAACTAGTTTGGCAGTTTGGTGTGATAGTAGGGTTACACAGCAATCATTCTCCCACATCTTGAATATGGCAATATTATTTTGACAGCGCAAATCTAAACCGCTTAGCAAGTTTAGATAGAGTCCAATATAGAGCCAGTCTTATAGTAAGTGGATGCATCCAAGGGTCAAATTCGGAGAAAGTTATGACATGTCTAGGTTGGAGAACTTTATCTGATGGAAGGAAGGAAAAAATTGGTTTTTATGTATGACGTTGCAATAAATTACAAAATTCCATCATATGTCTCAAATGTTTTTGAACAGCATAGGAATCTAGTAAATGATCCTAGACTGTGACGCGCAAATAGCTTCATGATCCCACCTAACATGCCTAAAGCATCAACTAAATTAAGAAAATGCACAGTCTTATCTTGTATAAAGTTATGGAATTAGTTATCTGGTGAGCTCAAACTCTTTTAAATATCAAATTAGAACTTTTTTAAACGGTAAAAAGAAGGAAATTACTACACCAAAATTAAACCTTAACAGAGAAGAGGAAATTGTTCTAAATAAAACAAGATGTGATATAATTTTTAGGCAACACCTATTTACACAAATGCCAAATGTAAATGTGGTCAATCTTCTGAATCAACCTAACACCTTTTGCTCCAATGTCCTCTTTAAGACTCCAATACCCTCTGTTTTAAGACTCAACTTCCACAGAGAACTAGGGGGACTGCCATCCTTTAATTATGAGACAGGAAGACAAGCTAGATCTTTTACTTTTAGCCGATCCCTCTCTTGACTCCATTTTACAAATAAAAAGGTTATTGAACTTACAGCTGATTTTCCACTTGCTATCTTCAGGGAAGTCAAAAAATAACTCACAATTCAAAACTCATATTTATGTACCTTCCTCTACCCTGTCTTCAAGTTTAACTGATTATTTTCTTATTCAAACATGTTTTATATTAATTTGTATTGTTATATCGTTAATTTTAACAGGGCCAAAAATGCCTACGTGTAGGCCCTGTACTACTGAATTGTATGACTTATTATCATGAAATAAAGAAAACAGAATCTATGGATGATAATACGATATCAAGTTTGTTACACAGGAATTATTAGACTCCAGAAAATTCATTTTCAAAATTTTCTGAGCTATCATCCAGGGCAACATTTGGCTTAACATCTTTGACATACCTATTTTTTTAAATTGTATGGGTAAACTATCAATTTCAGCATTAAGAAGTGTAAATTCAGTTCAAAGCTTCTATAAAGGGAGAACCACTTATAGATTTTTAAGATCCACCACCTTGCAAGAGGAATATCAGCTGAAATAATGTTCATTGAGGGGGTTTCTTTGTAGATAATAAAAATATATGTTAGTTTTGATGAAGTATCCAAACCTAAATATATTTTGACAGTGGTCGATGATCATTGGATGGTCCCTCTGCACTAACTGTTGCACCTTTAGGGTACTGACTATTTAGTTTCTCAGAAATTGGGTCAAATTTTGATCTAGGTCAAAGTTCAAGAACTAGGTCAAATCTTTCATTTTCAACATTCTGTCATTTATCTTTATTTGAAACGGCTTCGAAATTTCATTGAATGAATTCTTGAGAAATCATGAAGACAGCAGAATGATCACTTAAGAGGATTGCATAACATGTGGTTTCAAATATGGTGTCAAATATTTGATAACGAGTTGGAAGAGGAAGAAAGGAGAACTGTGAAACATCTGAATGGGAGGTTTCTAAAAATGGGGGTATGAGAACATCTGAAAGTACAGTGTGTGATTGCAGTGAACGCAGTTCCAAGGTATCACTCAGAAGGTGCAGCCATACCTAAAGATGGCTTAAAGGTTGCTGGGACACTTCCTCATTAATGATCTCAATCACTATACTCACAAAATGGAGCTTAAAAAGGAAGTAAATAATTGTGATTGGTTTAAACAAAGGATGTGTAAACTTCTGGTTGACACGAAAACCTTTCATTTTGTTTTCTATCAAAAGTGGGCACATTTTGCAATTGACCATAACAAGAAAAATGAATGCTATGTAACACATTTGGCCTCACATTGTCATCCATAGATTGCAGTTTCTGTACATGAAAAATGAATCTGATTACATGTGTATTTAGAAATTATTTCGTTTTTGGAGTGTTCTGTTTTTTGGGGCCACCTTATAGATTAAATCTATTTGCAGACAGTTGTGTACATCTCCTGTTAAAGTTTATCTCATAGGAAGTCTTTTTCTGAGGACTGAATGCTTCAGTTAATTCAACAATGTTATCTCTCATTTGTTAACAATCTATATATTTTGCAGTTCTTTATACTGACTGGATCTTTTGGCATAGCTGCAGGCAGATCAAAATCAAAATGTTTGGTAAGCAGCCTTCAATAACAGCTGACATATCTCCGTTGTGTATTTTAAAATAAGGCCAACAAGTAACATAAAGATGAGGGTTTGATATTCGGTATTTTGAATACTATTAGTCACATTTAGATTTGATATTTGGACACATTTCTTTTATTTTGCAGATCATCACATTTATGGTCTTGTCAATTGTGATGGTGTCTATTGCCTGCCTAACTCTGTTGGTCAACTCTTCCATTGGACTGGCAAATGATGTTGAATACCTGAAGTATCAATGCAACTATGAATATAATTACCATTTTTGCCATACCAAGGTACGCGGTAAAAGAAAAATCAGATCTTGCAAGATCCTAACAAGAACTCTTGGCAAAAATTGTTTCAATTTTAGAATATTTTGGGATTTGTAGAAAAAACTGAGTACAGAGTACTGGGTATTAAATCCTGTATGTGGGAATAAAGCTAGATACCCCATACCATGTTGAAAAAGTGGGTACCTAAAAGCTGGGTATCTAAAAACTGGGTATCTATTATTTGAACCTTTTTTAGCTTGCACAAGCTATTATTGTCACTTTTAATGTCTTTTTACCAGATTGAACTCGTCCTCTAACAAATTAGAAATGAAGCATTACACGTATCTACTTTAAAATGAAGACAACAACAGAATGACGGTTTTATGGTTCATTCTGGTAAAGAGACATTAAATGTGACAGTAATTATACGATCATGTGCTGGCTAAAAATGATTCTATAATAGAAACCCAGTGTTTAGGTACCAGCTTAAACCCTTCATGTAAAATTTAGTACCCAATACCTGTTTTTTCTACAAACCCAATATTTTAGGCTCAAATCATTCCTTGTCATGTGTATTTTCTAAAAATACCCAAAGTGTATACTTAATTTGAGGAAAACTAAGAATTTTTACAATAATACATTCATTTTTCAATAAATATGGAATACACTGAGAGCTACGTCCCACTTGTTGCTAGTAATTTTGTCAGACACTATGGATCTGATTCTCGCTTTAAGATGTCCCACTTAACCTTCCCCATTTGAAGAGTCAACAAACATTCTTCATAAAATGATGTTATCTGAGCATTCTGCATATAGATAGAGCCATTTAAGGAATTAATAATGATAACTAATTCATACGGTGAAATGTTGCACAAGTTTGGATAGAAGCATAAACCAAAGATGAGTCCATTTTCATCGACATTCTGTCTGACAAATGCTGACATTGCACCATATAATTATTTATTCCCCATCAGACATAAATACCTCCCTCAGATGTCCCGTTGCACAAGAAGATTGCATAATTGCTGTTCATTTATGTATGAAGGAATACAGAATCATCAGGGCTATTATGCAGTCTATTAGGCAAAGCAACTAGAACTGATGCCACTGTCAATTTTCATTTATGCTTTTAATCATGAATTCAGGGTGGACGAGTTGCAATAAATGCTCTACTGGTGATGGCATCTATCATCCAGGCAGTACTGGGTATTACATCCTCGGCCTACTGCTGTAAGGCTGTCTGTTGTTGCAACAACACAAGTGTAAGTAAATTATATTTACTAACTTAGAATAATGAAATACATTGTGACTGTGATCCTATAAGGTGATCTGCTTGTAAGAAGTAAATTAATGTAGCCTGAATGCTAAGCAATGAACATGCTTGTTTACTTTTAAACATGTTAATATTCTAGGAACCAAACACACAACATGGTCATATTATTGGACAAGGGCAACAAGGAGTCCCAGCAATGACCACAAATGGGCAACAAGTGATCATTGTGTCTGGCCAGCCAAGCAATGCTGCCCCAATATCACAGATGCATGCCACCAACCAACCAGGTAATATGGTACTTGTGATATACACAAACACATACTTCTTTAGCCATTTTACTTGGTTCTGTATCTCATGTATCAGGTCTGCTAGCTCAATGGAAAAACAGTACTGTTTACAGAACAGTAATATAGCTATCACTAACCTTCAAGTCATCGGATATAAATTAATACTTAAGTATTATTCAAATGAAAAAAATATTCCAGTAAGTTCTAAATTAGTGTTTCATGAATGATTGAAAAAATTATTTTCAGGAGTCCATGCCATCAACGTTTCACCTGGCTACAACATCAATGTACAACAAGCACCTGCATATAGTGCTAGTGTACCACAGGCCCAAGCTGCTGATGGCCCACCTCCCCAATATACAGAGAAAGAAAAACTTTGAATGGACTAAAGATACGGAAAATAAATATACTCGATCAAATTAGGGCAAATGATGAAAAAACAACAATGTAGTCAGTTAAATGATGCCAATATATATCCAGGAGAAACAGATATTATCGATGACTTTTATAAAAAGAAACATTTGTTAAGGTCCTTTAATTGATCGATGACTTTTATAAAAAGAAACATTTGTTAAGGTCCTTAAATTGCTTAAACAATCCAGTAACTCAGCAATCACAGGCTCCATGTGGTTGAAGTAAATACTCAACTGATTACACACATCATTTTCAAAAAGTTTCAACAATCGATTAAAATGACTGCAAAGTAAGTTACCAAGCATAGTCAAGACCTAATCAAATCTTGGTTAGTCTGCTCTTGCATCAGTAAAAATTTCAAAAGTTGTGGAACTAGTTTTTTTAGGGGGAGGGTGTAATTAATGGTTTCGTTGGTAAAAAGTGTTGATTTTTAAATATTCAAGTGAAAGACCAATCAACATTTACAAATTTCATTAGATGAGAGGAAGGGGTGGGTCGAAACAAAATTAAGATTTTCCATAACTGTACATAATCGGACACAATCCCTAACCTGGTCAAAAATGAATCTTAAGATCACGACTGACCATCATGATAATCCATGACATCTCATTTCTTCTCAGCCCTGAGATGCCATGATATAATGAGCTTGATTTGGCGATCCAGGAGAGCCCAAAATTGAGGATTTTTGAGATCTTTCATCCCAGCTCATATTTCATTTAATTGGGGTCATTAAACTTGTTTATGCATGCCTGTGCTAATATCTGCTGTTAAATACAATGCCTATTATGTAATGTATTGACATTAGGTAAATGATAACTATCACACTTATTGACATTTACAACTCTTCCCATCCTATGTGCTCAGATCACAGAATATGCCTCATAATATCAGAGCATGTTTCAGGTGAAACAGAAAGATGCTATGAGTATCAGAATGACGACTGACATATTTCACAAAGTGAACAAATCTAAGTGATTTTGAAGAGTTATCTACAATTGATACATTAAATGTATTTCATAAATACAAATATAATTTATTACATCAAATGTATCTACTAGTATTTCATAAAATATACATCAATTCTATGGTGTTGGCTCAAAAAATACATATTATATATGTATGTATTATATGTATTAATCAGTACTAATAAATCATATTATATATATATTAACTGTTGTCTGGGTATCTATCAAGTAAGCAATCTGATTGGTTAAGTTACTCATGAGACAAAGAAGTACCAGTGAACTCTGTATTCACCGTGGTATGGTTAATTTTGGCTTATACAAGTCATGTGATACTGAGGCACCTGGGTGAGACAGATCACTTCAAAGTTCAATGTAAGGTTATTTCTGACAATTCATTTAGGTTAAAGGGAAATGTTGTTCCAGTTTTGGAAAGCTGAAGTCCACCATGAGCAACAAGCTACAATTCCACTACTTCAATATGGCCACTTGGTCTGACGATTCATAATTCTAAGTCTTTTGTAAACTTCCTTGTATTTTCTGTCTCCTCCTTTCATTTGCTTGAAGTTTTCTTTGCATATCTTCCAAACTGAAATATGATGAGAAACACATTTTAGAATAAATAACTACATGTAGTATTTGAAAAGAATTGCATTTATTTTGGCAAAATTACTTCATATATCCCACTTAAACCTTCATAATTTATAGACCCATCCCTGTTTCAAAAACAACCATAGTTCAGTCCTGTGGACCATGTACAAAGTAGTAGTAATCCATGAATAAGCCTAGTTAGCACCTACCATTGTTCAGGGTTTAGACTGGCTTGTTTCTGGACTTCCCTGACAGCGTGGAACTTTGCCTTTTGCTCTTGCAGTTGTTGTTTTAATGAACTTGATGCCTCTCCTGGAATATAGGGAATAGCTGAGACTAGCTGACTCAGTGTTTTTCAATATTCATAGATCAATCAACAAATGCATGACTACAGTTTCTCTAATATGGTATACTGTACCAAAATGAAAATAGGAGTTTTCCATTTTTTAAATGTGAAATTAATATCATGATTGGAGTTGGAAATTAATTAAATTATATATCCATTGTGCTATCAATTTGTTTTGCTTTTACAATACTGTACCTAATTGAAGATCATCAGAGATATACACTTCATGCCCTAATCCATGTCCATTTTTTTCACGATAAACAGATTGACCTCCCATATTCCGACTTTCAGAGTATCCAAAGTCCAAAACATTATCACTTGGTCCATTTTGAAAATCTTGTTCATCAGTTTCATTTCCTGGAGTATTGAGTTCATTACCTGGTTCTGTTAGAGTATCATGAGCCATCGTGTCATTTTCTAAAGATACCTGAGTCACAATATTATCCTCATAATGCACAGCTTTCATTGGTGAAAGTGAAAATTGCGAAGGGGTCTTTTTTGATTTTGAAGACCCATTGGATATGGCTGTATTTTGGACGGTATCCCCTGATAGGGGTCTAGTTCTTGATGGCACTGGAATTTTACTATACATTTTATTAACATGTTGAAGCATTCCCTGAAAAGTTTCTAGATCCTCAGTGTCAGATGATAAGGCATAAACACCACTAATGTTTGAACTATCTGTCATGTCTCCATTTGAGAACTCTTGATCGTTGGAATGACTTTGATAAGGCTTCTTCCTATACTGATTAAATAAATGACCTCTTAAAGAGTCAGTTCGTCGATCATCATGATCTTTTGATCTTTTATTGCTTTGGAATGTTTCTCGGGGATCTTCTAGAACAAAACTAGAATTTGGCGAGTAGGAATGTGAGTATATATCATGAGTGGAAGAACTGCGACGCATCACTGGGTTGGTTGCATTATGGGTAATGTTTGGACTATTCCGGGATAAAATCTCTCCGACAGTTGGAATGTTTTGTTGCATAATATTATTCAATGATTTCATTGACGATGATCTGTTATGATTATGCTGTGGAGTCTTTTTAGCAGACCCCATAGCACCAAATGTAGCTCTTTCATATCCTGATACTTTTGCCTCCAGTCTTGCCATTTCACCTTCCTGAAACAGAACAATGGTTTATTTTTAAAATTATTGTCAAAATAATTTCTACAAGTTCTTAAAAATATTGCATTGTATTTTAATGGGTCTCTCAAGATAAAGCATATAACTCTATGAGATATAAAGAAAATCTATGACTTCAGACAGAAGCCCAGTCCTCTTTTAGTGTCTCAAATTGCAATGTGAACTCCGATCAGTTGATCATAAAACAAGTTAATATTATGGAAAACAAGAAATAGGAAAAAACATGGTCAAATATAAATTCCTGCAAATTTCAAATAAAATACAGGTGTTGAACCAAACTTCAAAAATACATGTATTTGCAAGAGAAAAGTGACCTCAGGCTGGCTTATCACAATAATCTGTAGTATCTAAGTTAAATGGTTTTACATTTATGTGGGAATATACAATATTTCGCCACTTACTTTGATGACAATAGTTTCATTTAAAGCATCTATATCATTCTTCTTTACATTTAGAGTATTCTTGAGGCGCATAACTTCCCCCTGGGCATGTCTTAATTCATCATGAAGGTTTTCAATTTGACCTTCGAGATGTTTGACCTTGACCCTGTACTGTGACCCCTCCTCGTCCTTCAAGGTCATGGTGTCATTGTAAGTTTGTTGTAGAGTTGCAATCTAAACATGTGAAAAAACAACATAATTAAGTAAAAACTCTCAGAATAACTATGAATGATACTACATTTGTACCACTTCTTGTTTATATAAAATGAAATAGACAATCAGGAATAATTATTTAGAGTATATTTATTTTCATAGATAATTGGAATAGGAATCATAAAGGTAACATACTCCCTAAATGTATAAAATAAGGATAAATAATATTTATCCATTTCAAAAAATTGTTTAGGTAAATGAATATCTCACTTCTTGTTTATGCTGATGTTGCAGGAGATCTAACTCATTTCTGAGCCTCCTGACCTCAGCTGCTGTCCTTGTGTCTGCTTGGACTTCCCTCGCCTTGGCTGCTCCCAGTTCCTCAGCTAACCTAGCATTGTCAGCATCCTTATTCTGAAAGTGTATATCTTTTCAATAGTATGCATCACTATAAAGTTTCTTCAAATCAAACATTAATGTAATATAATGTTATCACCTGCAAATAATTATTACTATTAAATGTTTTACTCACTACTTTTTCTTAACAGGTTGCTTGAGAATTCCTCATCAAAATATTACAATATTTTACCCTTTTGGCAAGGTATAAACTGATTTTCAACAGTATAGAGTGCAATTTTCAAACTTCCAACAGCAGGGCCCAAAATTGATATTAATGACAAAGAGTTATACTAAGTGCTATAATTTTATCTATTCTTCTACATTTGATCTTTCAAAAGAAATTAGTAAAGATGACAAGATATCCTACCTGTGACATCACTATTGCATCATCAAGTTCTCGTGCCAGACGATCCTGTTCATTTTGTGATTGGCTGAGCAGTTTACGATTTTCTGTGATTTCTTGGTGTTTTCTTTGAATCTCTTCTCTATAAAATACATGTACACATTGAACGCAGTTAAACCTGTCTTAGTGAATATCTGTCTCAGTCTCTAGTAAACTCTTCACAGCGCATACCCCATTGACACCTCTGTAGTGAACAACTTCTTACATTTTTATGGTTCCATAAGTGTTCACTGTACACAGGTTTTACTGGTATCTGTATTTTTTCCTTATTCTGTTGATGCAGCAGACGAAGATTGAAATGAGGGCAAATAAAATAGAATTCTCTAGCATCAAAATATAAGAGACATTGATTTCAATATGATGAAAATACTGAGATGTCTCAACCTCTATTAAATTAATGGAATAACAACTTTTCAAATTCACTTCAAAAAATTTTTTCACTGTACCTTGCTACCCTGAGTTGCTGACCAATCTCTCGACTTTCTTCTTTAAGCTCCTCCCCTTTGCTCTTATGCTGACTAATCACATGCTCTAGTTCTTCAATCTTGGCTGATTTGTTTTCTGCTTCAATCTTTAATTTCCTGAGATTCTGTTCAGCATGTGCCAGTTCTAGTGTTTTGTCTTTCAGCTGGTTTTTAAAGTTTTGGCATTTGTCATCCACATCTGCTAACTATAAGGTAGAAAATAAACATATTGATTATCAAAATGATTTTTGTGACACTTCACATATAGCTATGCATACAAAGAGCCATGAGGAAAGGGATTGGTAGGGGTTGCATGAAACCTCCACCCCCGGATCATGCCAGAAAAGGACATAGCTCCCTTAAAGCATTTTTTCAAAATGTGAGCAATTTTATCAAAATTAGACTCAATCTGAAATGGAACTGAATTATGTTCTGAAATATTGACCAGGTTCAGATAACATACCTGTGAAGAGCGTTGTTTTAATTCAGCATTGGATTTCTTCAGAGCAGATTCCAGTCTGACAATCTGATGTTCCATGTCACTACGGTGTTCCTTTATGGTCATGTCTAACTGAGTTACCTACAATAGGTGGCGTTTGATACATTCAGCATATCCAACATTATTATGAGTCATATTTGTTACCAAAAGAATTTTTCTCTACAAAATTCATCGTTTCTCTCTTTATCTCATAAATGTTTAAATTAAGACTGCTGAAAATATTCATATATTTTTGTGACTTTTAAATTGTCAATTGGATGCAAATGAATATTCAAGAGGAAGAGGATGCTATGTAATTTTTAAATTCTCAGCTGGGTGTTGTAACTAGTAACAATTTTCTATCAACTCTGAAGATTTGGAGACAAAGCATGTAATATATTTTGATATATCTTTATTTCTGTGAAGGAGGTATAGGTACCCTGGGACCGACATAACGTCACACATTCTGAAGCTATTTAGCTCGTTTAACGTGCAATGCAGTTTAATGCAAGTTGAACAAAACCTTCATTTAACAAGGCCCTCTACATAGGTTCCATTAAGTGCTACACACTCCTCATTATCAGTTTAACCCAAGATTGAAAGACAAGCCTGAATCTATTCTCTGACATGGTAGCAAGCTGCAGTTACACAGCTGGTTTTATTTCATCAATGTCATTAAACCTGCATCCTTTCTCTACAGAAATAAGTAGTATAGAAATAAATAAGTCATGTGTGGCCAGATCTGGACTAAGGGATATTGTATCTTGCAAAGTTTGAGATATTTGGGCAGGGGCATTGTCCACATGGAGTACGGTGTTACCTCCTCTTACTAACCCCTTCTTCCACAGTGCATTCTCAAATCAACCTGCAAACCCTGACCATACAACACTTTGACATCACAATACAATAATCTTTTATGTGTTACCACAGGCAGCATGATATTCAAACAACACAACTCTTTTGGCATATCAAAAAGTTCAAATCTAACTGATATGCCAAATTGGCATTACTTCAGAATATGTGACGTAAATGTCGGTCCCGGGGTACCTGTACTCCCTCCACGAAAATAAAGATATATCAACACGCATTACATATCTTGTTTTCAAATCTTCAGAGCTGATAGATAATTGAATGATGTATCACTGGTGGAAAAATCAAAGAGATTGGTCCATAAAAAGCATCCGTGTAAAAAAGCGCCCATTACTTATTGATCACCCCTCGTATAGTATGTGTTGCATACCCATGGGCGTAGTGAAAGGGGGTTCAAGGGGCTTGTGCGAAATCGAAACCACTTCACCTTGAACCCCCATTTCATTATAAAACGAAACCCCGGCTGGGAACAACCCCCTTTTCTGAAAGATCAATGAACCCAGGCCAGGAAGGAAACTCAACCCCATCTCAAATCCTTGCTACAGTCCTACATACCTGTGCAGCCCTTTGCTGTAGTTCCCATTGTCTGTCTTTCAAAGCTTGTTCCATCTCTTCTATATGGTGGTCCTTCTCATGGATCTCATCTGAGCTTTGCCTGAAATAATCATGTTGATGTTTACTAAAGATTTTTAGGGAGGTTTCAAACATCAATATCATCATTGCCCTTAGATTCTTAAAATTTAAAAGTGATAGATGAGAAGTAGATTTCTACTTTTAAGTACAGAATGTGGTATTTTATTGTTTTTAGTAAGCACATGTTAGTTATGTCAATGAAATATTGAATAATAGCAGTATCAAATTCACTATTTAATTAACACATTATGGATGTAATTGGAACCTTAAAGAGTCTTTCATATTCTGCATTATTGTGTCCTTGTTTCTTATTTCACTCCTTGTTCGGGTCAATACACCATGTAGTTCTTCCAGTTGTCCACCTGCTTGTTGGATCTCTGTCTAAAGACAAAATACAGAAGGATTATACAGTGAAAGGTTTCTGATGTCATCCTTTAATTTAAACTCATTTAATCAAAGAAAACAGGGTAGACTTTTTACTTTTTCTCTTGACTCCATTACAAATAATAATGAAGGACCCACGGTCCTGTGCTCACACAGTTTGGAACCTTCTGAGGAATGTATATACTGACTTTCAAACAAAAATATTGATTTGGATTTGTAGTCTCGAACTTTGAGAAACTTAGATAGCACAGTTGTGTGACCTAGTTTGATGACCTTAGACCTTGAAAAATTTACTAATTCAGAGCTCAGTAAGGTCTTTTGTGATTAAGCTGACCAAAAACATCCAAAAATCAACCAACTTTTTTGACCTTTCAAAGGTCACTGAAGGTCAAGTAAAGGTCAAATCCTCAAACTAATGTCAGATTTGAACTCCTGGCAACTTGTAGATGATTTTCAAAAAAAGAATTGGTCAAATTGAAACAAGTTGACGTTGACGTCAAATATCTCAAAAACTGTAAAAATTTGATGCTGACATATATTGAGCAATATGTAGGGAATGCTTAAATCTAGTAATGATGTAATTCATTGCAAGAAATGATCAAGTATAAGGCAAACTTTGAGAAACTTGTCAATCACAAAACCTGCCATTGACTTTATACATGAGAAAGTTTCCTGAAAAGTCCTACTTTTTGTCAAATTTTATAGAGTAAAAACCAAAAACTGTAATTCCAAGAGCTTTGAAAATTTCAGAGGACATAAGTTGCATATACAGCAACTACTAAAAGTTATTTGAAAGTTCTACTTCAACAAAGTGTCTAGTATTTATAGAAAATTTGACTTTTTGACGTCAAAATCCGCAATTTCTCGGAAACCGGGCGAACTTGGGTAATGGCGATGATAGGTCAAATAGGCATTATGGATATGCATAAAATGAATGTGGATATGACTCAATCCGAATAGCAGTTTTAATTTGTGCGGCCAATGTTGACGGACGGACCAACGGACAGACGGACCAACGGACGGACGGACCAACGGACGGATGCCTGGTCGATCCCATAGGCTCACTGTCACATTTGAGTTATCCACAAAATTTTTCCCTACAATATCAAATGATAGAGCACATAACAGGAATTCAACTTCCACAATTGAACACGCTTTATTTTTGACTTCTATTTTGACGATATCTCCGACAAATCCAGAAAACGTTACTCAAACAAACATCAAAAAAATATCCAAATTGAATACACCCTTTTCAAAGAATTTCACACAAAACATGATACAAGAAGCAAGGGATCAGTACACGGCACCATTCATTAGCACCACATCACTCCCCATAAATGTTACATCTGAGTTCTCCTCAAAATCTTTCCCAACAATATCACATGATGTAGCATCTGCATAGGCAGAATCAGATCTATGGGGTTGACAAAATGGCTAGCCATGTGTACAATTTACCTCCTAATCTATTCCTTACAGTCTCAAATACAATATCTCCAAAAATATTCACAATACGTCATAAATTAGTGAAGTTATTATCGATTCAAAGTGCAGAAATGGGTGAAAAATGTTTAAATTCTCCCAAATAATAAGAATGGTAACCATTCTTATAGAAAAATAATACATTATTGTAAAAATCTTAAGTTTTCCTGAAATAAAGTGAGCACTTTTGATATTTTTAGAAAATAGACAAGCCAAGGAATGACATGAGCCAGAAACATTCTAAAATTGAAACAATTTTTTGTTGGCCTGCTCGCTATATCTGATTCTCTCTTTAAACAAACTGCGTCCCATGGAGATTATAACAAATTTTCCATGGTGCAACAAATCATAACTTACTTTGCTTAAATCATGGTAAAATTGCCATAATAAAAAAAGACTTTGACGTGTGAATTTTTGTCTCCCGCTGTAGCTATGAATGAATGAATTATCCACTTGCCTACTGTCAGTCATGAGTGGTGAGTGGTATATATATCAAATATACTGAGAAAGTCTGTACTTCACAATATCTCATCTTACCAGTAACAATAAATTATTTAATAGTGTAATAGTAATGGATGAGACCAAGATTGATCAAAATAGCAAGGATTTTAGATAATGAGTATATTATCAATGATCAACATGTATTTATTAAGAGAGTTGATTTTAATAATTGTAATATTGTATTTAAGGTTTATACTGTCACATTCTAATTTTTAAAGATGAATATGTGTAGATAGATGAGTACCTAGGTGCAAGAAGTTAGTTACCAGTTACACCACCAGGTGGCTAACTCGGGTCAGATAATATAGCAGACATACAAAGTTTGGGACATTCATGTTTGGGGCGTTCTAATGCCCACACAGGCCCATAGCCAGGGGAGGGGGAGTTCGATGGGTTCGAGCAAACCCCCCCCTGGCCAAAAAATCTTTCAAAATCATGCAGTTTTTCACCATTCTGCGCACTTTTTAAGTGATTTGTCACAAGTGAACCCCCACCCTGGAATTTTTCAAAAAGTGAACCCCCGCTTGGCAAATTCTGGCTCCAGGCTGGCCACATGTATCTTCTTCTTTTGTAAATATGAAATGAACACATAAATACCACTAATGCTTAATTATCATTCTGATACTCATAGCATCTCTCTCTGTTGCACTGCAGATCCAGAAGGATAGAGATGGAGAGGGTATGGCTAACCACGTCATGCTTAATTATAATTTTCACAGCATGAGCCTCGACACCGGAATAATCTATTTTTTCCTATTTTACCCTTTGTTTCACGTTTTCCTCATATATAGTATGTCTAGCCGCAACAGAGTCATTTTCACTTTGTTTTTCCTCTCAATTTTAATATGGCAGGTGATTCTAAAGAGGTGACCAAATGGAATCACTGAAAAGGAGGGTTTGATGCATCTGCCATCTTTAAGTGCAATGACAAGTGATATAACTGGACTAACCCAGTTGAAATTGTTCATTTTTTCTCAGAAGTTTCACACTAAATTGTACACAAAATTCATTCTGTTAATTACAAAACCTCCCCATCCTTGTTTAAGGAAACAGACATTCTGGAAGTGTACCACAAAATGATTTCCCCAGTCTTTTAATCAAGCAAAACAGTTTAAAGCTCCTGACCAATGGAACTGAGACAAACCTGACTGAGGGAATGTTAATTAATGTGACATTACCTGTGCTTTCCTCAGTTCTATATCCATTGTTTCTACCATCTGGCACTTCTGTTTCAAGTCAGCGTCAGATCTATGCAGTAAATCTTCAACCTCTGCCACTGAAGAAAATAGAAAGTCACATTGCTGTTATGTTGCCTTGTGATGATGTACAGGTATATGTGTACAAGTATCACAAGTACATAATAATTTTTCTAAAATCACAGAGGCAATATCACAATATACTACAATTTCGTCTTATTTCTATTTCAACACAATCCACCCCTACTCACTTATACACCTAGCAGCTAGCTATACTTCTATAATTGTATCACTTACATTTATCCACCCTCTGCTCCATATAAGCTTTGGCCTCTCTTAACTCCAATTCCAGACTCTCTATCTTGGTCTCTTTATTCTCTCCCTCTTTCCTCATCTGGTCAAGTTCACATGCTATCTCAGATTTCTCATCTTCCATTTCCCTTTTCTCACTTTCTAGATCTCTGTTAAATTATAAACAAAGCATGAACAGGACAAAATCTCACCACCTGCAAATGGTTACAGAATGGAACACAGAAATTACAAATCATGCCATCATGAGGTGCTGCAGTATGAGGTGTGGGAAAAATGATTGTAAGTGTGACTTTTTTAATCAATGTGACGTACAAGAAACAAGTACGAGTACAATATCATACAAATCGGAATGTGTTCTTACGAATGAAAAAATAGAATGTGATAATTTTTAAAAGCATCTTCTTACATAGTTAGACATACCATGATTCTTACATGAATTATAATATGATAGTCATGTTCGTACATTAATTACAATTTAAATTATACTAAAATCACAATGTTCATCTTACAAAATTAATCATAATGCCAAACACCAACCAACCGCAACCACAAAAAAGTTGGAGACTTTATAACAATATGTCACACTTATGGTGGTGACATAACAGGGCTCCTGTACCTTATTCTTTCACTCAGGGTTCCTAGTTGAGATGATTTCTCTTCTATATCCATACAGGCTTGGTGTAACTTTCTCTCTAAGTTGTTAATCTCCTCATTGGATGCTGACTTCTCCTTTAGGAGATCTTGTCGTAGCTTGGATACCTATGTAATTATAAAGGAACTTGAAAAACAACTCTGGTGAGTAATTACAGAATATAGACATAGGCTTATTATTTTCTCTCTAAGTTATCAATCTCTTGTGGGGTGAAAATGTTACAATAAATACCATAATAAAGACTTAAGCAACACTAGCATGTACAGTAATTAATTAAACATCTACACAAAACATGATTGTTGTAAATTCTAAATCATATCCTTTAATATGAATCAATAAGTCTAACTGCTGCTCAATTACCTGGTTCTCGAGCTCTGATTGGCTATCCTCTAGTTCTGCTATTCTACCGCTACTTTGCTGAAGCATATGTAGCCTTTCTTGTAGGGCACGGTCAAGTTCCAAGATCTGGCCATCTTTATCAATACACTCTCTGTGCTTGTCTTTAAGGAGTTTGTCTAAGTGGGATATCTTTAATCAAAATTTAAAAGATATGAGGATAACTTATCTTTGGTTAATACATTGATAAGAATTTGACGTTTGAATTTGTTTTCTCAGCTCTACTATTTGGGTGGCTTTGGTTTATAATCATGGTATTTTAAATTCATTTCAGAGCAATATCACACAATACAGTACAATACATTGAACTCTCCAGGTGTTTTCTGAACAAATTGTACCAATTTTGGTATTCATCCTTGTGAGAAGGTACAAACAGATTTTTAACATTATGGCATGTTATTCATGAATTTTAATGACAACTGGTTGTTCTTATACTAGGAAGAGTGCTAGTGAAAATATCTGATTCTATAAAAAATACCTCCTCAGTTTTTCTGGCCATTTCCCGGTCATATCTACTCTTTGAGTCATCCAGTTGGTCAATGTAGATTTTCAATTCATCTTTACACATTGTGAGGGCAGTCTCTAATGATCTGATCTTGTTTGCCCCCACAGTTGCTTGCTCCTCTAATGATACAAGGGCCTCTGATGTGTTCTTGGTCTTTGCCTCAAGCTCCTGATATAAATAATGTGTTTTTGCCTTCAGTTTATAATATACTTGAGTTGAATATTTTATTCAAGGATAGCGACGTTTCTCGCAATCTGATTTGCCCTTGGGAATGAAATACATACTGTGATTTTACATTGTGTAATACAAAATCTTTACTCCACTCTGATGTAACTGTATTCCACATCTTGACATCCATCTTGACATCAACATTTTCTGTAATGCTAATAGCATAAAATGTAGATTGACACCTAATGAAGTACAGATTTTCTGGGGCACAATATTTTCTGTTTTTTTATTAAATAAGTACTAATGTATCTTTATATTGATGAATTTTTTTCTTCACAATGGAAGTTTAACATTGTGTTTAAAGTAGAACTAAAAAACCCATATTATAGTTTTTAGTGTTGGTATTCTGAACCTGTCATCATAGATTCTTATTCACCCTCGCAACAACAAAACAACAAATTCTCACCTGTTCAGTGGATTCAAGTTTCTCTTTTGATTTTTCAAATAGTAAAGATTTCTCTAAAAGTTCCTGTTGAGTTTGTCTGTGTTGACTTTCCAGGGCCAGCCTAGAGGCAGTCTGTTCTTCTAGATTCTTTTGAAGCTGCAACACACATAGTAATTGCTTAAAGAACAACATTTAACATGCAAAATGTCAGCACCTGCCATTTGTCAGACACTGACTGCTTAACATCAACTGCCAAACACCAACCACAGAACATCATCCACAAAAAGTTGGTGACTTACAAAGAAAGACAGTGTTTAGATATAAATTGAAATAAATATTTTGATATGTTTGGTTATTAAAATGTCTTATAATTTGTTTGTTAATATAAAAAGCTAGTTGGTCTAATTATAACCAGGTTTATTTCCATAATCTTGAAGAGATCAGGGGCCAAAAATGTAAGCTTTGGAGGAAGAGGTAACACATTTTACCATTACTGTGAAAATGAGAATCTAGTTGACGAGTAGTTTTCAAAGGATACCAAGCTGTAACACATATGAATGTAACTCTTTGGATACCAAGCTGTAACACATATAAACTTAACCCCTTTGATAACAAACTGTAATACATATGAACTTAATTAAGAATACCTTCACAAAATTGAAATGAATTTATAACTTAAGTCTCTATTCCCCATGTGCAAAACACTGCATCACCAAGAACCATATGTATAACCATGTATTTATTATAACTCACAGTGTCTATTGAGGACTCATACTCCTGACATTGTTCTGAGTGTAACTCTTTCATCTTTGACATCATTGAAGTTGCTTGAATTAACTCATGATTCCTCTCGCTTGATTCAGCTTGAAGCTTCTTCAGCTCATTGGTTCGTTCAGACAGCTCTTCCTCTAATTCGGACAGTTTAGTGACATGTTGCGTAAATTCAGCTACTTTTTCATCAAGTTGATGTTCAAGTGTCAGAATCTGTGTTGTCTTTTTTCGTAACTAAAACAATGAATTGTTTGAGATTTTCTTTCAAAAATGTAATAATATTTTTAGTGACAAATTTGTTTATTGGAATTTCCAGGATACTTCTTGACTTCCTAAGCTCTTTGAAATGAGAGCATTTTTCGCCAGTTTTTAACATAACCAAGATATATAAACAATATGTCAAGCTCAATTAAGTCAATGTAGTCAGCATTGATCCTTTCTACACATTTTAAAACATAATTTATAAAGATTGAATTAAAACTGCCAAAGTCAAGACAATTTTAGCGAAATGGTCTGTGAGAGATTACGTTATGACTCCAAGTCACAGTAGAATTGACTTCGGGTCAATGACAAGTATTCTCAACACTCTGGGTTGTCAAGAGGTTAAAACATAAGTGTTGGGACAATAAAATGCAATTTCAAGGACAAACTCACAACTAGTATTAAAATACATGTTGTTTTTACTTGCAATTTGTGAACTACTTCAAATATTCAAAATTTCATAACTTACCTCTCTCTCCAGGCTAGTCATGTCAGTACTTTTCTCACCAAACTCAGCCTGGATTTCTGTCAACTGAACACCTTTCTGAGTGAGTCTTTGTTCCAATGATTCACATTGGGCTTCCTTGTCAAGGAGATGACCCCGTAGTTCCAGGATTTGTGATGCTTGACGTGTTCTCTCTGCCTCAATTCTTTGGATTATGTTTTCTAGCTCTTGCATTTTTCTGTCACCTAAAATAATTTTGCCTTAATAGCATAAAATATAGAAAAGTTGCTCTGCCTCAACCCCCAATATTGTGTATTTAATTTTTGTTAATTGCAGTTATAGACATGTATTTGTTGTGTCATACTAAAAGTTAAGAAAATTTGGAGACACTCAGTTGCTATGTTTGCTGCTTTATTTGCTCTAAAACAAAGTTCTAAAACTATTTTCAAATTTTTGAAATTAATTCCTATACTAGCAATTCTTTAGTTTTTCAACAATATTGATCACAATAATAAGTATATATTTATGTTACTACATACCTATCCTGTTTTTCTCAACTATTGAAATGAGTTCACTACGAAGTCCATCCATCTGGGACTGTGCCCTGTCACCGCTTGTAGACCGAGATTGTAGACTTGCCTGAAGCTGCTGCACTTCAGATTCTTTCATAGCCAGTTTTAACCTAGAAATAAAGAATATAAATAACATGTGTATAGGTGTTCCCCAAAGATTGTAAACTGAAGATTCTTGACTTTATTATAGTCATTGTTGTCAAGCTAACTGATGTCCAAGTGATTTTGTTAAAAAAACAATATCAAATGAGAATTGTCTTGGTTTATCTCCCTTTTTGTCATTCCTGCTTATTTTCAAACATCCAACACCATAAAAAGTATGAGTATGAAAGGATTTCACAAAAGTGAGCCTGAAACTTTTTAACACAGAAGAAATTCATGTATTTTGCCATCAAACCAATTTAACTTTTCCATATGATCAATTTTGAGATCTGCCTATACAATTGACTTAAAAATGTTGATCTAGAAAACTATGAAACATATTATTCAAGGTCTAGGGGTTTCATTAGGAGCAGGCAACAGGCGCTTTTCATCGGTTGTTTTCACAAAATCGTCTGTTGTTTTTAGGGACTTTTCAACTATTCTATGTTTTTATGATTACCAATAATTTTGCCTGTTGTTTTCAATTATTTAGCCTGTTGTGAGAAATTCTAGTGAACCCCTGGTTGGTCTATTGTCCACATGTGAAAAGGAAATAAGAAGCCATATTCCAAGGCAGTGAGTTTGTCCAGTGTAATCTGAACCATATACCCGACTGGCATTTCATTTTCAACAAACATTAAAATGAACAACTCACTTGAGGTCTGCTATTGTAGATTTAGCTTTAGATGGAGAAATGTTGATATCATAATTGTCCCCTATATTTGAGTCTCCAGCTGCTTTGGTTGGAAGTGGACTGGAGTTGTTTGTCTTCCTCTCCTGTTTAACATTCAAATATCAACAATATTAAGGAAGTCAGATATAACGCATTGTTTTGTATGATAGGAACAGCTAGTGTATATTTCATCTAATGAATAACACAAGTTGATAAATAAAACCTATAAAAATGAACAACTACTTTAAGGCCCAGTTAGTAAGGGTCATTATAATCTTATTAACTGCAATATCCTGAGGCTATATCCTGCATTCTCTTGCATTTTTGGTTCCTAGTTTAATTTAGATTTAACAGTTCTATAGCATTCATATTAATCAGACACAAAAAGTTGATGAACTAGAAGTGATTTAAAGTAAAACCATGGGCTTTCTCTTTTATCTTGAAAGCCCATGGTAAAACTTACATCTTGTACCCTCAAAGCAAGGGTCTCAAGTTGTTGTAATTGCATATGTGTGTCGTCTATTTCTCGCTGACATTTCTCTAATTTTTCCTGCTGATTTGCAACTTTTGTCCGTAGTTCAATATTCTGAGATCGTAAATCTATTGTTTCTTGTCTTATCTCCGTGTTTTCCAATCTTATGGAATCCTGCTGTTCTAGTTGGACTCTAAGTTCAGTGTTTTCAGCATGGAAGTCTTCGAGAAGTTTTAAATCATTTTCTAACCGATCTGGAAGAAATCATTATTATTTCAACTCCAGAATAGTTGGATGGAAACTGTAAGAATGACTTTTGGTCACGACAATAGGTGATGAGATTTACTACAGTGCTCTATTAGGTAATTTACATAACCGTTTTAGACATTTCTTGGGTTTGTGCACTGGACTGTATACTATTTGAAAGTGTTCTTACCCACATGTTTTGATTGCTTGCTGAATTTATTACGAAGATCTGTGAGTTGCGATTCTAGATTGCTTTTATCTTCTTTGTCACTTTCACTGGAATCTCTATGTCTTCTACAATATTAAATGAATTCTTTAGAACATTTTAATTTTAGATGGATATCATAGTTATTAGATCACTTACCTCAGAGCTAAATTGCATTGTATTCTGAGCTAACTGTTCTGAAATATCTCTGAATCAGATTGACACATTTCCTAATATTCATTTAATACAGGTATGTATATCACATCTTCGTAAGAGTAGGAAAAATAACTTTTTCTCATACCTCAGTTCCTCTTCAAGGTCAGTAACATGAGATCTAAGTTGCATGGTATTCTCCAGGAGGTCTTCTCTCTCAGTATTGGACTCTGCTAGGCTAACTCTAAAGTCTTCCCTCTCCCTATTAGCTTGTGCTAGATTGACTCTAAGCTCCTCTCTTTCTTTGGTAGATGTAGCAAGTCTCTCTCTTAGATCATCTAGGTTGGAGTTGGCCTGAGTTAGCCTGTCTCGCAGCTGGTCCTCAGTGCTATGTTGCTAATTGTGAATAGGGACTGGGATAATATGACAATAAAGTCCCCAAAACATAATCTAATACTTCTACATTTCAGTCTGAGTGGACTTACATCAATATACATCTGTTTTAATCTTACCTCTTATTTAAAAAACAGGGATCCAAATATATGTACATGTACACACTATATATGATTTCATTGTATATGATTTCATTTCATAAATAAGCAAATGATGGGGTACATTCATGAAATATGTTAACTTATACTTTTATTTGAAAAAAAGATAAGTGAGAGCAGAACAACAGATTTGCAATTCAGTCCAAATGTTGCTCCTTTTCATATACATTGTACTTTTAGAACTATGGATAGCTGCCAAAATATATGTACACACTACATATGGTTTCGTCGAATAAATAAGCAAATGATGATTTTAATTTTTCAAAATATTCTGATACCTTCTGTATATTATCCCGGCTTCTTCTTTGATAAGTTTCTAGATTTTCTTGTAAAACTTCAGCATTTTGAAGTGCATCATCACGCTGATTTTCTGCTCTGAAAATTAAACAAAAATATATCTATTGTAAAAAGTAGTGTCTGACATCAATGCTCTGTGTTAAATAAGTCACAAATACTACATTTTACTTCATATTAAAAATACATGTATACGATTTTGGGATCCTATGGGCAAATCTTAAAATTGTCCATTGTATTTCAATTGTAACCATTCAATAGAATGATTAGTACTTGTTACCTTTTTCTGATTTTTCTCTCTTCATCCACAGTTCGCTTCAGATCAGCACATTCTAGTTGTAATTTCTGTAGGCACTGTTTGGTTGTATGCGAGTCAGTGTGTATATATTGCAGGGATTTCTTCGTCTCATATAACTCTTTCTGTGATAGTTCACACCTCTCTTCTGCATCCCTGTGAATATTAAATAAGTCATGTGTAAGTTAATTGGGGATTAATGCCTCTGGTACCTTAAAATCGTGTTTCACTTTTGAAATCCATTTTACATAAATCTAATTGATAACTGATTCAACTGAACCTTAAAGTGTTCCATGTAATATGTATGGAGATGTTACACATGCAAAGGTGCTCCATTTTACAAACTTTGACTAAAGTTTTCATTTTAAAATAACACACATTGATTCATATCTTTTAATTCTGTTGAACTTTGGGTCTTGATTAAGGGCAAGAGGAAGTATCAAAGGAATTTCAAATTGAAAAAAGTAACTTTACCTCAAGGCTTTTTCCTGAGCTTCTGTCTCTGCCTCAAGGCTTATTATTTTCTCCTCATATTCTGGCTTCATACTTCTTGTCAGTGAAACCTCATTGCTGAGCTGGCGAACCTGAAAAGCAGACTTAACTTTTGGTATTTTGCTATTTTACACTTTGAGGATGTCATATAATGTGCTTGATCTTCATTTTAATATGGTTAACTTAGCACATATGTACATCTTTGTATAAATGAAGACTATCATTATACACATCAATAAATAAATTGTGAACTTCGGATAGATACAGACAAGTTAGTCAAATTTTAGTGAAAAAATATAAAACACATTTTCTCTTCACTTCGGATAGAATCTTAAGAACACCTTCAAATATCTAAATGAAGGATACCATAACATTGTAATACAAGAGATTTGAACTTAGTTTTTTAATAAATCACCTCTTAGATCTTGATTCATTGTTTTGCCTATAACTTCATTGTTTTACTTTTATAATATGTGCAAGATCTCTACCTGGATTGTTAATCCTCTTGAAACATGTATTTCTTCACCACCGGAATGAATACTTATTTTTGCAAACATTTTGGCCAAATGTATGTCGAGACAAAAAAGTTTGAAAAGACATGTTGAGCAAGAGACTTTATTTAAAACATGTATTAAAAAAGATACATACAACTTGGAAAGTGAAAAACAAGTTCAAAACAACATGTGACTCCTACTATTAACACAATAATAGAGAGTGGAGACAAAGTAAAGTTCTTGCCAAGGGTAAATACCTGCATGCTGGATTCTTGCAGTTGGATCCCAGTTTTCTCCAGTTCCTTAAGTAATGTGCCATTCTGCGATACAAGATGAGAGTTTTCTTCTCTGAGGACTCGCAACTTCTTGCGTAAAGTTTCATTTTCATAATCAATCATACTGGATGTGACAGATGGCGCATTGGGCCTCTACAATTATAAAACAATTATAAAACTAGACAACAGCAACGCCAAAGTGTAGCAAATCCCATCGAACAGCCATGGCTGGCATTTTTAAAAAGTATATAGCAAAAATGGCGGCCATTTTTCAAAATGGCCACCTTCTTCCAAAAGTGTCATTAGACAGTGTGCCATGCTTATATTGTTCACATACCAAATATGAACAAAATTGCTCCACTACTTTTTGAGTATAGTAAAAAAGGCTAAAATGGTGGCCTTTTTTCAAAATGGCCGCCTTCTACCAAAAGTGTCATTAGACAGTGTGCCATGCTTATAGTATTCACATAACAAATATGAACAAAGTCGCTCCACTACTTTTTGAGTTACAGCAAAAATCGTAAAATAGCGAGTAAAGGCCGCCATTTTTCAAGATGGCTGCCATGTGCTTCTTTAATACCTACATTTCTAGCTTTATTAATGTCCTATTTAATTTTTTTATTGTAAAATACATAAAAATGGCGGCCATTTTGAAAAAAAATTCTACCAAAAGTGTCATTAGACAGAGTGCCATGCTTTTAGTATTCACATACCAAATATGAACAAAATCGCTCCACTACTTTTCGAGCTATAGTAAAAAAGGCTAAAATGGTGGCCTTTTTTCAAAATGGCCGCCTTCTACCAAAAGTGTCATTAGACAGTGTGCCATGCTTATAGTATTCACATAACAAATATGAACAAAGTCGCTCCACTACTTTTTAAGTTACAGCAAAAATCGTAAAATAGCGAGTAAAGGCCGCCATTTTTCAAGATGGCTGCCATGTGCTTCTTTAATACCTATATTTCTAGCTTTATTAATGTCCTATTTAATTTTTTTACATTTAAAACATATTGATATTATAGTTTTACATATTGTACCTAAATAACTGTAAAATCGGCACTAAAATGGCCACCATTTTTAAGTTAGCGGCCATTTTGAAAATCAGCTTTCGAGCAGAACTTCTTCCCCCATAGGGTATATGTGTACAAAATATGAACAAAATCGGTCCAACAGTATTTGAGTAATTGCCCGTCGGATGGACAGACATACATACGTACGTACAGACGGACGGACGGAGGCATTCCCTATATCCCTCCGAGCTTCGTTCGATGGGATAATTATGAAACCTCCAATATTTGTTCTATTTCATAAAGCCATCTTTAAATATAATGCACCCTATAATATGCTAGCAAACACTTAGAATGCATTGGTACTGTTGATCTACATCAATAACTGGTAATTGACATTTAGCACTATTACTATTACAAATAAAGGGTTGAAAGATAAATGATCAACAAATCACGTGATATGAGTACATTAGTGATATATTTGAAGACTAGAATTGCCAAGGAAACTTGAATATTACAATAATATTCCTAGTACCTATCTTCCAAAGAAATACTTGGTCCAAAGAGAACCTTATAGAAATATTTTTACTAAATTGTTCCATGCTAGGCAACAGAATACCGAGTTTGAACAATGGCTGCCAATTCCTCCTTGTGAAGTATCTGAATTAAAATCTAAGTGGTTTCCTGGAATCCCATAACAGAAATAATCATTAAACTTCTAATTTGTTGCCAGAAAACAAGTTACCAACCAGAACAACAGCAACGCCAAAGCGTAGCAAATCCCATCGAACAGAAATGGCTGGCATTTTTACAAACGAAGCGCAAATATCATAAAACAACACACCAGAAAGGCCACCATTTTCAAAATGGTTGCTCACTAGCCAAGTTGTCATCAGAAGAAATAATAATGTATTTAAGTAGCCACCTCTAAAATGTTTGAAAAATCGCACACGTACTTGTAAAATAACACACATAAAAATGGTGGCCATTTTTCAAATGGCCGACTACTCCCCAAAGTTTTATTAGACAATGTGCCATGCTTAAAGTATTCACATATCAAATATGAACAAAATCGCTCCACTGCTTTTCAAGTTATAGTAAAATACGTTTAAATGGCGGCCATTTTTCAAGATGGCCACCTTCTACCAAAAGCGTCATTAGAAATAGACGGTGTGCCATGCTTATAGTATTCACATACCAAATATGAACAAAATCGCTCCACTACTTTTAGAGTTATAGTAAAATACGTTAAAATGGCGACCATTTTTCAAAATTGTTTTCAAAATGGCCGCCTTCTACCAAAAGTGTCATAGGACAGTGTGCCATGCTTATAGTATTCACATACCAAATATGAACAAAATCGCTCCACGTCTTTTCGAGTTATAGTAAAATATGTTAAAATGGCGGCCATTTTGAAAAATGGCTGCCTTCTACCAAAAGTGTCTTTAGACAGTGTGCAATGCTTATAGTATTCACACACCAAATATGAACAAAATCGCTCCACTATTTTTTGAGTTACAGCAAAAATCGGAAAATGACGAGTAAAGGCCGCCATTTTTCAAGATGGCTGCCATGTACTTTTTTAATATCTACATTTGTAGCATTATTAATGTCCTTTATAATTTTTTTACATTTAAAACATATTGCTATTACAGTTTTACATATTGCACCTAAATTACTGTAAAATCGTCACTAAAATGGCCGCCATTTTGAAATGAGCGGCCATTTTGAAAATCAGCTTTCGAGCAGAACTTCTACTCCCATAGGGTATATGTGTACAAAATATGAACAAAATCGGGCCAACGGTATTTGAGTTATTGCCCGGACGGACGGACGGATGGACGGAGGCGTTCCCTATATCCCTCCGAACTTCGTTCGATGGGATAATTACCCAGGGATCAAATTATACATAACAAGGGATGTATTATTCTTTTGATATTTAGACAAGGTGCCTGTCCCATCTTGACACAGACCAATTGAGACAAATTATCACTTTACGTGTAGGTATATATATCAGGCAAAAGATATTGTATCAAGAACACACAAGAACACACAAGAACATAAAATCGTACCTTCAACGTTCCGTCATTTTGTTACCGAAACGAACCATTTCGGTAACCAGAGTAATCGACTAATCACCAGTGTGAAGGCTTGTATTTATTTACTGAATTAAAACAAGCCGCATGGTGAACAATATATGAGGTTAAGGTTTTAAAAGTTCCTGAAAATTTCATCATTTTTGCTTTATTTTGGTGGTAGTTTTCAAAAAAAAATTGAATACACTTTCATGCATATTTGAAAAATAGAATCACAACAGGTGGTACACCAAGTAATAATCTCAATCAAGAAAGGATATTTTTCAAACATCTTTTTATAGCTATCAATCGGTGTTTCTTAATCCCCACTCATTCAGTTGCCTGGCATTAAATGTTATCTTACTAGACTATGTGAGCAGAATGTTTGATGATGTAGTTTAGGAACATTTCAAAATATTTTTAATTTTCATCTATTGCTTCAAAATGAGAAATACAAGTGACATTACATGAATAACCAGAACAACGGCAACGCCAAAGCGTAGCGAATCCCATCGAACAGAAATGGCTGGCATTTTTACAAACGAATAGCAAATATCATAAAACAACACACCAGAAAGGCCACCATTTTCAACATGGTTGCTCACTAGCCAAGTTGTCATCAGAAGAAATAATATGCTTTTAAGTAGCCACCTCTAAAATTTTTGAAAAATCGCACAAGTACTTGTAAAAAAAATAACACACATAAAAATGGTGGCCATTTTTCAAAATGGCCGACTACGCCCCAAAGTTTTATTAGACAATGTGCCATGCTTAAAGTATTCACATATCAAATATGAACAAAATCGCTCCACTACTTTTCGAGTTATAGTAAAATACGTTAAAATGGCGGCCATTTTTCAAAATGGCCACTGTCTACCAAAAGTGTCATTAGAAATAGACAGTGTGCCATGCTTATAGTATTCACATACCAAATATGAACAAAATCACTCCACTACTTTTCGAGTTATAGTAAATACATTAAAATGGCGGCCATTTTTCAAAATTTTTTTCAAAATGGCCGCCGTTCTACCAAAAGTGTCATAGGACAGTGTGCCATGCTTATAGTATTCACATACCAAATATGAACAAAATCGCTCCACTACTTTTCGAGTTATAGTAAAATATGTTAAAATGGCAGCCATTTTTCAAAATGGCCGCCTTCTACCAAAAGTGTCTTTAGACAGTGTGCAATGCTTATAGTATTCACATACCAAATATGAACAAAATCGCTCCACTATTTTTTGAGTTATAGCAAAAATCGTAAAATGACAAGTAAAGGCCGCCATTTTTCAAGATGGCTGCCATGTGCTTCTTTAATATCTACATTTGTAGCATTATTAATGTCCTTTATAATTTTTTTACATTTAAAACATATAGCTATTACAGTTTTACATATTACACCTAAATTACTGTAAAATCGGCACTAAAATGGCCGCCATTTTGAAATGAGTAGCCATTTTGAAAATCGGCTTTCGAGCAGAACTTCTACCCCCATAGGGTATATGTGTACAAAATATGAACAAAATCGGGCCAACGGTATTTGAGTTATTGCCCGGACGGACGGACGGACGGACGGACGGACGTACGGACGGACAAACGGACGGACGGACGGAGGCGTTCCCTATATCCCTCCGAACTTCGTTCGATGGGATAATCATATCTAATCAAGAATCTATAATAATCATTCTACAATCAATACACTGGAAGTTATCATTGGGTAGTATATCAAATGCCTGTTTGAATTTAGATTTTGTTAATAACAAGAGTTCAGGATATTAAGCACTTTGATAAGTGATCTGAAAGAGAATTTCCATTTGCCAAACTTATCGAGGGAAGTGTACTTATACATGTCTATGTAAATGACAGGAATAAACTACAATAGACAGTAGACGATAAAATATAACAATACACATAGACTAACAGTATTGATATGGTTGCTAGAACTGATTATAATAATCTATCAATACCACATAAAATATATTTGGATATATTGACCATTTTACAAGTTATTGAATGATTTGAAGTGAAAAACAGGATATATTCTGCTCGAGAAATTCTGTATTGGAACAAGATGAAGTCGAGTGCCAATACAGAATATCGAGACTGAATATATCCTGTATTGCACTTCAAATCATTCAATAACGTTTTTATCATGTGATTTTCTGTAATGCAACTGAGATTGTCCCCTCCGTACCAATATTTTCTGTATTGCGACGGAGAAGATCAACGGGGACAATCTCAGTAGCAATACAGATTGGTACAGCACAAGAACTGACCAATCAGAAGGCTTCATTTTACAGATCATACAAAAAAATTATTGCTCATTTCAACAGGGTGCTTAAGAAACCCTAGCAGGATGTGGTATCATTGACTCTTAATTTGCATATAATAGTACATGAAAAAATATATAATACAATTATGATCGAATTATATTTCTAATATTGTCAAAAATTCAAATTCTGCATCCTATATTTCTTAAATTAAAATTCAATAGAATATAGTACATGGCCAGTAAAATCATCTCCCAGGCTTAGGGTGGTGTTTTGTTGATTTCCTTTGTTTTGAACCAATGGCATCGTTTCCTGTCAGAAATCTTGAGAGATGGCAGCATCACGCGGTACTAACTTTGACCGTTAATTTGAATTTTTGACCTACCAGATGTTTGAAAATCAAGGATAGAGTCTCATACTGCATCATTTATCTTCAAACTTATTCCATTCAAAGCATAACTAAAATCCCTTTCTGTTGGTACAATATTCTCTTAAACAGGGTCCCTACTTCCAACGGCATTTTGGTCCCCAGCTGTAAGGAGGACTTCTAACAGCTGGGGACCAAAACAGTGTATGCCCTAAGGATTCCAGAGCTGCTGGTCAAAAAGGCATTACTGACCAGTTGCAATGTTATTTTCCTATACCCAGTGAAAAAATCAACTGGTCAGTATCAAAAGTAACCAGATAATGACCAGCTGTCCGACGCTTAAGGCGTGCCCTGGACCAAAACGCTGCCAGAACAAGGGATTCTTTACAATAAAGTAATGCACCGACAGAAAGGCAATTTTATTTTGCTTTTAACCTCTTGAATACCAGCCTCTAAAAAGGGTTTGAAACCAGAGCATTATTCATTTTTTGCCAGTTTTTTGATATTTCCATCTACAAACACAATATTTTTATGTTCGATTTTATAAGAATAGTAAACATGGACCCATTACATACATTTTAAAACATAACTTGTGAAGCTTGGATAACACATGCCGAAGTAAGAGCAGTTTTATTGAAAAATTCTGTGACAGATATATCTGTCCTTCTGGGTTCCAAATGGATTTTATTTGTGACAGATATATCCGTCATTCTGGGTATTCAAGAGGTTAATGGATAAAGTTTGAAGAAAAACAGTGCAGTATGAGACTTGCAATCCTTGTTTTCCAAACATCTGGTAGGTCAAAAATTCAAATTAATGGTCAAAGTTAGTACCGCGTGAGCATGCTCAAATGGCAAAATACAAAAAAAAAACTTCTACCTCAATTTTGGAGTAAGTTGCATCAATTTTTGTAAAATTCAAAATAAATCTTATTTTTGGCTTTGCCACAATCTGAAATGACTGAAAACTGAAATTTGTATATTTGTAAGCAGAGAAATATCATAGGCCAATTACAAGGTTACTGCTCCGTACTAAATGCAATCAATCTAGCCTTGAAGCAAGCCCCCAAGATCATAGATGATCTCTCCATTACCATGCTGTTTTTGATGTTTTAGCCATTGGTTTCACTGTTGTTGCTTTTATCTTGCATAAAGTCTTCACAAACAATCCTCCAAGTAATTCGAATATTTCTACCACACCTATCATACTCCCTCCTAGACACAGTCCCAGTGTTCCCCCAAGGTCACTGAACAGATCAGACCCTGTGTAGTCAGGGGTCATTGTTGTAGTTGACACCAAAGTGGATGCTAACTTTACATTCACCCTTAGAAAGTTCTTAGATACCAATTCCTCTGCTAAAATAGTCTCCAGGGCTTTGTTACAGTCAACTTTTGTTCCATTTTCATGCATCACAGCCCCCATTAGGAGGGAGTAATATTTGGGCAGGTCAGAACTGTTCTCTGGACATGCAGTGCCTGTTAGCCTCTCTAGGAATGAGTACTGGTAGGAGCTTGGAAGAAACACCCCCTGTGATATAGTCGGCTTGTATGTGATCTGGTCACAAGGAGGAGGGCAATTACATTCTGCCTTTGTGGTTGCATTGAACATTTTCTGATTCTGCACTAAGCATATCCATTCAAAAATACCAGCAGAGATGGAGGATCGCATTGTAACATTTGCAAAATAACCACACATATCTTCAGGAGGAGATTCCTTTGGAGTTGATGCATATGATACTGACCCGCACCCACATCTCTCTATCAAGAAGTCCTGAACACAGTTAGAGAAGCATGTCTCTTGGCTGTAAGTGTCATTATGGTGATGTTCAATCTCAGTTGATAGCACACATGCTTGGTTAGGATAAGGATCATTTAGCCATTTTACATTCTCAACATTTAATCCAATATCTGTTGTCATGCCAACAGCTGCAGTGATTCCACCAGTAGCAACATCAATAGGAGTACCAGGGGGGTTAATGAATACTTTCACGCCAGCGCTATAATCAGATGGTCTATCAGCTGCAGTATATGCAATAGTTTTGTACTTGTCAACACCTTTTATAGCATCTGAATGCACTTCATCTTCAGTGAATAAAACAACGGAGAGTCCCATTAGTTCACCAGCGACATCTACAGTTTTGTTAGCTACAAAGCTAAAACAATTTTGGTATGCGACAGACTCGAGTACCTCAAAGTTTTCATATGTGCATCTAGCATTTTTAAATCGACATGACACAATGAAATCTTTTGCCTGATACCCCATTTGCTGCAGCTCAGCATAAGGTATATTTCGATAGGTGAACTGACGATTTGATGAGATGATACTTGTTGAAAATGAATACTGGCTACTAGCAAAATTGTTTAAGGAGTTGAAAAAAAGACTGGATGCTGTTGAACTGTTTCCTTGAAATTTTTCTTTATTGCTTCTCGAGTAGGCACTTAAAGGACAGATGGTGACAGTTGGAAACTGAAATTGTGTTGCTCCGATTGTTTGAACTTGTTTGACTGGCATCGATACGAATAATAATATTTGGTGTTTGCCAAACACTACAAATGTGACAGTGAAGTTCAAAACAGCCAAACACCAAAATATTCTCAGTGGTATGTTTTTGCTGGCACGAACATTTTTTATCCCATGTAAAACACTATTATCAACCCATTGATAAAAATATTCCTTTATTGAAACGGTTTCATTTTTTGATTCAGGTTGAACCATCTCTCCAAAAGTCTGTTTGTCTCTCGTGTCATCAGCGACTTTTTCATTTTTCGTAAAGTAATCTATGGTTGGTTTTGTCATTTTGTCCAGTTATATGTTGGTCATCACTCGAAATATATAATTATATTCCAATTAACAGATTTACTCCAAATAAGTGACCATAGAATCTTACTGCTCATTTATGCACCGTGTGTCGAATACTGAGTTAATGGTTTTCATATTTCCATTTTATACTAGGTGTCCTTATAGCTCAAGAATCATCAATCAACCTGTTATGACGATTATGAAACCAAGAATCATCAATCAACCTGTTATGACAATTATGAAACCCGGTCACATGTTTAAATGCGTGATTCCTAAATAGGGTTCAGTACCCTTAATCCTGGATAACAAACAATGTTGTATGAAACTAATTCTACTTAATGCATCTATAGAACAAACATAATTCAGGTTGTAATATTTGGCATAAATGTACAATAACTGATACACCAATATTGTTCCAAAAGCTCTATGATTTTTTGAAGGGCAGTCTGAATTTCAGATTATGAAAGACCTGTCATATTTATAAATATCGTTGAATATCATTATATGTATAATTGACTATTACAGAGGCCGCGCTAGCCACGTTTTTACGTATTTTACGCTGATTTCTGGGAGAGGACGCAGAAAAAAGCCCCCTGCGTTTCCTGTGACGCAAACTCATTTGTGATATCTAAAATCAAAAGTTTATCGTGTTGCATCGATGACTTATTCAAGGCAAAATATACATCGACAATATACTCGCTTCCTGGTTTCAACTGGTGCCCCACGAATTGAAAGACTTGTTTTTCACAATTTTCTTTATTATTTCTACAAGAGACCATTATATATCGATCTAATGTTATACAAAAGCAAAAGTTCACGACCCTGACATGACCTTGAAGATCGCGAGTTGGTAAAATGTGAAAACAAAACTCATTCATTCATTTCAGACTATTTTGGTATAAAATTACTTAAGAATTGTGTGAAAAGGACCCAATGATAGATATCTATCGGGAGGATGCATCCAATTGCAATATATGTCAATGTGATGACTGTTCGATTCTAGTTTTGTTACATTAGTTAGCTACATTTTATTTTTACTCAAACGGTCACACAAAAGTTTAACTTACCCCTTCTTTCATTAATATTAGATGCCATTGTGTATTTCTCGTGTATTTTAGCCGATTCCAAAGTTTGTTTATATTTTAATTCCAATGTTGTTGTCCTTGATTCTAGGTCAAGGACACTCGTGCAGTTTATTTCAATATTCACAATTCACGTGGTTGAGGTGAACTTTGACAACTTTTGTTAAGGATTGGTATCGATATGGAGAACTGAATTCAACAATGTTTTTCTCTTAAACCAGTTATTGAAAACATTCTGTAGAAAAATACGGTCCCTTATGTAATGTTGACTGATTGACAACAATTTAATGCGAAAAAAATTATATATATTTTGTATAACTGTTTTTGTTAACATTTTTTGTTTTTTAATGCAATTGTTTTTTGTTCCTTTTTACCAATTTTTGAGAATGAAACAAAACATCTTTCCGAAGCTTGTTTGAACAAAATAGCATATACAACATTTTCTTAGACTTCCCAATATTATATAGTTGTACAAAGGAAATTTTGGTTGATTTTAGAAAAAGTATTCAAAAAATTAAAACAAAAAACGTTGTGTTTATGTCATTTTGTTCCAATGAGGTTCGGATAGATGTTTCATTTCATTCCGAACATATGATACCAAGAACAAAAGAAGTGTCCGATGTGTTTTCTAAAACAATATAGAGAAAAGTATATGGATCTATTTCAAAGTATATTGTTACCATTCAAAAGATCACCATTAAATTGACAATGTGTAAAATTTTCAGAATTTTTTGATGACTGATTTTAGAGAAACGTGTGTTCAAAAAGTTCGTCATATCGATACCCATCTTTTGACATATTTTGTGGAAGTTGAGCTTATTTGATATATATCTATTATTATTCAACCAGTAATCTGACAGCATTTTTTAGAACCATAGAGATACTGATACACTTGTTTGCACTTTGGTGAATGTTCTGACATAGCAGTTGGATTTATTATAAAGCTAGTGTAAAATACTGTATATATGTACCTGCTACCCAACAGGCCCTGATCTGGCTATCAACTTATTCTCATTAACTTAAGTATTCACTTTGTGTACTATCTTTAGCCAGGCATTGTATTGCATGCATGCATCTGCTACCCCGCAGACCCCGATCTGGCAATATCTTTGATCTCGTCAACTACAGTATTCACTTTGAGTACTAGTATATTGCATTAGATGTTTCTCTTAACTTAAATGCATTCTAAGTGTTTGTTTCTTTTTAAGTACTTAACAGATAATAAGCATTGCATAATATTTAATGGTAACCAGAACAATGGCAACGCAAAAGTGTAGCGAATCCCATCGAACAGAAATGACTGGCATTTTTACAAAACAAAATATATAGCAAATATCATAATATAACACCCAAAAGAAAGGCCACCATTTTCAAAATGGTTGCTCACTAGCCAAGTTGTCATCAAAAGAGGTAATAGTCACATATAAAATTTTTAAAAAATTGCACACACATACATGTAAATGCTGGCCATTTTTTAAAATTGCCGCCTACTACCCAAAATGTCATAAGACAGTATGCAACCCTTACGTATTCACATATCAAATATGAACAAAATCGCTCTATTACTTTTTGAATTATAATAAAAAATGTAAAATAACACACATAAGAATGGTAGCCATTTTTCAAAATGGCCAACTACTCCCCAAAGTTTTAGGATATAGTCCTGAGTAAGGACATTAGCGGTTACCGTTAGTGATTTGGTTTTCTGAATAAAAAGTCATTTTCTCCTTCACTACCCCATTGGAGCGCCATCTAGCGTTTGGGAAGTGAATCGGGAATAAATATTTATAGGGTAGGTCCTAATTTATCTGAAAACATGTCAGAGTTCAGTGGGAAATCTCATTTTAAGCTGGCGGCGGAGTGATTTTGACCTTGGTGATTTTACCAGAATTCTCTGAGAAATCTGACGATAGAGGGGGTTAGTGTCTTCAAGTTTATTTATTTCAAAAATTCGGTGGACAACCCATGGCAAGATTGTTATAGCAGGCTAGGCGAGTCTCTCCCGAACACTGTGGTATGTTGCACTAGGCTTGGATACTAATCGTTAATAAGATACAGGGTAAAATGTTATAATGGCCACCTATGGGAAACTCTACTGTGATCTTCAACCTATTAGAAGGCGCTTTTTTGGGGCATTTTGAAGGTTTTATCCCTTTTTGAGTTTTTATAGTTCATTGAGAAGCCTAATAGCGCATACAATATTAAAGGGCTGTATCTTAGCTGAACAATGCTACCAAAATCGTGACATTTTGAAGCAATTTTGGTGTTTTGGGGGCGAGGCCACTGTGCCAAGTACCCCGAATTCCATTCTCCCGTGCCATTCAATTGTTTTCGGGGCAGTTTTGAATGAACCTTTGTTTCTTCCTACCAATATGACGTCATAAGATGCAATTGAACGCCTTGGCATGGATATCACTTGAAAGGTAGTAGAAATCGCTTTCCAATGATACCCCATATGGCCATGTTCACCTCAGTTGGGTGTACTCAATCTGTGATGCAATCTGTAAGGTGTACCCCTACCCCAAAGAAATTTCAAGAAATCTCAAAATCAAATTTCCTGAATTTTGCTAAAAGGACCTGTGTCTATAAGGATTGAATTTTCCTCCGTGCTTTTTCTCAAATATAGGATTGTTATATATCATTGTGATCGGGATAATGCCTACAATGCTAATATAACCATGTTGGAAGAAAACAAACTAATTCAGTTTACTATTAGAAGGCGCTTTTTTGGGGCATTTTGAAGGTTTTATCCCTTTTTGAGTTTTTTTAGTTCATTGAGAAGCCTAATAGCGCATACAATATTAAAGGGCTGTATCTTAGCTGAACAATGCTACCAAAATCGTGACATTTTGAAGCAATTTTGGTGTTTTGGGGGCGAGGCCACTGTGCCAAGTACCCCGAATTCCATTCTCCCGTGCCATTCAATTGTTTTCGGGGCAGTTTTGAATGAACCTTTGTTTCTTCCTACCAATATGACGTCATAAGATGCAATTGAACGCCTTGGCATGGATATCACTTGAAAGGTAGTAGAAATCGCTTTCCAATGATACCCCATATGGCCATGTTCACCTCAGTTGGGTGTACTCAATCTGTGATGCAATCTGTAAGGTGTACCCCTACCCCAAAGAAATTTCAAGAAATCTCAAAATCAAATTTCCTGAATTTTGCTAAAAGGACCTGTGTCTATAAGGATTGAATTTTCCTCCGTGCTTTTTCTCAAATATAGGATTGTTATATATCATTGTGATCGGGATAATGCCTACAATGCTAATATAACCATGTTGGAAGAAAACAAACTAATTCAGTTTACTATTAGGATAAAGTCCTGAGTAAGGACATTAGCGGTTACCGTTAGTGATTTGGTTTTCTGAATAAAAAGTCATTTTCTCCTTCCCTACCCCATTGGAGCGCCATCTAGCGTTTGGGAAGTGAATCGGGAATAAATATTTATAGGGTAGGTCCTAATTTATCTGAAAACATGTCAGAGTTCAGTGGGAAATCTCATTTTAAGCTGGCGGCGGAGTGATTTTGACCTTGGTGATTTTACCAGAATTCTCTGAGAAATCTGACGATAGAGGGGGTTAGTGTCTTCAAGTTTATTTATTTCAAAAATTCGGTGGACAACCCATGGCAAGATTGTTATAGCAGGCTAGGCGAGTCTCTCCCGAACACTGTGGTATGTTGCACTAGGCTTGGATACTAATTGTTAATAAGATACAGGGTAAAATGTTATAATGGCCACCTATGGGAAACTCTACTGTGATCTTCAACATAAGAATGGTGGCCATTTTTCAAAATGGCCAACTACTCCCCAAAGTTTTATTAGACAATGTGCCATGCTTAAAGTATTCACATATCAAATATGAACAAAATCGCTCCAATACTTTTCGAGTTACAGTAAAAAATGTAAAATTGACAGCCATTTTTCAAAGGCAAGCATTTTTCAAGATGGCTGCCATGTATTTCTTCTGTATTTACATTTCTAGCTTAATCAATGTCCTATATAACTTTTTTACATTTAAAACATATTGCTATTGCAGTTTTATATGCAGTACCTAAATTACTGTAAAATCGGCACTAAAATGGCCGCCATTTTTAAATGAGTGGCCATTTTGAAAATCAGTTTTCAAGCAGAACTTCTACCCCCATTGGGTATATGTGTGCAAAATATGAACAAAATCGGGCCAACGGTATTTGAGTTATTGCCCGGACGGACGGACGGACGGACGGACGGAGGAGTTCCCTATATCCCTCTGAACTTCGTTCGATAGGATAATAAACACAAACCAGAACAACGGCAACGCCAAAGCGTAGCGAATCCCATCGAACAGAAATGGCTGGCATTTTTACAAACGAATAGCAAATATCATAAAACAACACACCAGAAAGGCCACCATTTTCAAAATGGTTGCTCACTAGCCAAGTTGTCATCAGAAGAAATAATATGCTTTTAAGTAGCCACCTCTAAAATTTTTGAAAAATCTCACACGTACTTGTAAAATTACACACATAAAAATGGTGGCCATTTTTCAAAATGGCCAACTACTCCCCAAAGTTTTATTAGACAATGTGCCATGCTTAAAGTATTCACATATCAAATATGAACAAAATCGCTCCACTACTTTTCGAGTTATAGTAAAATATGTTAAAATGGCGGCCATTTTTCAAAATGGCCACCGTCTACCAAAAGTGTCATTAGAAATAGACAGTGTGCCATGCTTATAGTATTCACATACCAAATATGAACAAAATCACTCCACTACTTTTCGAGTTTAGTAAAATACGTTAAAATGGCGGCCATTTTTCAAAAAAATTTTCAAAATGGCCGCCTTCTACCAAAAGTGCCATAGGACAGTGTGCCATACTTATAGTATTCACATACCAAATATGAACAAAATCGCTCCACTACTTTTCGAGTTATAGTAAAATACGTTTTCAATTTTTTTTTCAAAATGGCCGCCTTCTACCAAAAGTGTCATAGGACAGTGTGCCATGCTTATAGTATTCACATACCAAATATAAACAAAATCGCTCCACTACTTTTCGAGTTATAGTAAAATAAGTTAAAATGGCGGCCATTTTTCAAAATGGCCGCCTTCTACCAAAAGTGTTTTTAGACAGTGTGCAATGCTTATAGTATTCACATACCAAATATGAACAAAATCGCTCCACTATTTTTTGAGTTATAGCAAAATTCGTAAAATGACGAGTAAAGGCCGCCATTTTTCAAGATGGCTGCCATGTGCTTCTTTAATATCTACATTTGTAGCATTATTAATGTCCTTTATAATTTTTTTACATTTAAAACATATTGCTATTACAGTTTTACATATTACACCTAAATTACTGTAAAATCGGCACTAAAATGGCCGCCATTTTGAAATGAGCGGCCATTTTGAAAATCGGCTTTCGAGCAGAACTTCTACCCCCATAGGGTATATGTGTACAAAATATGAACAAAATTGCGCCAACGGTATTTGAGTTATTGCCCGGACGGACGGACGGACGGATGGACGTACGTACGGACGGACGGACGGACGGACGTACGGACGGACGGACGGACGGACGGAGGCGTTCCCTATATCCCTCCGAACTTCGTTCGATGGGATAATAATGTTTCATGCCTATGCTAATACATATTGTATCATAGATAGGTACCAAATAAAAGAATAGCTGTACAAGACATATCCAGTTAATTTTCACCTTCAACATTCTACATTTGTCATGTAATGATTGTCCAAACAGGTGCTTCTTTATAATGAACATTTTACTATCATTTCTAAATTCAAGCGCTTGATTCCCCCTTACACATCACTTCTAATGTGAAACAGATATGGGACCAGAGAGTAATCCAGAGACTTAATGCAAAAAAAATTCTAGACATTCAATGTAATATAAAAGCCACAAACCTTTCCCTCCCTTGGGGTACTAAAAGTTGGTGCATTTCTCTTGTAGTCCATGAAAGATGCTCCTAGTGGAATACTGGCGCTGCCAGTTGATCTAGCACTCAATAATTCTGTCCTCTCAGCATCCCAATCAGACATGTGATCGGGAGTTAAGTCCTCGAGTCTCAAGGGAGGAGGACGATCCCTATCAGGAGAGTGACGTCTGAGGGAATGTGTACTGAAACAGATAGATGACATTACATGTATGTAGCAGTATTACTTAGTTTTTAAGATATACACATAATATGATAAAAACAAAGCATTAACATGACAAAATGTCACCACCTACTTGCTCATGATATTGTTCAATCTTAAGTCAGATTTGAATTTCTGAGATCTTGTAGATGATTTTGAAAAAAAAATTGGTGAAATTTGAAGCAAGTTAAAAAAGACTTTTTTGATCGACCCTGAGAAGGTCATTGAAGGTGGAATTTCAAATCTAAAGGTAAAATCTTTTATGACCTTGAGGATGTCATTTAAGGTCAAATCTATAGTCAGAGTTCAAGTTTTGAGAACTTGGAGATGATTTTGAAAAAAATTGATCAATTTGAAGCAAGTTGAAAAAACATCTTTTTGACCTTTTTTGACCTTGAGAATGTTATTGGTGGTGACATATAGAAAGCATCAACATTACAAAATGTCATTATCTGGAAAAGTAATACTAACACAGATGTAAATAGTCTTTAATGGCTTAAATAATGTCATAATAATCCAGGCATACTGTTATTAAATTTGAAAAGGCAAACAATAACTTCTCTATTATTGATTTGCATAATTACTGCAACGGCCAGTGAAAGATGTCAAGATGTCAAGTAAAGAAAGAAATTGGACAATATAAAGTTTCTCAGCTTCCAAAGTAACTTACAAGATACAAATACCAAGCAGTATCATGTTATAAATTGGGTATTTCACAAGTAATTATTATCTGTATTATATTATTCTCTTTCTTTATATCATTGTTGGACAAGAATGAAGCATCTTTATCAGTAAACTTGGGGTTAATACCAAAAATAGTTTCACATAAATGCAGGGCTGTCAACTTGGGACCACCTAATACGAGTGACTTCAAAATGTTGGACACCTAAATCCAAATCTGAACACTTTTGTCCAAATTTTGAACACCTTTGGCCAACTTTTAAACACCTTTGGCCAAAGTTTGATCACCTCAAATTTTTCGCGCTACCTACGCTCGCGATATCGTCAACGGGGGGGGGGGGGGGGTGGGGGGGGTGGGGGGGGTAGGTACGAAAATTTCCAATGAACATGCGTGACATATACGGGATTCGCGTGACAAATCCGAACAAATTGCGTTCGGTTTTTTTCCGACGTTCGTATTTTTACCGTATCGTAAACATATTTCGAAAAAATTTCTACAGAAATATTTTTGCTTGACAATTACCAGGTAAAATGCGTATTTGCGTGACATTTTCTGTCACGCAAAAAAAACTGGCGTGACTTCAAATTCTTCAGCAAATGCGTGACAAATACGCAAATTGCGGGACAGTTGACAGGCCTGTAAATGTACATGTATGTACAACATCTATCACTAACCCTTTTTCAATAGAGTTGATTTTCTTTAAGCTCTGCTCTGTTTTCTGTAAACGCTTTCTGAGCTCAAATACATTTTGTACGAGGACATCTTCATCTTTGACATGAGACATTGTTGTTCATCATAAATCAATTTCACTTCAAGATAGGATGGCACTGAAAATAAATGTAATTGATCTGTTAACAAAACAGGACAACCTCGAACATTGTCCGATGATGTCCGGCGGTTAACCTCAGGCAATGGCAGACAAACCCAGACAAAACGGACAAAGTCAGACAATATCTGGCAAGTGTATGGCTAGCTTAACCTACAGTGTAGGCCTACCAGGTACCTGTAATAAAGTAGATGATTGTAGCCTATCATGTAACATGATGATGATACTGATCTACGTTGACATACATGTATGAAGTGAAACCTGAATAAAATCTATATTGAAATATAGAGAGTATAAGGGAGAGGGGTGACTTACTGAACTCCACAGTCTAAAATAAAAATCAATACATCATGGGCGTAGCGCCTATTACGCAAAATACGAACAGGCGTACCAAATGAATTTGAAAACAATTGAAAATGTGTTAAAAAGAATTAATTTATTAGCAAATTTATTGATACTTCCTACTGTATCTGTAGACCATATCCTCTAGTCTGAAATTTTTTGAAATTTGGAATGAAAATATTCAGACTATAGCCCACATGTGTTAAAATTTGGGATTGAAAATTATTTGTTTACATAGAAAGTGCCATTCAAAATTAATCTGCATATTTGTTTCTTCCCCTAGCTTTATTTCCATTTGACAATATGCTGTGTTACTTTTTATAGCATTTAATTGTACAGGGTGGTCAAAAAATGGAAACCCTGTATTTTCCTTATATCTTTGTCACTTTAAGGAATTACTCCCTGATATTTCATACATTTGTACGTCATTCAATTTCCTACCACCCTACCACATTTCATGACCACAGCACTTTGAATAACATGCTTCAGATTTGGCCATTATCGGAGACCCTATCTGTTGCAAGACTAACGCCTGGCGTAACCGTCACCATGTTATTCAGTGTTTTTTAAGTAGCGCAAGGATCCTGCCATGACCGTGGTAATGTTATCGTGAAAGCCTGGTATAACCGCGACAATGCTGTATTATATTGCAATGCCTGGTATGACCGTGACAATGTAATATAGTTCTGCAAGGCTTGGTATGACCGTAACAATGTAATATAGTACTGCAAGGCCTGGCATGACCGTGACAATGTAATATAGTATTGCAAGTTCAGGTATGAGAGTGGTAATGTAGAAATTTACGATTTGGACTGCTATAACCGTGACAATGTGTATTGCAAAGCCTGGCATGACCATGGCAATGTAATATAGTATTGCAAGGCTTGGTATGACCGCCATGGCAATGTGATATAGTATTCCAAGTTCGGGTATGAGAGTGGTAATGTAGAAATTTATGATTGCTAATTGACCGTGACAATGTGTATTTGAAAACCTGGCATGACCATGCATGACAATGTATTATGGGATCGCAAAGCCTGGTATGACCGTGACAATGTAATATACGTATTGCAAGGCCAGGTTTGAGGGTGGTAATGTAGAGATTTAGGCTTGTTCTACTATGACCGTTATAATGTATTGCAATGACTAGTAAATATGTATGACATTAATGCCAGGAATATCCTTAACAATTTTAAGTGATCCTCATTACAATTAAACAGTTTAATACTATGATCATGGTGTTTAACTACCTTAATCATGTCAAAATCAAAATTACTACTATACATAATATTCACATTCGCTTACAAGCCACAATAAAGGCTACGGTCGCGCCAGGCTTCCACGATAACACTTCCAGGGTCATGACAGGCCTTGCAATAGAATACAGCATTGTCACGGTTATATCAGCCTGTCACGGTTATACCAGGCTTACACGATAACACTACCACGGTCATGGCAGGATCCTTGCGCTACTTAAAAAACACTGATTAACATGGTGACGGTTGTGGCAGGCGTAAGTCTTGCAATAGATAGCATGTGCATTATCGCGCTGTAGGCAAAACAGCACAGTTGTCAATGACCCGAATGCATTCCTCAGCAGGTATGGCCTGAATGACACAAATGATCTCACTTTTGAGGTTTGCAATTGTCCTGAGGTCATTCTCATATACTCTATCTCTGCCATATCCCCACAGGTAGGGACATTTTAGAAGATGAGTACAGGTTTCCCAACAACGCAATAGCGTCCACTGGGCATGTTCTTTATAGTGCTGTAACATTGTGACTATCAATCTGATGGTCATGACATAAAGTAGGCTGGTAGAAAATTGAATGATGTACACAAGTATCAGGGAGTTATTTCATAAAATGACAAAGATATGAGGGAAATGGTATTAGGGTTTCCATTTTTTTGACCACCCTGTACCTTGAATTGTTATAATGCTTATTTTTGGGAAGTGAAGTTTCCTAAAATTGATAACAGTTTGCATGAAATTTCCCGTTTTTTCCCACAGGAGGGACATAATTATAGATCCCGGCCAGATTCTTTTGTAGTAGGATCAGTAAGCTCAATAAATATTATTCTTTGAGCCTATGATCCTACTACAAAACGATCTGGCCAATATCTGTGGACATAATGATCAATAGACTGAATTCTCAGGAAATTCAGTCTATTGGATATAGACTACCGTATCTGTATGTTTACCATTCAGTCAACATTTAAAGTTGTTAAAAAAAATCTGTCCCGCGATAAAATCTTTGGGGGTTGACAGTACTGTGTGCGTACCAACTCAAAATATAGCCCTACGCCCATGTACATGTAATTACTTACTTCGGAAGTCAAAGAAAAAATCAAAACAACAAATGATTTTTTCGGAATTGATGTATTTATGCATTCTTTTTGATAACCTATAAGTTTATTTTACCTCACATATATGAATATACGTCCATTAGTCAAAATACGGATGATAGTTAACATAAGGTATTCCTATTAAATCAGTAAAAGCAACAAATGCAGTGATTATAATTTTTGGAAAGCATTCCTCCATTTTGGATCGTTAGGAAACCCGCCGCTATTTTGATTGGTTCGATAATACTTTCTAATTCTGGCTTTCTGCCGCCTACAAATGATGCAAAATTATGAGCAATATATACTATGATCATATAATATATATAACTAGCAATTAATGTGTGATCTGGATACACAAATAAGGAGAAAATACAACTTGAAAAGCCTAAGCCCGGGAGGACACAATTTATTTTTCTATTTCGTTTAGTGTATTTTTAACCAATCAGAGATGGTTATTTATTCACTCCTTATACAATATCAAAGTTGGGAAGTTTTCCACATATATTTTATAAAATGAGTGATTTTGAATGACCAAACTGTTTAAGTTCGAGTAAAGATGGGGTCAAGATTAAGGTAAGTAAATGCACTAAGTATATTCAAAGAATCAAAACCAGCAACACACGGATTCTATTTAAAATATTCACTTTTTCCAAAGTCCACCTCCAAATCTTTATTTTTTTCTGTGCACTGATTGACTGACAACTTGTTAACAATCAGGATCAGATTTGCATCCTAGGTAAGTATCCAGAAGCTGGGTGTTGAGTTCAGTTTTGTGTAAATATCTCATAGCCTATGTGATACGTATATTGTAATGTGGCTTCTTGGATCTGGTTATTTTTACCGTAAGTTTCATGAATCTACAAAGGAAGTACACATAACTGTATTCTTTATTTACCACAATCTAACACTTGTCAATTAGAGATGCACCCAAAGTCAGTTATTCTCATAGTTGGATTTGTAACATGAGGAACTGGAGTAGAATGCAACGCATGCATTGCAAGATGCAGACACGAAAAGATCTTATATTTGTAGCTAGTTTATAATCTGAAAAATATATTAGCGTTAAGCATTGAAACCTACAAGAAAAGTTATTTTCTTTTCAAAAGAGGCAATTGTCAATTAGTGAGAATAATTTAGGTACCCCTTTATATATAGAGGTATGATTCATGTTTAGTTATCTAAACCTACTGTAAGATTTCAACTAAATTTAAAAGGTGTGAATTATAGCTACTGTAAAAAGTACAAATCATGTTGGCAAGAATCAAGAAAATCCCTGATTTTAATTCAAAAAGGTGTCTACACGAATTTGGGATGCAACTTATATTCATTCAGATGGAAATTTTTAACTTAATGAGAAATATAGAAAATAACTGATTGCCCTGGTTTTAGCCCTTTTATTGATATTGAAAGAACTCATATCAGATCGAAAACATGTAGTTCCTATGTTCTACCATACCAGATAAGTAATAGGTAATACAGTAAGACGATTTACGAAGTCAACTATTGAACAACAACCAGCTACATGTTTATCAATGACTAATACATGTTCAGTAACATTCAGACTAACTTTTACTCAACCAGCAGACACTTCAAATAATTGACAAAATGTGACTAAACCTCTATATACTACTAATGATGTTAATGACAGTGACTCATAGAGATATTAGACTTTCAGTTTGTAATAATTAAAATGAAACAAATGTATTAATTATCAAAACAATGTTCTCTTTCTCCCTTGATTATTCTCATCTTACCTTTGCGACCATAGTCTTCAAGACTTTCAAAATACTCAACTCGGTGCAAAATTTTCAAATCTGTTCAACTTATTCTCAAATGGGTTAAGTATCAGAGGAGATCATTGCAAGTGGCATCAAATTTCAGTACTGGTATCATGTACACCCGATGTCGCAAAAAGTTAAAAAAAAATCAAAAAATATGATTCATTATGTTGAAATTTGAAATCCCTTGATGAAAACCTTATTCTTGACCTTTTATTCTAAGTCTGATTCAAATTCTGACATTCTTTTGACCTTCTTTGTGTGCCTCAAGTTTCGCCTCTCATATTAAAAGTAGGGCTGCCATCGAACTCAAATGTCAGTGTCGACAGTCGAACTCTGCTGTCGAAAATATTGTCGACAATCGAACAGGCGAAGAATTTATGTTGACATTTTTATCTGGTTCATTAACACACTTTATACACTATCGGGGAAAAGCTTCATATAACTTATATTCATATTGGTATGTAATTGCCTAATATTGTTACTAAATGCCAAGTTAATAGAATATTATAGACGAAAATGGGACAAATACCTGCAATGTTTCGACCGGGATTTATTTCGACTGCTCGGGCGAAATCTCGTACAACGTCTCGCAAGAGAGAAGAGAAGTCATGAAGGGAACTTCCGGGTGAATTTATTTTTTGAAAATGAAATGAATGTGAACAATATTTCCGCAGAATACGCGCACATAACACGTTGAAATGTGTATTGAAATGTATTGGGGCCATTTGGATATTTTCAAGTAAGTATTGATATCGTTTGCTGTCGACATGACGGGAATTTTGTCGACTTCGTTGTCGAACTTGCATTTTGACTGACAAGTCGACGTTCCGACTAATGATGGCAGCCCTAATTAAAAGAGAGTCGGAATGAGAGAAGTTTAAGTTTAAGCTGTTAGAAAACTAATCTAGTGATATTTACATTTCGGCCCTCTAGTTTGAAGACCATTTGAAGAGCAATGAAGCGAACACTTCCGGGTATAAAATTTAGCAAAATTTCCTTGACAATTGATGTTGTTTTACAAAAAACAACACAAAATCAGATAGCAGCTATAGTTTATTAAGGGAGAGGTAAGGTATTAGCATCTTCTTCGTTAACATGCTATTGTCTTCACACGACATCAAGCATCTGATATCAATACTGGCACTGAAGCCCAGTGCCATGCTACTTGAATGCGCTACTTCCGCTCATACAGTGATGCACTTATTGCAAAATACAGATTTGTATATGTAGTAAACCGACAAATTGGACTCATTTTTACAATATAATTTTATGTAGATATTTATAATTACTCTCAAAAAGATGAGACAGTTTGCTATAATTAACAGGCCAGCAGTTATCTGCTGGTAATTACATAGCATTGGTTATGATTCATCTTCATCCTGTCATATAACAGTTCAGCAAAGCATTCTGTTTCTATTACATGTTATGTTGTGTAAACAATAGCTAGATATTAGTAGTATTGAATTTTTATAGCTTGAAATCGCTACAATAAAACCTATCTGGTATTCTTAAAAAGATATTCACATTTTGAGATACTCATAGAGGTATTCACATTTTAAGATTCTCACTTTAAAGAGGTGTTCACATTTTAAGATTCTCACTCAGGTATTCACATACACACGTTGTACTAGTCTATATCAATATGTGATTCAGAATAAACAATCAATAATATTGATTGGAATGTCAATTTAGATTGAAACCTAATACCAGGAATATAAAGTATAATGCAAATGAACATTATTAAAAAATCAGCATCTATGATTCATAAAGAATGATCAATTAATTTATCTGTGACTTGTAGAGTATTATTGAAAACAGTTCATGTAAGATTGTATTGAGATGTAAGATAGGTAGTACCATATGTATGTATATCCTGGAATAAACTTTAATATAGTTTAGGTATATTTCTATAGAATGTTTACTGGGTGAATTATCCCAACGAACGAAGTTCGGTAGGGATATAGTGAAGCCGTCCGTCCGTCTGCCCGTCCGGAAGATAACTAAAATATTAGTTGACGGATTTTCTTCATATTTGGTGGAAAGATGTATATTGATGAATAGTTTTACGCAAAAAAAAATTTTTTCAAGATGGCCCCCGCTTTAAAAATGGCGGGACTTTTTCGCAAAAATCATAAATTTTTCATTCTAAACCAGAGTAATTAATATTATTGTTTGAAATTTTGGTAGTATATTCGCAACATCTATCTATTTCACACATATTCAGTGTTTTTCATCCTGACCCCCAGGGGCCGTGTATGGGGGGTCAGGAAAACAGAAATTTTCACTAATTTTTAGATCTTTCTGAAGTATAGCTTTATTATACTCAAATGAAAGGCAATCAAGAGTAGATTGCAAATATTGTATCTTTTTTCTGATTCGAGCCTCGTAAAATTCAAAATGGCCGTCTAATGTACAATTTTGCAATAATTTTTCGATCCCTTCAACGTATGGCTATATAATACTCAAATTGAAGGAATTTTGGAGTAGATCACAATTATGGTATTATTTTTCAGATTTGTACCTCAGAAAATTCAAAATGGTTGCTTTGCAGGAATTCGCAATTCTGAAATCTAAATTTTTCAATTTTAACCAAAGTCATGAGTATGATTGATTGGAATTCGGTAATTGATATTTTGTTCGTTGGGATTTGCTACTCCGCGGAGTTGCCATCATCTAGTTTAACTTTCTCTGGCTAAACATGAAAATATGTTTTGTATGAAATAGATCTAGGTTAGAAAGGTCCATTATAAGGGAGTGTTAGAACTGTCGGGTCACATTGACTGATAACAGTCATTACTTTATTAAAAATTCATCTTCTCTGTTATCTTGCCTCTGAAACATCTGATTCATATATCATCAGGACTCAAATAAAATAGAAAATACATAAGCATGGATTCAGAGGAGAAGCCGGGGCCTGACATTTCAATGTAATGACAAAAATGAGCCATTTTAAATTACAAAAATGTTAGCTTCTTAACTCTCTGACAGTTTGATATCTAGATTATCTATAAATTGAATCGCGCCTCAACATTTTCATTGTTTTTTCTCAGATGTTTCAATTTCCCATTTTCAGGGAATGGTCACAAACTGGAGACTAACTTTTGAATCTCAGGCAGTTAAAGTAATTAAAACTCAAAAACTAGTAACAATATACTAACATTGTAACTTGATATACACCCCCACCTAAAACCATGGTGTTGATAAACAATATTTTAAATTGAGCCAAATTGGGCCAAACTGTTCAGCATACCCTCATGTTATTGCATGTATCAACTTTCTGTCCTGCAGCTTTTCTAGGTTAAACGTCAAAGAAAATGGTTTTAACAGGGTAGACAGGGAACTTATGTGTCACCTGTTAAGGTCAAGGAAGAAAATATTCTCTTTCAATTAAAGATATTTATGTAGATTTTATTTCAAATGTATAGATGCATAAAGGATGCCAATGATGAAAAGATGGTCAAAATGAATTTATATAACACATTTTCTCACACATAAAAATTAGATAAGTCAGTGATACAGTATTTGTATGTCATTATTCAAAAATAGTATCAGCACATTACTTTTTAAACGCTTTGAACTTTAATTACATGAACTTTGAGGGAGTAGGATAATTTATCTTTTCATGTAAAAGTAGTTTCCTCAATATTCTTATGCTATATTTAGAACATCTCAAGTGCAAGATTTATAAACATAATATTAATTATTTTGATTATTGATTTACAGTTTCTGTTTTTGTTCTCACTCAGTAACATTGGATTTTAGTACTTATTTAACAAGGAAGTCTGAAGTGCTTTTAAATAACCTAATAACATATGAATATGCACTAAGAATTTAGTCTGAACTACTACTATGAGAGTATAATTTGTAAAATTGAAGTTTTCTTGATTATAAAAATATGTGCATCTTCCATTCCATGAAGCTTGAAAATAAAATAAAGTATTTGTAAAATACATGATTCTAATAATCACTACTCTGAACAATATACATTTCTTTGAAAATTCCCAGGAGTGATGAGTACGAGTTATTAGCTATTAATGTTCATCTGTTTGGGGAGTCGCTGAATAGTTGTAATAACCAAGTGTACTATTGAGAGCCAACAGGCTTAAAAATAATGTTTATTCATTTTGGATACCAATATTATATTTTCATGCATCAGAGCAATGTCTTGTTCGTAAAACCCTGTTGATCTATTGATATAGACCTACTATTTATGTTTTTCAGGAAGAACAATAAGCAGATATTTGAGTTGTTCTGTGAGGTGGCCAGACCAGAGGACTCAGATAAAGGTACAAGATGAAACTATTTTTGTTGAAGCAACTGGTATTTAAAACAATCACAGTTGCAATATATATGTAGCTACAATTTGAGAATGTTCAAAACTTTAAAATTGTTTGAAATAGTCAGTGTATAGTTTGGCTAACTGAGGGGATTAGGTACTTATTGCTTTGTTGATGTTATCTATTAAAGCAATAATGTTAAACAGAACACAGTATTCACCTCTTATATCCTACCCTGAGGTCTAAAGGCTAATTGTAATAATTACTACTTTCTGAGTGAGACAAATAAATATATAATTTTGATGCTCGTAAGGTGTAAATAGACCCAAACTAGTTAGGTATGGCTCACTGAAAGGATTAATATGCCATTGAATTAAGTCCGATAAGGATGTAGAGAAGCTGTCTATTAGTGTCCAGGACTAACTCAAATACCAGTTGACAGATTTTATAGGCTTATGCCTAAATGGTCTTACACTATTTTTTCACCAGCCTTTTTGAGTCCTCTAGAGACCTATGAAGACCAAAGTGTCTTGCACAATAGCCCAATATATCTTCATGGGCCTGTTGAGTCCTTTTGGGTCTTGTTGAGTCATTTTGAGTCTCATGAAGTCCTCTGTGGTTGTGTGAAGTCATGCATGAAGGTCTCCCTTGCCATGGGACATGGCTTATGTTCTATGGGCGAAGGACATGAAGGTCTCTCTTGCCATGGGACATGGCTCATGTCCTATAGGCGCATTCAAAATGTCTGCCATTTATTGTTTCAAATGTGATGTTAGATAACTCAAATATGAGTAGACAGATTTTATATGCTTATGCCGTATAGAAATAGAGCATTGAAAAAATCACTTATAGCCATTCAATTAAAATTTAAAAAGTTAAAATAGAATGAATGCAATTGTATTTTTTCAGTGTCTCGTGTTACAAGAAGGTCATTCTGACCTGTATATATTTATCAAAAATCATTTTCTTAATACTTACAAATTAAATTTTGACATTTGTTACAAAACTTCAATTCTGATTGTGAGAACAATTCAAGATAAAGATCATGTAAATCAATCAAACTAAAAATAAATTTTACTCCTCTATGTAGTTCTTCCATTTAAAGTAAAGATCTTGATTGACAGCTCTATATTTGGAACATGAAATTGAAAACCTGTGTTAAAACTCCAAGGTCAAGCTGATCTGGCCACTTAGACAATTTAAAACAGTTTTTTTATAGAAATTGATCAATTCTATCTTGATATTTCTCAGTCAAAACATATTTATACAAAAATTGAAGTTCCAAACCATTCTTGTCTATCTAATACCAGTTTAAGCAAGAGGTTTTAATCATGATTGTTTTTGTCTGAAAAAAGGTTTTTGTACTGTATTGTAATAATGTTTTGTCAAAGAATTTCTCATAGATATAGGTTATGGGTTTTATTCCGAGGGACGATATGATATTGACTGAAGGATAATATGATATTGACTGAGGGAGTGCAACGACCAAGTGTCAATATCATATTGCCCAAGGACAATATCATATTTTCCGAGGAGTAAAACCCATGTTCAATCCCAACCCAATTTTCACTAGGTAGTTAATGAAAAAAATTCCAAACTTTTGGAAGGTAGTGTCTGCTATCAAATCTATGTCCAGATGAGATAATTTATCTAATGAAGTTAGCAACTTAATGAAGCTAAATTTGTTACTGTTAAGATGCATGTCAATCTAGTCTTATACTTCAATTTTTATAGACCAAAAATTCAGTTTCTGTATTTGATATAACAGCGCTTTTCTCAGATTTTTTATTGCTTGGGTTTAGAAAGTAAATAACTCATTAAAATAATCATTCTGTTGGGATATTTACACTTTGAGTGTTTGTTTTTTAAGTTACTATTAATAGATGCATGTTTTTAGGTATAAACATTATGTTGCTTGCTAGTGTAGTGATTTATGGCATCTTAACCTATTACATAGTTGCTATTTTACAAGTACAATCTACTATATAACAATGTTATACATGTACCTTTTATAAACATGCTTTATCATGTTCTAGGCATAGTATGTTAAACATGATATTACATGTATAAGGGAAACAATGGTTTGCCTTATGCATCCCAAATCATAAGGGCTGTAAATATGGTTTCTTCGGTACATGCCCAGAGCCAGCTTTTGCCAAGGGGTTGTTCATTTTTCCAAAAATACCATGGGAGTTTCAAATTTGATAATTTTGGCTCAAAATCACTTGAAAGGTGCTCAAAATGGTAAAAAAACTGCATGAATTTGAAAGACTTTTTGGCCAGGGGGCCCTGAACTCCCGTCCTGGCTATGGGTTGGGTCTACATTATATATTTGACATGCAAGGTAGACGTATAAGGGCTTCTTGCAAATTGATTTATATGATTTAGTTTGAAAACTTATGTAGTAGACTATTTATTCTGGATGGCTATGTGCAAAAACTGGTCTCTCTAGAATATGAGACTCAAGACCATTTTTCTAGAGTTTACATTTACTTTCTGAATACTGTATGTATAATGATAATACAAAACAATTTAAGAAATGATGAAACTGGAAATGCAAAATATTTATTGTAGTAAGGGAGTTGATATTTTGCGTTATAACCTACATACACATCTGTAATCTATTAGTAGAGTGACTAGGAAAATGTCAAAATGTTATATCACGTGAATCAGGATATGGAATTTGGAACATAAAGCACTAAATGCTTACATAGAGATTACCCTATTTGTCTCTTTATCGCAATATATGTACATGGGCGTAGGGCTATATTTTGAGTTGGTACGCACACTCGGGGATGCTTAATTGTGTGGCCGAAGGACGCGCATCGTGGGGGTCCGGGGTATGCTCCCCCGTGAAAATCTTTTTCAAGGACGTTAATTGATGGAATATAAGCGTTTTTATCAATAAATTCGCAAATAAATGAATGCATTTGAACACATTTCTAATTTTTTTCAAATTCATTTGGTACACCTGTGCATATTTTGTGTAATAGGTGCTAGGCCCATGATGTATGTAATAAAGTCCTCAACAGTTTCACATCAATTTTAAGTCTTTTGAGTTTCATAATATGCATTGGACATATGAAATAAGCAAAAATAGCCATGATGACCCTGGGGTTAAGATATTAAATATATTAATTTTGATAACGATTTTTAGGTAACCCACATGTATTTTGTACTGTACAACTGTTAGGCTAAGAGGAATAAATAAAATGTTTAACATACCATCCCACATTGATAAGGTCAATGCAGCAATTATGAAAAATAAATCCAATTTATTATGTATTTGCCATAAATATGGTTTATAATACACATAATTAGTCAAAGTATAATACGTAAAATGCATAAGCTAAACAAAGTATTTAAATACTCTAGCCTTTATTTAAGTTGATGAGTTTGTAATATAAATGATAAGATGTTACTCATCAGGAAATGTATGCAATGAGAACATCTTCATCCTCCTTTTAAATAAAATGTGAAGATCATATCCTTGGCATACTCACTTACTACTTCAATCAGGTGATACTATTTAAAGCCCCACTATCCTTAATTTAGAAAAAAAAGAAAAAATGATCATTGAAACATTTTACAGTGTACTCACACACTCGCTCAAATATGACACAAAGTTTGATTAGCTTTAATATTGAACCAAGAAAAAGATAACTCATGTAGAAAAAACATTTGAAGTTCAGAGATCATTAGACATGCATGCACATGCTAAACAAAGTGCGACACTTCTATAAAAATGAATGTATCATGTAATACAAACAACTTCACCATCTTTCAATTACATTGATAAAAACTTGATAGATAAAGCTTGACAGATTGAAAATATATTTTTTTTGAAATTATTGTATAAGCTTTGATGTGGTCCATTTGAGCTGTTTTTTTAGCTGTTTTTATGAAAATTCGCAAAGTGGGCCTTTAATTGGGCCGAAATCCCAATTCCGGGCTGTCAGCTCAAAATATCTAGAAATTACAGGCAATTGTGAATGACCAATGTAAAAATAGTGATTTGATTGCTGAATGATCTGACAGTCCCGAATATTTGATTTGATAGTTCAGATGACTGGTCTGAAAAACTGAGGTGATTTGCACCTTCGGTATAATTATCCGAAAGATTTTAATAAGACGGCAGAATGGAGTCTCCCATTTTCAATCATGAAATCTTGATACCTTGGAAATGATCCCTTATAGGGAAACATCAGAAACTTTAGAGGACAGTAAAGGTCAATATTATATATCATTTGCATTAAGTGGTGTGCATTGAAATTATGTATGAGCATGATTTTGTGCCATTTAAAAAAAGATTTTTCTATTGACTCACAATTGCTAGAAAATTCATTTGTCTCAACTCTCCCTCATCTTTCTCATACACAGTGTTGTTTTGTCCAATCCTACCTCAGTAAAATAAAAACTGAATGTATTTGATATTTCCAGATCCCTTTATTCTGCAGAAGTTTCCTGATACTTATGAAGAGGAGGTAAGAATAATGATTTGTTTATTTAAGCATTCAGACTTCAAAACAGAGTGTAACTGAACTTTTAAATGTTAAAAATCTGGATATAATAGTTATAGTACACGTAGTTATAGTTTATTTATAATAGGGCCGTGCCATTCGACCGGAATCGGTCCGAACCGCGGACTTTTGTTAAAATACCGGAATTCGGAATTTTAATATCATGTTCCGAAGGGTTTCGGAACAATATCGGACCCTTACCTTAGTACTTGCTTTGAATCGTTAATATCCGTGACCATTGTTCCTCCAGTGATGTTTTCCTTCAAACTACATCCAATTTGCATGTGTATTACTCGCATAAACAAAATAAATAGCGGAGAAATCAACAGAAATCAAGTTTTGTTTTACGAACTTTGACCTTCGGATTTCATTGGAAGTAGGAATCGACGGGGCGAAAATACTCATAGATAAATGAATAAATTTACTTTTCCATGACGTCTTACAATCTAACAGCGTTAATTAATTACATTTTAACTCTTACAATATCAGATTAATTGATTTAGAAGAAATTATCTTCCCCATGACAGATTTTCCTCGAGTAGTTTCGTATTCGTTTATATTTTTGGTTGCCTTTTATACTTGGCGTCGAAGTGCAAATGGCCGAATGGGTTCCGAAAGTTCCGATTCCGTGAGACCAAGTTCCGGTTCCGATTCCGAACCGTCCGAACCGGTTCCGGCACAGCCCTAATTTATAAGGTTAAGGATCAACAAGACTAGCGATGAGTTAATGATTTTCAAAAAGTCACAATTTAGCAAACGGTTTTCCCGAATCTAAAAAAAGTTAGGGGATTTGAGAATTTTCTCAAAAATGGTTAAAATGATCAGGGATTTTTTTGAAAATCACAGACTTTGAAAACGTTGTGGCAACCCAGTATAATGACTTAATTTCTGATATTCTCAATTATACATTTTTCTTTCCAAGCATCAAAGTTGATGAGAGGACACAAATCCAAGAATTATTTGTTATTTTGGGGCAAGTAAGAATACAGCCATGAATTATCACATATTTATTGTACATGAATTTTGATTCATCATCATTTCTTATTTCAGGATATTTTAAAGCAGATTCCAAGTTTCACATTTCCATGCAAGTTTGAAAGGTAAGAGTTTTTTCTCACTTTATCAATGTCTCATTCTTCAATTGTGTATCCTGAATTCCTTTCAGATAGATAGCCACAAAATACCCTATGACAACAACAAATTTTAGTTTGGTATCAAATACAACCTTACTGGCCTTTTGGCTCTCAGGGGAGTTTTGATGTGAAATAATGGCTGCAATACTTACAGGTAGAGCTAGTATGTCAGATGCTGAGTCAGGCATAAGGCAAAATTTCACAAAAAATATTTGTTCAGAAAAAAATTTCAAATGACATTAGATTGTACTTTGAAAGCCCCTTTTGGTTCAGACTACTGTAAATAGGCCATCATATGTACCCACAAAGTAACATGATCTCATCTGCCCTTTTAATTTTATTTATTTGAATTATTTGCTGCTATGAAGTTTCATCATGTATTATTTTATAGAAACCTCTATGATGACATTACAATGAGAATTGGGTAAATTGAAATTCACTTAATTTTGTGCCTTTTTCACATTTTAATTTTGGTTAAGTGGGCATACTTTTTGAGTGAATAAATGCTATTTTAGAAACTGTCAGTTTCTCCTGATGGATTACGTCTAATTGTACATTTTTTATTTGAGAGCTAAAAAATTTGTAACTAACAGCAAATAATGTGATGGTGCTATAAGTTTCTGTATTATCTAATCTTTATTAAAGTGAATACATGTGTGCTATAACTACTAATTTTTGCATTAAATTTTCACTTTTATTCCATGGTTTTTGGAAAGTTTTATGTTAATTGGTACAATCCAAAGGTGTGATGAATATAGTTTTAATATAACTTTAATGAACTTGAAAAGTGCTATTTCTTGACATCTTACAATTATGTTTGTATGGTTGGGTGGGTCAAGAAATCAAAACAGCAAGATAACTAAACTATTCATCCATTTAATGCAGAATATTTACACATGCAAAAGTGGTCTTGTGCCAATGTCTGATTAGGTTTTGGGTGTGCTGGGTATTTACCATTTAGCTCTTCAAATGTGATATAAATCACCATGTGTCTTGTTAATTAATTTAACATTGATTGGTTGATCGATGAATTGATAATTATATTGCACGTAAGAAATTAAGAAATGTATTTGTGTGCACAGTTGCAGAGACTTTGAGGGCTACATACGTGATTGTCCTATAAGGTATCATCATAGTTTATATATAGGCTATAAAGAGGGGGAGAACACCAACATACAATGTATCCTCCTTTTCATTGGTCTGACACCATGACTGTCATCATTACCCTGAATCAACAAGTAAAAGGATAACTATGAATTGTGGGTTATCTCCTCCTCTATAGTCTATTATATCATAGTCACACAAATAAACCATCTACCATTGAAAATCCTTCTTGAGTAACATAATAAGTTAATCTAGAAAGGTGTTAATTTAAGAGAAATCTTGCATCAACTCCCTGTATCACCCATCAGCTCTAGTTAGAGAGAGAATAAAGGGGGTAAATGGTCTAGATAAAAAAACTTCATTTTGAATATACATATATGTATATTCTCCCAAAAGAGATGCTCTCATCTGAGAAGTGATTCAAAGCACATATTTTATATGTAAAGTTTAGTATAGTTTTATACAAGAATATGGTAGTTGGTTTATATTATAGTCCTTGAGATTTGTTGAGCATGTTACCATTGGTTTGTTACTATGGTTATTGTTGGTTTAATTCATAGCATTTTACAATTATATTTGATTTGATTAGTCTGAACCCTCTGTTTAAACTTCCTTGTTCCTCCTTAAGATCACTTTCATTGTATGACTCTTCAGATGTTATAGATAATTTATTTTTGTTATCTAGGTTTTTCTACATTTTTGACATCGTTCACCAGTAATGTAGTCAATTGATCATATGTTTGAGGATGGTTGCTATAGAAACAGTTATACAGTGCAGCATGTTTTCAATTAGAATATAGGCAGTATATATTTGCAAAATTATATGTATTTTCTATTGTTGCAAATATAAAACTCTTGCATCAAGATTCTTGACCTATTAGCCATCTACTTCACTTTCTGGATTTGACATATTTAGGTTGGTCAGAGGACCATTTTCAAGAATATGGGTTCATTTTCCATATATTTCAGTACAACATATTGTAGAAAATCTTATTTTCCTTATGCTTACGACGCATTGTGGCTTCAATACATAATAAATGTACAGTATATGCTTATTTGTTGCCATAGTGACTGTTGGCTATTGTTTTATATTTCATATTTTGTGAATCTTTTATATCTTGGCAGAGTGTTCAAATGTTTCTGAGATTAGTTATATGATTCTTGTATGAAGTATATATAAGTGTCAGGTTTATAGAAAATATTTCTCCAAACTAAGGTGTATTTCAGGAATTTCATTAGAATATTTGACAACAGCCCAAACGAAGAAAAAAACAGGCTGAATTAATTGAAATTATAGTTTCAGTATGGAAACACTTGTAGAGTTCCTTAAACAATAGGCATGGGCTCAATCAGGGGTAAATCACTTGTTGTATTCCTATAATAAAATTCTTGTTTTTGTATTTCTGAACTAATTTTAATGACACATAGCCAAATTTCTTTTCAGCCCAGCAGTTGATCACTTCACATTTGTATTGACAGACATTGATGGCAAGTACAAGTTTGGCTTCTGCCGCCATGCTACAGGGGCCCAGACCTGTCTCTGTATTGTCAGGTATGTTTTGTGCTAAAATGGAATCACACAGTGAATTTTAATCATGCCTGATATTTATTCATGAATACAAACTCTTTATCTGAAACGACAAAATTAATATGAATATATGATCTAAGGTCATCCTCTACATGTACTTCCAACTAACCATTTCTTACATTTCCATTGGAGTTTTGCAATAATCCATTTGGAAATATTCAATAAAACTAGAAATGAAGTGACTTTTATCAGTGTTTCAATTGTAAATGCTGGTATCTAGCCTGACCAACACACATTCTGCCATCTATTTATTCATCTATATAGAAAATGGTCAATTGAAATCTATTTTTTCCAGCAATCGCCCATGGTATGAGATCTTCTACAAATACTTGAACTATGTGGCAGAGATCTTGAACAAGACAGATGATAACAGCATAGAGCCAATACTACAGGCCTTGTATACCTGTGACTCAGCAAAACCTGGGGATGAGGTTGAAGTAGTTGCCAAAAACTTCACCGAGGTGAGTCATGATGTATGATGTACATGAATACCTAACTACGAGAGTAAGACCGATCTGGAGGCATGATGTTATAGATATTTCAGAAAATAGGCAGTATTGGTTACCGTAACAAGTAGTTATGAACAACATGGAATTGAAGAATTTCTTATATAGACCCATTAAAGTTAGGAATTGAAAAATGTTGACAGGATCAGGAAAATATGCCATTGTGTTATCATGAATACATCTGCATTTTTGTGAGTTTGGTCTATTATGAAAGAAATATGGTTAACCACATCCAGTTTACAGCCAGTCCAATGCTTTCCTATAGATTTATGAGCTTTAGGATTATGAGTCAAATGTTCTAATGAGAAATGAGCTTTAATTTTCTCCATGTTTTATTTTCAGAAGTTTAGTTTTCTCTGTCCTGATCTTCATACCCTGCCAACCATCCCTGAAAATGTAAGTGAACATTTCTATCTGGTAGGCTTATTTTAAAAAGGATTTTTATGCTTGATTTCAATTCCCTGCTCTGTTTGAAATAATTTTGTGTATTTTGAATAGTGTCCTAAATTGGATTGATTTTCATCACAAAGTTTTCATTGAAAAATCTTGATTTTAAAGCAGTTTAAGCCATTGCTTTTATTATCAATTTCTTTATTGATAAAATATCATTTTGTGTTTATATATTTAAGAAATTTATGTTTTATATAATATACTTTACAGAGGAATTTGACAGAGTATTACAATGCCATTGATGCCAACAATATGATGACTATATTTGCAAGGTAAGGACTAAACACAACTTTATATAGATATAACAAATTGCAAATTTCAGTCCACAAAAAATCCTCTAAAATGATATGTAGTTTTCCTAGCCCAGATTCAGAATTGTTCTCTTATTATAGTATTATATATATTATAGTAGAAATCATTCATTGTCCATCAATCTACTGTCATTATCTAACGTATCCCAAACTCAAAGAATCCAATCTGGCCTGCACCCAATTGTAGCCTCTGTAAAACTTAGTCATAATTGTTAGTTTATACTTACATACAAGCTATAGAACTTGCCATCGAATTTGAATATTTTCTGATATTTCCAGCATGCTGTATGAGCGTAGGATTATATTTACAAGCAAGAAGTTGAGTCGTCTAACAGCATGTGTTCATGGTTCCGCCTCACTGTTGTACCCAATGCATTGGCAGCATCTCTACATCCCTGTACTCCCCTCACACCTGATTGACTACTGTTACGCTCCAATGCCTTTTATAATAGGCATACATTCCTCTTTGATGGAGGTAGGTTTATTAAGATTTTACTGCAAAATGTCAAATTTCAGAAATGGTAAAAACTGCTGGGTGTAATTTTGTGGTATATTCATCTAAATAGATTTTAAGCAAAAATATCCAATTAAATTTTTGATCACTATGACCTAATATTTCTTTTAAAAGAGGTAAGAGACTCAATGAGATTCTTGAGCAAAATGTCAAAGATAGGTGTATATATGTGAATTTGATGGTTGGAAATGATCAGGATTAGACGTTAAACTCCAAAAATCAATAAAGTTTGATTAGCAAAATAGATTTTTATTTATTATTTAGATTCTTCAAAATAAGCAATTGCAAGAATTAATATGAGCTCAAATTTATTATTAAATCTGAAATGTGATAATTCTGCTTTTAACCTAGTATTTACGTAAATGTAATGTGTTTATTTGTGCATGATTGTAGAAGGCACGCAACATGGAGTTGGGAGATGCTATAATAGTTGATGCTGATAAGAACACAGTCACTTCAGAACATGATGACCTGAACTCTATGCCAGATAATGTGGTAAGCTTATTATAGGTTTATGACAAGAAACATGCAAGATATTTGGACTCTTATATGGGCTTAACAGTAGGATGTTTTTAACATGATAGATAATCTATTAGTTTGTTCTTATTTCTGTCTTGTTTTGTAAAGGCTACATAATTATGCAATGTGTATGTATTTTCAATAAATTGCACATCTAAGAGCCTGATATTTCAATGGGGCTATTCCACTTGGTAGGTTGCCACATTGAAGAAGCATCTTCGCAGTCAACAGAGTGATAGGATAAAACAAGGAGTTATGCTCAGTGGGGATGGTGTCGCTAGAGCATTCCTAAAGTGCCTTGCTGCAATCATAGGTAATTTACATATCAAAGTTGCTTATCAAATATCACAGCACATATTATCATTAACTTACTAGAATATGAAAAGCTCGTTGAAATTTTTGAGTAAAACAATATAACTTGAAAGTTAAAAATACCTCCATATACAAAGTAGGAAAACCTGGTGCCCAATAAGTTGTAAAATATATCATTCAAATATTTTCTTATGTCTATATCCAGGTGGCTACAGGGATGCCCTGAAGTACCGTGTGGGGGAGAAAATAACATTTGACCGTGATGCCTTCATACAGACACGCCCTACCTCAAGTCAACCTTTCCTTGAGAAAATATTGCATTTACAATTGTTTGAGCAAGTAAGACACTCAAAACATGTGAATCGATATAGCAGTGGTCAAATAAATGTTTCTTATCTGCGAGGCAAACTTTCATAATGGAGGCACTGATATTGTTAAGAAAGTGTAACATATATATTTTTTTGCTTTATTTCAGTTCATAAATGACCGTCTTGATGGACTTATGGCAGGCCATGGGTTCCGTGATGAGTTTGAAAATGAGGCTAATGCATATGCGGATAAAATGAGCTCACATAATAAATATCTAGAATGGACAAATGAAATGAAGGTAAATTTGTAAAGATAACAGGATAGTTCTGCTTAATACCCAATAATATGATAAAACAATAATATTGAGATGAAGTTATGACATCAGATTTTTTATTTATTATATAACCTGAAGATATCAGATCATTATAACAGGGGCTGTTACTTGCATGTGAAAGTCCACATTTTCTTAAAGGTCAAGTGGCCTAGGTGGGGTCATATAAAGTACAGAGGTAAAACCTACTAAAATATGAATGTATAATATGGGTTGGGCATTTGTAACAAATTGATTAGAAAATAGTTTCATGATTGTATTTGCCACTAAAGACTAGGGCAATCCCAAATTGAAAACTTGTCCTTGAAGGCCCACTATACTTAATTTAGAAGTAAAAAAAAAATCATTGAAACATGTTACTCACACACTTGCTCAAATATGACACAAAATTTGTTTTGCTTTAATATTGAAACAAGAAAATAATAACTAACATAGAAAAAAAGTTCAGAGATCATTAGACATGCATGCACATGTTAAACAAAGTGCATGTTTTAAATTACAGTTAATTCAAAAGATGGCGACACTTCTATAAAAATGAATGTATCATGTAATACGAACAACTTTGCCATCTTTCAATGGCATTGATAAAAACTTGATATATAAAGCTTGACAGATGGAAAATATTTTTGATAATTTATTGAAAGCTTTGATGTGGTCCGTTTGAGCTGTTGTTGGTGTCAAATGAAAGATAAGCTTCTTACCAATACATTGGGGATACTATGAAATTTAAATGTAAGACTTTATTTTGCCCAAAAATGTTGAAAATTCGCAAAGTGGGCCTTTAAATGTAGTACATGTATTATCATTCAATATCTAGTCAGTCTCAACACCAATAATTATTGTGTAGATATTCATGGTTACAAGACATTGACGAATGGTATATAAATATCTTAAATTCATAGATCTTATTAATTAGTTTATTATCCTTCTTATTAGTTACGTCAGATATGCTCTGAATCTGACATTCTCCACACAGGATTCAGACAGCCTGTTTAAAAATAAGTTGTTAATTGAACAAAGAAATTCATCTCAAGATCTGAGAATGCATAAATAACTAATTTCTAATAGTTGATTAGTCCGTGATTACATTGAATAAACGTCACTGTGTAGGATGGGTTAGTTTGACGTTATCTTGCATATTGATTATTAAATCATGTATTTTTGCATTAAAATCATTTTGCAGTCAAACCTTATTAAAATGTAAGGTACATATAGGCAGGATATGTTGTGTCACGATTTTCTGACTTCATGTACAATACCTTTCACTGGAAAAAATATGAGAATATTAATTTGAGCAAAAATCTGTTCACTGCATGTGTGGTTTCCTGTAGGCTAATCTTCTTAGTTAATATGAGACACGATATATCTATAAAAGGATGTTTAAATGAACAACTGAGTCAGGAAATGATGTTGATCAAATTACATAGCTAGGTATGCCTTATTGGTTTCCACTTGTTTAATATCAAAGAGATATTTTGAGATCATAGAAAAGTACACTTATATATTTCAATTTCTTCAGGTATAAACTCCCTAAATGATTATTTTGAAGGTATCTGTTGTATTCCCTATTAATAGCAGGGTAACATTTCACACAAGATATTCTCAATACATTGTAGATTACAGCATTTCAAGGAACTACAGTCTATGAGCAGATCTGGAAAATGTGCTTCACTTTTCTCGCTCAAATTAAAAGGGCAAATAAGGATTGAAGTTTTTCTGTTTTAGAAACAAGGAAAGAGATTTAGAAAAGATGGAAAGGAGAAATGGATGGACTTCAAAGGAAAGGTATTGTTAATTTTGTGATCATAATTACAATGAATATAATTATAATTTTATGTCATATTATATTTCAACGTATATGTAGTTCCTTAATTGTTTTCCTGATGAACCTTATTTATTAAAGTAATAAATGTTCAGTATTATTCTGTATTTATTTGCTATTTGTATATTAGACTTGTTTATCAATGTTTTCTTTTATTTCATAGATATTTCAAAATACGGTTAGTTCTGTTCCAAACACAAATATTTAAGTTCCGCATAATGCTTTAGAGTACTGAGTCTATTATTTCTAGAGGTTGGTCAAGTATGATTCAGGTTTATTTGGGCTGGCTTGAGTTCAGCTTCTTTGTGTCTTTGGTTATTTTCAAGGGTCATTTTTTCCAAAGATCGTATTTACAGATCTGCAAATTGATGATTTGCGATCACCGAATGGATTCTATCTTGTAGTGACATCACAATTAGGCCACTCAGCTTTAGATGATTGATTTTGAGAGATTATCTTCTATATTTCATGCTTTATTGATTTATTTTTCACGAAAGCGTTCGATTTGACTAGATCAACATTCATGCTAAGCACATACCAAGTCTAAGATCTTATTGATATGATTTAGGTAGTGGTTAAGCGCCCCCCGATTTTGAAGAAAATGGGGGGCGCTTATACACATCGATGTTTAGTATGAATTTCACCCAAACTTCGCACATATATAGATATACTCATGATCTAGTCAAATCGGCATACCTGGTTAATATTTCGTGATTCCATCATGTCTAATATCATTTCTATCTGACGTCACACCAATAAGACGAAATACATGACAACAGTATCCATAAACAAAATACCTGAATTCTGATCGCAAATGGTCAATTATTTGTTCTTTCGCAAAATAGACAATTAACTTGGCTGATTTGTAACTTAACAATATTTGGAAAATTTGGCCCATTGTTGAATAATGCCTGTCATTTATTGGTGAAGTTGATCACCTATAGTCCAAGATGTTTTCAAATCCATTGATATGTCCCAGCACCTTGAATACAATCCAAAATGTTATCTGGTTAAATGGCTTCATGGTAACAATGCATTGTAATTTTTCAAACATTCTCAGGATTTTTCCGTGGGAGGGGGTTGTCTACATTTAAAAACAAGTCTCCAACATAAGTTGCACTTAAAACCTAGCTTCACCACCTCTTTCACCAAAGCACATAGTTCTTTTTCCTCCGAGTATCCTTTTCCTCAACATCTCGAACAATATCCTTGCGGAAAAATAAAATTTGCTCAAAAAGGGACACGGGATGCACTCGCATCTAATGCACCCTCCCTCCTGGATATGCCCATGATTCTTATTTAATCATAACTCTAAATCCTTCTTCAAAGGTAGATTTTGAATCAAATTTTCACAAGTTCACGGTACCTGGACTTCAGCAAAATGTGCTGGCTTAACTCGGCCTGAGGACAAATCACCATGGTAACCAAGCAAATGCTTACCTGATCAACTTCTAATGCACCCTTCCCTCCTGGGTATGCCCATGATTCTTGTAGATATATTTTATTCAATCTTTACTCTGAATCCTTCTGCAGAGGTAGATTTTGAATCAAATTTTCACAAGTTCACGGTACCTGGACTTCAGAAAAATGTGCTGGCTTAACTCGGCCTGAGGACAAATCACCATGGTAACCAAGCAAATGCTTACCTGATCAACTTATAATGCACCCTTCCCACCTGGGTATGCCCATGATTCTTGTAGATATATTTTATTTAATCTTTACTCTGAATCCTTCTGCAGAGGTAGATTTTGAATCAAATTTTCACAAGTTCACGGTACCTGGACTTCAGAAAAATGTGCTGGCTTAACTCGGCCCGAGGACAAATCACCATGGTAACCAAGCAAATGCTTACCTGATCAACCTCTAGAGTTATTTCTACAGTTTTCTACAGAAAACTCCATAGAGATTCCTGATAAATAAAGGAATAGTAGATAATAATAGACAACAGTGGAAAAGCTTTTGACATATGATACATACGTACAGTATATGGTTTGACAGGTATATTAAGTTAAACAGTTACGCTTTCCATGTTATTTGCCTTATTGCCCTGTTCCTAAATAAGCTATGGTGAAGTAACTTGCTATATGTTGAGTTAATCTGAATTTGATTGGGACAATTTTAATTCATGTGTATAACAAAATGGTAAACTAAATGATATACATGCAGTACTGTAAAACATGAACATTTCCATTTACCAACTTAACTGAAAAAAATTCTAATAGTCATTGATTTCGTCTCATTTGGTTTAAGGCCCTTCATTTTCATCTAAAACTTCATAGACATCAATTCTAATACATTCGGTAATGTTGTAACATCCCCGAATGCACAAATTACTGTGATCTGTTTTTATGTCACCACCATAATGTGGTAACACATTGTTGAAATCCAACTTTTTGTGGATGATGGTTGGTGTTTGAAATATGGTGTCTGTAACAAATGGCAGGTTGTGGCATTTTGCATGTTAATGCCTTGTTGATATAAATTGTTGTAGGAACCAACAGATTTTAGGCCCTGTTTATGCCCTGTGCTACTTGGTAAATGTTAGTATCATTCACACTGTTTTCTGTGGCAAAAAAGTTCCAAAATATCTATGAAAGACCTATTTTCTGCAATTCCCAAAAAGCTTTAATTCATAAGGATATATGACTTGACTCGTTTTCTGTAACTAATTGAAAAGGTGAGAGTAGTAAAATTCAATTTGGAATTTGTTATGCTTCTAACAATGTGAGCAATTCTTTCAAGACTTGATATTTCCAGAAAAAATCTTTGAAGCCTATTAAGTCTATTGTAAAAGATCATTTTGAATTAAAACCCTTTTTGTGGTTATTTAAAAAATAGTTACAGACTGTTCTTTTTACTTCTTGACCAGCAGACTCTAAAATGTTTTTTTTTCATTTTCCCAGTTTTTGACGTTCAAGTAGATTTTTTCTACACATTTGAAAACAAAATTTGTATAGGCTTGGATTAAAATTGTCAAAGTTAAGAGCAGTTCTAGTGAAAAATTCTGTGATAGATTATCTTGCCACTCATGGTCTAGTGGTCTATTCTACTATGGGTATTCAATAGGTCAATAGAAATTCACCACTGAAAACATCATCAATTATAGGGGATGGGAGGGAAGGGGAGGGGAGGAATGCTTCCAGGTATTTCATTGCTCATTCATTTTGTTTCTGTCATCTCCAGGCCAATCCAGCATTAAAACATGCAGCCAATGCAGTAAGTCAGCTGCACCATGTATTCTGTTCAATGCATGCCATGCACCATTCAATCTGCTTAATGCATGCTATATAATCAGGTCATTATGGCCATGCATTTCTGCTTCGTAATACCACTCAAATGATCTGATCTTTAAGTAATCATTGATTCCTTTCTTTCAAAGTTAATTTGTTTTTTCCTGAATGTACAAAGAATTGAACAAAATAAAATTGCTTCTGTTATTGTTATTGTTCATACCACATAAGCTAACACCATTGTATAAATGTTGATATATGATAGTTCCATGGTGTTTGGTGTACTAACAACATTTATTTCATCTTTACCTGAGTATTAAAAGCATGCGTGTATCATTGTTATCCCATGGAATGAAGTTTGGCAGGGATATTGAGGAGCATTGTGTGTCAGAATGATTTTTTTTTTTTCTTTTAAAATAGTCTTTATTTCATTCATTTACTAAATATATAGACAGTACATGATTTATAAAAACAGGTTTACATAATCTCATTGCAGTAGTTTGGATAATAAATTCCATTTGGAACAATAATACACATTTTTTCTACAATTAATTTCATATTTTAACATAAAAAGTATCTTTTCAAATGTTCTTTGTTCTTTACTATTCAGTTCTAAAATGTAGGATTTGTAAATGCTGTAAGCAACTATACTTGTAAAATAATTCAGAAAATTAGTTTGAGAGTCTTGGCCATTATAACCAATTATTATTTTTCTATACGAAATATTGAGACCACATGTGTTGTATATAAATTTCCATATATCCTTTGACAAACAACATTCAAAAAGAATATGTTTCAAATCACATAAGTGATTGCAAATACTACAATGATAATAATTTGTTATACCATAGATAAATAAGTCAGTTAACCCAGGAAGTATGTTATTAATTAGTTTGAAATTAAAATTGGCAACTTTTTTGTCTTTAATCTTGATGATCTTGCTAACAAAAAAATTCTGCCAATTTATTTCATCTATTTTACATTGATTTGTTATACAGAAATCTTTTTCCCATTTTTTTGAGACAAACCATTTTTCAGATTTTTTATTCTTCAATATGTTATAAAAGAAATTGGATTTTTGGCCTCTAAAATCTAATTGAACATTTTTTACTTTGAAATTGAGTTTTCTTGATATATTTGTGAAGTTTGCTTGTTCTATGTTAATGATTTTTTTTTATTGATTTCATTGCAATTGAGACTTGAAAATATTCTGAAATCCAATTTATTTTATTCCTCAATTTTTCTAGAATATAGTTTACATTTAAAAAATCATTTCGAATGATAAGATCTTTGACATAAATAATACCACTATCTATCCAAGATTTAAAGAAAAGTGGTTTGCCTTTTAATTGAAATAATCTGTTATTCCATATGGTTTGCTGGACTATTTCATGGTGTTTCAGATTTTTTATTTCATCAAGATCTTTACAGCTATTGAATGCTTTCAAAACTTGTTTGTAGAAAATAGGTAATCCCTCAAGCTGGTCTTTAGAAAATACATTCATTTTTAACAAAATATCCAAACTTGGAGCAAGTTTGTCAAAATAAAAGTATGGAATTTTGTTAAACATATTGTTTTTGTCGTATATACGGGTAATCCATACAGCTTTAAGAGCATTTAGCTGTGATTCTAAATCCAGCATATTTAGACCCCCATTGTCTATATTGTTTATCATAATAGTTCGCCTAATCTTGTCTTTCTTGCCATTCCATAAAAAGTTGAATATCAAGTTGTTTATTCGCTTTATAATTTCTTCTTTATAAGATAAAATTGATGCTGAGTAGATAAGTTTTGATATAGCTAAAGATTTTATAACAGTGATTTTTCCAAATAAGGTAAGGTGTCTTTTTTTCCAAGAATCAAGAATTTTTTCAAGGTCATTTATTTTCTCATTCCAATTTAAATCATAACATTTATCTTCATTGTGACCTATATATATGCCTAAATATCTTACAGGTTCATCTGTAAAATTAATATTTTCAAATTTTTTTTCAAAAGTACGATTGGTTCCAAGCCATATTCCTTCTGTTTTACTTAAATTTAGTTGAAGTCCCGAATATTTCGAGAATTGTTTTATAGTTTTTAATGCTTCACTTATGGATGCTTTATCTTTGATAAATAATGATGTGTCATCTGCTGATTGTGAAATTTTATATTCTATGTTATCAATTTCTATACCCTTTATTTTTTTATTTTGAACTATTTTCAAAGACATAACTTCACAGCATAATATGAATGAAATTGCAGAAACGGGGCAGCCCTGCCGACATGAGCGTTCCATTGGAATATTATGTGATAGCCATCCGTTTTGTTTAATGTTAATAAATGGATTTGTATATAATAATTTAAGCCATCTGATGATGTTATCGTTAAAATTGAATTTTTTCAAAGTTTCAAACATGAAGTTCCATTCAATAGAATCAAACGCTTTCGTAAAATCTAAAAATAGAATTGATCCTTGCCCTTTGTCATTATTTTTAAAATACTCAAAAATATCTAACACTAAGCGGCAACTGTTACCAATGTATCTACCATTTATATATGCAGTTTGGTGTAAACTAATAAGTTTCCCAACTACTTACTGTAGCCTGTCTGCAAGTACAAATGCTAGTATTTTATAGTCAGTATTTGATAGACTTATTGGCCTATAATTTTTTAACAATTCTCTATCACCTTTTTTAAATAACAGCGAAATGATGATTTTTCTAAATGAGGTTGGCAATGTGCCAGTATAAAAAGATTCATTTATAGCATCTAATACATAATGTTTAATGTCATGCCAAAAATATTTATAAAAGTCTGATGTCAAGCCGTCAGAACCTGGCGATTTATCAGATTTCATCTTTTTAATTACAGCTGAGCATTCTGATTCGGTAATTTCACCTTCTAATAATTTATTATCATTCTCATTAAGTTTTTGGGGAAAATCAACAGAGTCCAAGTAAGCTTTTACTTTATTTGTATTTTGGGCTTTTGAGGAATATAGTTCGGTATAAAATTTTATTTCTTCTTTAAGAATTTCATTATCAGAAGTGATAATAGAATTATTGCTTGTCTTTAATGATGTAATAGTGTTATTGATTTGACGTGATTTTTCCAAACTAAGAAAGTATTTTGAATTTTTTTCACCAAATTCTACATTTTGTTCTTTTGCTCTTAATATTGCACCATTTGTTTTTTCTTCAAGTTGTTTTTCAAAAATCAAAAGAATTTCCTGTTCCCTTTTTTTCTCATTTTTATCTAAATTTGGATTGTTTTCTAAGTTATTTAATTCTTCCTTTAGTGATGAAAGTTCCAATTTTTTTACTTTGTTTTTGTCTATTGAGAATTTTATTGCATGTTCCTTGATTTTTATTTTAAGGAACTCCCATTTCATTTGTTTAGATGTGTCAGAATGATAAATGATACTAGGTTACATATTTGGTTCAAATTTTATAGGTTAATAACTGTCATATCGGCAAAGAACTGTGTCCAAGTTTGAATATTTATATGGCTTCTCAATTCAAAATTACCACCAATATGGAATTTTCAAGGTGGTTGCTGAATTCCAAATTGCTGCCATTTTTGGAAAAAATATTGATTTGATAAATCATGTTTTGTTCAAATTGGATTTGTAACTCTGTGGAGTTGTTGTTTTTCTATACGCTGTTGCTATATGTTTTACAGAAGATGGTTGATTGAGTTAAAAGTCTTATGATATATTTTGCTATGCTTTCTCCTTTTTATGTCCCCACCACATAGTGTGGGGCCATATTGTTATGTCCCCACCACATAGTGTGGGGCCATATTGTCATTGTGGATGAAAAAAATTTAACTCGAAACCTACTTCCTGTCGGCCATTTTGAAGTCAAATGCTAAAATCCTTGTCTGCAAACTTTAAGAAAAACGGCTTCACAGTTGCTTTTAAAACTTTAACATCTTGTTCAGCTCACTTCATTCTAGATCTGATTAGGTTTTATTATTATTAAAAATATTTTATTCGTCTATAAGTTTTACATACATTATATTAATACAATTGGACGAAATGGATCGGACAAGAGGCTTTCGCCTATTCTAAGTCCTCTCCTTTGGTTGTCCTAGAGAATTATTACAGTTTTATTTATTTGTGCAGGATGGGAGGCTTGGGAAGAAATGAGAGAGTGAAAGGAGGAAAAACTACTTGTTAGAGAATCTTTTTGTAACTCTTATGTAATTGTGAACAGCAGTGAATGTGGCTTTGTTTTCTTCATCTGTTTTCCTTGCATTTCCATGGATAAGTTCTGTCAATGTTGTCCTAGGTAGAATTGTTTTGTGTCTTTGGTATAAAGTACATTCTTTGAAATAGTGTTCGGCACTTTCTACTGGGTTTCCGCATTCACATTTGGGGCTGTCCTTTACATGGTTGAGATGTAGATCTTGGTTTAAGTCGCTGCATCTAAGTCTTATCTGTGTGTGTATTATTTGAGTGTCTCTTTTCCCATAGTAATAGTAATTTGGTACCTTCTTCTTGTTTGTTATCAGTTTTTTGAAGTGCTCCTCAGCTTTTGTGCTTTTTATTGATGCATCAACGTCATTCCACACTTTTATTGTGGCTGGTAGAAATGATTTTCTGTACGCTTCAGTTCTGCATACAGGCATTAATAGGTTGTTAGCTCGTCGGAGATCATGGTCAGACCTTCTCTTGGTTGATTCAATCACATTGCTCAACGAGTCTGTTATTTTTTTGTTTATGAGTTTGTGCATTATTAGTAGTTTTTGTGTTGTTCGACGCTCTTGAAGTTTTGCCCAACCTGTTTCTTTGTATATCAACTCGTGGCTTGTTCCTCTTTTTGCCCCTGTACAGATTCTTGCAGCTTTTAGTTGTAGTTCTTCTAGTTGGTCTTTTTCATAGTTATGACAGTTGTCCCAAACTGGGGAGGCATATTCAATTATAGGCCTAATAAATGCTTTATACATAATTTCCAGTGTTTTTCGGTCAAGTTTATATTTAAGTCCTCGCATGACATCTATCATCTTGGCAGCTCTATTTGTTATGTTCCTTATATGTGATCCCCATGTTCCATTGTTGTCTAATGTCAGGCCTAGATGTTTATGGTTAGTTACTTCTTTGATAACTTTTCCATTGAAAGTGAGTTGAAATTGTCCATTATTTTGGTGTTTTCTCGTGAATAACATTGTTTCTGTTTTTTCTGGGTTGAAGGTTAGTTGCCATATATTGGCCCACTCGTTTGTTGATCGTAGTTGTTCGTTGAGAGTTTCAATTATGTTGTCATTTTCTTTTCCACTTGCAAGAAATGTAGTATCGTCTGCATATATCCTTCCAGTGCATTTATCAGTTAGGTTTTCCAAGATATCATCTATGTACACCAAAAATAACAGTGGTCCTAGGATGGAGCCCTGTGGAACGCCTGCAGAGATATACCCCCAGCTGGATGTTTCGCCATTGAGAATGACCCTTTGTTTTCTGTTGGATAGGTAACTTTTGAACCATTTTAGTAAGTTTCCTTTGATTCCCTTCCGTTCTAACTTGTTAACTAGGCCTTTATGCCATACTCGGTCAAAAGCTTTTGACATGTCACAAAAGACGGCTCTTGTGTTTTCATTATTCTCCATTGTCTCCATGATGTAGTTGTACATCTCTAGTAGTTGCGTTGTTGTGGAGTTTCCTGGGGAATAAGCAGATTGGAATTTTGACAGCAATTTCCATTTGTGTAGGTAGTTATGTACATGAGTATACATTGCTCTTTCAAATACTTTCGCTACACAGTTCAGTAGAGATATTGGTCTGTAATTTGTTGCTATTTCTCTTCTGTCTTTTTTGAATATTGGTGTTACATTCGCTTCTTTCCAAATGTCTGGGAAGACATTCTGTTTTAATGATGCATTGAATATTTGTGCCAGTATCGGTGCTATTGATTTTGCAGTCATTTTTAGAACACGTGGACTTATATTGTCAGGCCCTAGTGACTTTCCTGGATTCAGATTTATAAGTATGTCTTCGACTGTCTGATTTGACAATCTTACCGTTTCTATACTTTTGTCAGTTGATGCTTGGAGAATTGGTGGATCTTGATTAGTTTCCAGTCTGCTTTGGGCTAAAAAATGATTATTCAATAATTCAGCCTTTTCTTTGTTGTTTGATATTGAATGACCATTGACAAGAAAGGGTGTTTCATTGTTATCTGATGCCCTGAAATCGTTGTAGAACTGTTTGACCACAGTCCACCAGGTCTTTGTTCCAGTTTTTCCATTGACCAATTTCTGTGAGAGTCTTAGTTCGTATTCTTCTTTGGCATTTCTGAGTTCGGTTATTGTTTCATTTCTCAGCTTTTTGTATTTTTCCCATAGCGTGTCTGTTCTTAGTGTTTTTGCCATCTTGTAAGCTCTGTTCCGCCTTCTAATGAAACGTTTTATTTTTGTTGTGATCCATGGCAGATCATTTTGCCTTATAGTTATTGTCTTTTCTGGGATAAACTTGTTTATTATGCCTTTAAATTCTTTATACCAATTCTTTACAATTTCATTTAGGTTTTGGACCTGCTAGCTCAGTCATGTCAGCCATTTTGAATGTCTTAAGAAAAGTTAGCGCGCGATTATACTTTGTATCATATTGAATGGTGTTTTTGAGTTTTCATACTTTAACTATTTAGTAGCTTTATAAATAATTTCAGATGTACTTTGTTGTAAAAGCCTATTTTATTATTAACAGTAGTTATATGTGATAATTTTGTAAAAAGAAATCAGCAAAAACTCATAAGGACTTTTTTATTGTCGGCCATTTTGGATTTTTCGGTCCTAAAATCTTGTCTGTGAAGTCTTGTCTGCGCGTTTTCAGATGAACCGTTTGGTGGATCAAATTTTCAGGGATGATTCTTAGTATAAAAATCTAGATCTCATTAGTTTTTTGGCATTCTGGGTAAATGTCAAGGCAGCCATTTTGGATTTTCCGTCTTAAAATTTTGTCTGTAAAGTCTTGTCTACTCGTTTTCTGGTGAACTGTTTGGTAGATCAATTTCAAATTTTCAGGAATGATTCTTAGTATGAAAATCTAGAACTGATTAGTTTTTTTGCATTCTGGGTAAATGTCAAGGCAGCCATTTTGGATTTTCCGTCTTAAAATCTTGCCTGTAAAGTCTTGTCTATGCGTTTTTAGGTTAACGGTTTGATAGATCAATTTCAAATTTTCAGGGATGATTCTTTGTATGAAAATCTACATCTGATTTGTTTTTTTGCATTCTGCGTAAATGTTAAAGCAGCCATTTTGGATTTTCTGTCCTAAAATCTTGTCTGTAAAGTCTTGTCTACCCGTTTTCAGTTGAACCGTTTGGTAGATCAATTTCATATTTTCAGGGATGATTCTTAGTATGAAAATCTACAAACAGATTAGTTTTTTGACATTCTGGGTAAATGTCAAGGCAGCCATTTTGGATTTTCCATCCTGAAATCTTGTCTGTAAAGTCTTGTTTACATGTTTTCTGGTTAACTGTGTGACGGATCAATTTCAAATTTTCAGGGGTGGTTCTTAGTATGAAAATCTAGAACTGACTAAATTTTGGGCATTCTGGGTAAATTTCAAGGTGGCCACTTTGGATTTTCCGTCCTCAAATTGTGTTGGTAAAGTCTTGTCTACTCATTTTCAGGATAACCATTTCATGGGATCACCACTTGGTGGGGACATTTTGTACACATTTGTGTTCTTGTATTCTTCTGAACTCATTCCTATGAATGAATTACTTATTTATCATATTATCCTCAATTATCGGGTTAAGGTGCAGTGATGTGAACATCAAATGGGAAAATGCTTTCATTTTCAAGGTTGTATTATATTGGGGCCAACAATTAGATAGTGAGGGGATTTTTGGAATGGTTTCTTCTCTATTTTACAAGAGTATTGCTTAGATACATGTATAATTACACTGCTTTATAACCTGGTGAATTGGTTGTGCAACGTGGATTTATTTTTCAGGCAGACCAACTATACTAAGTTTCGTTCTAATTTGTTTTCTCATTTGCTGAAATAGAGAAAGTCTCAAATGATATGATAATAAATAGAACATTCATTGTAATTTCTTAGTACAGGGTGTTCCAGTTTTATGCAGATGCAAATCAAATTTTCAGTATGATGAGAAATTCATGAATTTAATTCAGATATGGTTTTTGATATATTAATGAGTTTCATTGATTTTAAACACTTTCTAAATCACTTTCTTTGTTAAAGATTGTAGAAACATACTCTTGAATAAATTTTACTTTATAGGTAAAGACAAAGAGCAAGCAAGCCTACAAGGATTTTAAACGAACTATAGATGATTTAAGAAAGGTAAGTGCGAAATCTGTTTTTATTTTTATGATTGTATAATTGAAATAACAGCTTCATTAACAGGGGCCATTCTCTTTTAAATTATTGTAGATTATAATTCTTAGAATTCAAGTTAACTGTCTTCACACTGTTGCCATGGTGATATGGTCAGTCGAAGCTTAAGAATTATAATGCAGAATACTTTTAAGAAATCGCCTCAAAGGATACCATTTCTTGAATGTATCATGGTATTTGCTGTCATGTTCAATGAATTCACAAATTATAGTTCCATGATATGTTATGGAAATGGCGCCTAGAGTGTTTTAACAAAACTAAGTGATCCATATACCAGTCACTATAAATTGTATTGGAAATGAAATATTATAAAATAAGTGATAGTATTTTGACAGTGTTTTTTTTTATATCGTTAGAAGTGCTTACTAAATCTGTAATATATTTATTTTGGCCACATGTACATTGTTGGTTGTTTATACATGTTTATACAAGTACATGCTTTATTGCTTTGGCTTTTCCTTATACTAGTATTAGTAATGGTGTTTGATAAAACCTATTGTATATATACACTATTCAATAAGTAGTTATCAAAATGGGAATACCCCTCACTGGTGTGTCATTTGTTCCTCACGTTAAGGTGGGTTGAGAAGAATGACTTTTTGGACCTTAAAAAACATGATGTCAGTATGTAAGCTGACAGGGAAAGAGATTCTCAATTTTATTAGCCAGGCTGCACATCCTACTTTTCCTACCCTAAACAAACAGCTTTAAAATGATATGTTCTGGAGTAGATATATTTAGAAATAAATCTCTTGTTGGTCATGGTACTCGTGTGGCTGGTTTTGATAAAGAAAAAACATGATTCAAATTTGTAACTAGGTAACGGTAGTGATGTAATTATCTTAGGATATTTGAATATATGTAGATTTACACTGGATCAAATTTAGCCTTTACAACTCCAGTAAAATAGAAGTGACTTCTGCTTTGAATTTTCCCTACAGCATCCCCTTCACTCGAAAAGTATAAATTAGTGTTAGAATTCTTCAGATATGGTTGATGCACTTGCATTTGCATAGTTCATCAGTTAATCTATATTATTTCCCCTTACCTAGCACCATTTCATGTTCATTCACTCATCTCCCATCCATCATAGTGAAGATTGGGTTTGCAAAATGGCACCATTGAACACCCCTTAAACTCTTGAATCCCAGGCTCTAAATTTGGTTGAAACCAGAGAATTTTTAATTCTTGGCACCTTTCGACATTTTACTATATACCCATACAACTTTAGATGCTCATTTTAGTAAAATTAGACGGCAGAGCTCGTTTTTACACATTTAAAAAAAAAATTCTGTAAATTGGATGAAAATTTTAATGAAACATTTTGTGACAGATTTTCTCGTCACTCTTGGTTTCAAGGTCATTTCTGAGGTGAAGAGAAATCTTGTCACTCCATGTAGTCAAAAGGTTAAAATGGAATATAGCTTTAAGGAACATTCCTTGCCAGACCATTTCTCCTGATATGGTAGTTTTGAACACCCCTTAAAATGGAATAAAGCTTAAAGGGACATTCTTTGCCATACCATTTCTCCTGATATGGTAGCTTTGAACGCCCCTTAAAATGGGATATAGCTTAAAGGCACATTCCTTGCCAGACCATTTCCCCTGATATGGTAGCTTTGAACACCCCTTAAAATGAGATACAGCTTAAAGGGACATTCTTTGCCAGACCATTTCTCCTGATATGGTAGCTTTGAACACTCCTTAAAATGGAATAAAGCTTAAAGGGACATTCTTTGCCAGACCATTTCTCCTGATATGGTAGCTTTGAACGCCCCTTAAAATGGGATATAGCTTAAAGGCACATTCCTTGCCAGACCATTTCCCCTGATATGGTAGCTTTGAAGGTGACAGGTCATCTCAACCCCAAGTCATCTCAACCCAGTCCAACTCAACCCCAAGTCAAGTCAACCCCAGTAAAACTCAACCCCAAGTCAACTCAACCCTGTTAAACTCAACCCCAGTAAAACTCAACCCTATTCATTTGTGCAATGTCTAATTTAATTTTTTTATGATGAATAATTAAATTCATTCATTTCTGAAAATCTAGCATTTTGCATGATACTTTGAATAGAAAGTTGTAAAAGTATTCCAAAAATAAAAACGGTTAAGCTCAAGGATAATTCATCAAGTTGGCACTATTATTTAATTTAGACATCTTTTGAAATCAAATTTTAGATAATTTAGAAATAATTAACAATGTAATATAACTTTTTTATTTATATGAACATGCTTTAACAAAATCATTAACATTTAGTAATTAATAGACTGAAAGCATAGACGTAGCCAGGAGGGTTGCGTACACACCCTCCCCCAAATTTTGAAGGAAGTTGCATCATTTTTTGTCAAACCATATCTTTTTTGGCTCGCTTATGCCACGATCGGCACCCCCTGACTAAAAACCTGATTTTTTGGGGCGATTGCATCCCTCCTGACTGAAAGCTGGCTATGCCCCTGGAAAGCAATGGTCATGTTCCAGTTTGCCAAATAATCACGAGTGTCAACCTCAGAGGGATTACAACAAAACAAACGTATTGGCAAGATTAATAAAATGACCCATATTTTAATCCTATTAGTACCATGTTGACATTTTGGAGATAAACTCATTATTAACTATAATTATGTCACCACCAAAAGTGGTGACATATTGTTATGGTCTCCGTTTTTTTTGCGACGGTGGTTGGCGTCCGGCGTCCGGCGTCTGTAACAATTTCTTACAACTTCCTATAACTTAACAAATACTGTTTAGATTGACTTCAATTTTTTTTCTAAATCATCTACATGTTCTCAGAAGTTCAAATCTGACTTTAGATTTGACATTTGACCTTCAATGACCTTCTCAAGCTCAAAAAGGTCTTTTTTCAACTTGCTTCACATTGACTAAATTTTTTTTAATCTACATGTTCTCAGAAATTCAAATCTGACTTTAGATTTGACTTTAGATTTGACATTTGACCTTCAAATCTGACTTTAGATTTGACATTTGACCTTCAATGACCTTCTCAAGGTCAAAAAAGGTCAAAAAGGTCTGTTTTCAACTTGCTTCAAATTGACTAAAAAAAATTTCAAAATCATCTACGTGTTCTCAGAAATTCAAATCTGACTTTAGATTTGACTTAAGATTTGACATTTGACCTTCAATGACCTTTTCAAAAAAGGTCAAAAAGGTCTTTTTTCAACTTGCTTCAAATTGACTACATTTTTTTTTCAAAATCATCTACATGTTCTCAGAAATTCAAATCTGACTTTAGATTTGACATTTTACCTTCAATGACCTTCTCAATGTCAAAAAAGGTCAAAAAGGTATTTTTTCATCTTGCTTCAAATTGACTAATTTTTTTTTTCAAAATCATCTACATGTTCTCAGAAATTCAAATATGACTTTAGATTTGACTTTAGATTTGACATTTGACCTTCAATGACCTTCTCAAGGTCAAAAAAGGTCAAAAAGGTCTTTTTTCAACTTGCTTCAAATTGACTAATTTTTTTTTCAAAATCATCTACATGTTCTCAGAAATTCAAATATGACTTTAGATTTGACTTTAGATTTGACATTTGACCTTCAATGACCTTCTCAAGGTCAAAAAAGGTCAAAAAGGTCTTTTTTCAACTTGCTTCAAATTGACTAATTTTTTTTTCAAAATCATCTACATGTTCTCAGAAATTCAAATCTGACTTTAGATTTGACCTTTAATGACCTTCTCAAGGTCAAAAACGGTCAAAAAGGTCTGTTTTCAACTTGCTTCAAATTGACCAAATGTTTTTTCCAAATCATCTACATCTTTTCAGAAGTTCAAATTTGACTTTACAAGTTCTCAGAAGTTCAAATCTGACTTTAGATTTGACATTTGACCTTCAATGACCTTCTCAATGTCAAAAAAGGTCAAAAAGGTATTTTTTCATCTTGCTTCAAATTGACTAAATTTTTTTTTCAAAATCATCTACATGTTCTCAGAAATTCAAATATGACTTTAGATTTGACTTTAGATTTGACATTTGACCTTCAATGACCTTCTCAAGGTCAAAAAAGGTCAAAAAGGTCTTTTTTCAACTTGCTTCAAATTGACTAATTTTTTTTCAAAATCATCTACATGTTCTCAGAAATTCAAATCTGACTTTAGATTTGACCTTTGACCTTCAATGACCTTCTCAAGGTCAAAAAGGTCTTTTTTCAACTTGCTTCAAATTGACTAATTTTTTTTCAAAATCATCTACATGTTCTCAGAAGTTCAAATCTGACTTTAGATTTGACATTTGACCTTCAATGACCTTTTCAAGGTCAAAAAGATCTTTTTTCAACTTGCTTCAAATTTACTTAATTTTTTTTTCAAAATCATCTACATGTTCTCAGAAGTTCAAATCTGACTTTACATTTGACATTTGACCTTCAATGACCTTCTCAATGTCAAAAAAAGTCAAAGAGGTATTTTTCAACTTGCTTTAAATTGACCAAATTGTTTTAGGTGGTGACATTTTGTCATGTTAATGCCTTGTCTAAAAAGGCAGTGGTCTCAGAATGAAAATCACTAACTGAATCATCAGAATTATTTTTATGAAATAAACGTTCTTATAAGTTTATCAATATATAGAAATATAGGGGTTGAGTTTTACTGGGGTTGAGTTTTACAGGGTTGAGTTGACTTGGGGTTGAGTTTTACTGGGGTTGACTTGACTTGGGGTTGACTCGACTTGGGGTTGACTTGACTTGGGCTTGACTTGACTTGGGCTTGAGTTTTACTGGGTTGAGTTGACTTGGGGTTGAGATGACCAGGAAGCGCTTTGAACACCCCTTAAAATGAGATATAGCTAAAAGGGACATTCCTTGCCAGACCATTTCTCCTGATATGGTAGCTTTGAACACCCCTTAAAATGGAATAAAGCTTAAAGGGACATTCTTTGCCAGACCATTTCTCCTGATATGGTAGCTTTGAACGCCCCTTAAAATGGGATATAGCTTAAAGGCACATTCCTTGCCAGACCATTTCCCCTGATATGGTAGCTTTGAACACCCCTTAAAATGGGATATAGCTTAAAGGGACATTCCTTGCCAGACCATTTCTCCTGATATGGTAGCTTTGAACACCCCTTAAAATGGAATATAGCTTAAAGGGACATTCCTTGCCAGACCATTTCTCCTAATATGGCCTTGCCAGACCATTTCTTCCGATATGGTAGCTTTGAACACCCCTTAAAATGAGATAAAATAGGATATAGCTAGGATATGAGGATGGGTGCTTAACTACAAAAAATCTTCTCTTCTTTAAATTTTCCTTTTAGTTAATGGTTTTCCCCAGTGTAGTTAGTATTAAGAAACACTTTGGTTGTGAATTTGAAATCAATCATTCAGATGTTTTTAGGAAGAAATTGACCTTGAACGTTCTCATCAGAGAACGCAGCGACAACTTTCTGAAAACTCAGAGCATGTGGTCACAATGAGAAGGGTAAGATATTAAAGTGCAAAGCAAAAAATTGATACAAGTTAAATATTTAAGCAGCTCAAGCAGCTGAATTTATGAATTCTTCCTGCGATTAAGTAATTATGATCTTTCACAATTGTTGAAATTCAGCAGTGTTCAAATAAAATAAAACTATTTTCTTGAAATAGCATTCAATTTTGCCACATTTCAAATTGTTGAAGACATTTTGAGCATAAAAGTAAATACCAAGGTAATAAGAATAATTGCACGCTTCTAATTACTGGAGTAATGTTTTGAATAAAAGATAAAATGTGGAATCGTCAAGTTACCAGGCACAACGTCAACAGAGTCACCACTGAGTTGTGTAGAAAATTATAAATCCTAAAACATCAAATAACAGTTTCAAAAATTAGTTAGAAAAATTGAAACATAGCTGTTTCAAATATTAAATAAAAAAAAGATGTGAAATGAATGCATCCATGATCTCATTTTGTTCAAGAGCAACCGGAAAATACACATTAACCTTTTATTTTGCGCAAAAACATATTTGCTTGTGTTTTATGACAATGTCATCTAATCCATAGGGAGTCTTAACTCATTCAATACTGGGGCAAAAAGCACTATAATACTGACGATATTTTGAAAATTGCCATATATGGTACCTCTGAAATAATATATATTGTATATACATGAGCATACATATATAGTGCATATGAAGCATATAAGCATATGACATACTCGTTCAGAATGAATAGTTTTTTAAGTCCCATTTTATAAGTTGTCATGGTTACAAGATTCCCCACAAAAATACATTGGGTTTGTGCTTGGACTTGATATCACGTCCTTAGTAGTCAACGTATGTGCTTTATGACGTCATATCACGTCCTTAGTAGCGAATGAGTTAAATGCATTAGTTTTATTACATGAGTATGATAATTACCATAAGATAAAGGAAATTAGGAGGTTGTTTCAGGAAAATACTGAATAAGCTGCATTAGATTATTGCAAAAAAAATCTATTGTCTAAAAATATTATGTAGAAAACACAAAGATGAGATGTACGTAATTACTCAGATGCGAGGAGGTAGTTACCAGTTTCGCCACCAGGTGGCTGATTTGGGGGAATTAACATGGCAGGGTATTACAAAATTCCCTTAAACTTTAATATGCATCAGTTTTAGATGTTTACTTTTCATATTACCCTTATGTATCTGATAGTTATACAAATTAAAATATGTCCAATAAAAGAATTTACTTATCCCGTCTCTAATATCAAGAATAGTCACACAACACATAATGCTTTGTAATCACTTGATAAGATGATGAGAGACTGAGAAGCTTAATAATCTGTGTCTGGGTTAAGATCAATGCCATGTTTTGCTTTTTACATGGAAATCGAGAAGAAATGTCAGAAAGGAGACAATGATGCTCAAAATTATATTAAAAGTCAGGAACAAATAAGCTTGATTTGCAATAGTGAATTATTTGAGAGAACATTTTAGTGTGGTGAAGAAGCGTGCCAGGGTGACATTATTTCTAAGGTTGAATTCATTTGGAATTCCTCTTTCTTGTAAAGATACTTCCATAAAGAGCACTACGTGGAGAATTCTTGATAAATCAAAATTATATTTTCAGAAGTCAGCTGATGCATCACCAATAGGATATTTATACTTTATTACTAGTTGTAGGCTGCTAATGCTATATATTCATATTGTGATAAGGTGGACTTGACACCATGCAGTTGCTCTATATTAGAATATAGATGAAGTTCTGATGTTCTTTAAAGGGGTAGTTCTCTCAGAGATCCCTGATTTTCTTATACATACCTCATTTTTAAAGCTTTCACTCTCACTCTGAATGTTATTGCCAAGTACATTGTACTTAAGGCTTGTAATAAGAGAAATGAATGTACAGTGTTAATGTTAAATTACAAGTAAGATCTAAATAACCCCAGAACTATCTTTAATTGAAGTTCAGTATGAAATGAATGCTAAGGAAAGTAAGTGCTTGGGAAAGCATCAAAGTTGGTGATTGTTACTTTGATTCAGTAGATCTATCATACTCTGCAATGGTAAGGCAAGATCAAAGAGTGAAGATAAGGTTTTTTTAAAGAAACAAAATCAGACTCTCAGAAAGGCAACTTTATCTTAAAAACCTGCATCGGAGTCATTTATCTTATCCAAATGAGGTGTATCGAAGGTTACAATTTATATATTTGGCCTGTTTTACATTTTGGTACACCTTTTAGTTTGGTTTACGTTTTATATCTTCACTTACTAGACCCCATTCCATTGAAAATCATATAATCAGAACACATTATAAGGGCTAACAGACTGATTGGTGTTCAAATATTAATAGGTTTTCCTGTAGCTATATTCTGCTAATTCAATTTGTTGAAGGACATGATATGATAATGTTGATGCTAATGCTATAGGTCTAGAAGTTAATGGGAGAAACTTTGCTTTGTTCTGGAGAGATATTTCATTAAACCAGTCTAGTGCTCAAATATGTGTAATACAGAGATTACTTAAATTTCACATGTAGGATACTATTTTGGATATTACCATATTCAAAAGCTAAAGGCAACATTATAGTGTATTGTAGTATAGTTTAGGTATTCTATTTTATCCTGATGAATTGTGGAGAATGCAGAGAAAAATTTAGCCTAAGATTTTGACATTCTCATACATTGTTATTCTATTAAAAGGAATCATTTATTGTGGGATTCACAGCCTGCACCTTGGAGTGCAAGCATGTGATACACAAGTATAATATAAAGCAGGCATAATATAAAGCAAGCATAAGATAAAGCAAGCATAATATAAAGCAGGCATAATATAAAGCAACCATAAGATAAAGCAAGCATAATATAAAGCAACCATAAGATAAAGCAACCATAAGATACAGCAGGCATTATATAAAGCAAGCATAAGATAAAGCAAGCATAACATAAAGCAGGCATAAGATAAAGCAGGTATAATTTAAAGCAAGCAAAATATAAAGCAAGCATGATATAAAGCAGGCATAATATAAAGCAGGCATAAGATAAAGTAGACATAATATAAAGCAAACATAATATAAAGCAAGCATAAGATAAAGCAAGCATAATATAAAGCAGGCATTATATAAAGCAAGCATAATTTAAAGCAAGCATAATATAAAGCAGGCATAAGATAAAGCAAGCATAATATAAAGAAGGTCTCCTAAGATAAAGAATGACTATGATATGCATATTTTAGGAAGAGGAGCTCCATAAACAACTAGGCATCAGCAAGGAAAGACCTGCTACAATACCCTCAGCAGAACTCAGAGGACAACGGGTAAATATATTTGTATTCTTTAATTCCATCTACAAGTCAAGATAATTAGTTTGCTACAAATTACATATGAGTTAATGCTCCCATTACAGTTAACATTGATATAAATAATGAATTTTGCGCTTAATACCCAATCATTGGGTGAAGGAAGAATACATTTTTTGAGTTAATCATGCATAGCATATGTTATTGTCTACCCTCCCATTGGATACTCCTTTTGGTGAGTTACAAATCAGATATTATAGCCCTGTTATGACTCATTTGTTTGACCAATCAGAGATTATAGCCATGTCATGACTCATTTGTTTGACCAATCAGATATTATAGCCATGTCATGACTCATTTGTTTGACCGATCAGAGATTATAGCCATGCCATGACTCATTTGTTTGACCAATCAGAGATTATAGCCATGTTATGACTCATTTATTGAACTTGGGTAGATACAAAGGGCTCTGAATGCAAGGTATGATAACCTAATTTCATATATTTGCAAACAGTGATAGATTATTTTTTGTATGACATTTATCTTGTTCAAAACTTCATCAATACTCATCAGTTCCACTCATTTCTATATGCAACAAAATTATTGTAAATTAGAAGAATAAGGCTTATTGCAAAGAATTTTCATCAAGTAAATTAACGTACTAAGTGCCTTTATCACCTAATGTCACATTTCTCATTATTTAGTTTAATAAATAATGGGAAGAAACAAATTCTGCATTCCTACATTAGAAAGGTCACTTCAGTATTTCAGACCAACTAGGGATATCTATGTATTATCTTATGCTTAATGCAATGATTGGACTATACGTAAAAAATAATGTCATTTTAAAATTTTAGCCACCAAGACCGCCGCCACCAGGGAGCCGGAAGGCTGATGATGTCACAGATGGAGGCTTACCAGAACTTCGACGTCACACTACACGCAAAGCCTCCTATGAAAGGTATTCTTCAAAAATATATCTTGAACTTTTCAAAAGTTACTAAAGCTTTGTAGTCTTATTGCAGTGTTTATATAATATAGTTTTATTTATCATTACCTTCATTTATATCATACTGTTTTCATTATTACCATAGCAACCAGTCTGCTTCTACTACATATTGAACATTCATCAAATTTTAGTTATGCCTTCCATTAAGGATTAGAATACATGTATCTTAGATATTTGGGCAAAGTTTTAAGACATTTTATCCAGTTTAGTATGTCAGATATGATAGAGAAAAAAGACTAAAAATGTGAGTAAATTGGACTCAAAACATACACTGCATTTACATTAGATATAAGAGACATCTTACGAATGATTCAGGGAATCAAAAATGCTCCATTTATTCATTTCACAGATCGCAAATTGCTTCTTTTTTATTAACGTGCAAAATGGATTTATCATGACATAGAATACAAGAAATGCTTCACGGCAATATTTAAGCATATCTGCTAACATTTTTAGCCACAAGTGGATGAAAAAGTTTATCAAGGGGTAGAAAAAACTTATAACACATTTATAGCTTTTAATTTTTGTTTGTTGTACCTTGTTGTGAAAATATTTCTTCATTTTGCTATTTTGATTTTAAATTTTTTTAATGATTATTTATTCACATCCTGGACATAATGCACATTTTCATGAATTACTTTAAGGTAGATTTAAATGAATTTCTTTGCTTTTTTATCTCAAGATGTCATACCTTGAATATCATTGTTATAAAAAATCATTATACTTTTTTGAAAGAAACTAGAATTTGGTGCTTTGTTTCATTTGCATGCTCTTATTCACTTTAGCTATACATATAAAAAGTATAAAAAATCTGCCTCATACATATTTCCATTGACAAATTCTGATTGTTGAATGAAGTTGTTATCTGTGCACTTGTTTCATTACAGAGCACTGTGGAGGGATATCGCACCAAGGTGCCTTGTAGCACAGGGACTGATCATTTTGTTTGTAGAAACCTGATTCCTTTTTTGTAGAAGTCATTAAAAATGATTCCATATTTCATTTGTAATATCTGAATTTATTATTTAGAGTTCATTAGGTCACTTTGCAAACATTTATTTAATATTCGAACATTATGGTTTGTCCCTGGATAAGTTCTCAACTTTTGCGCCCGCTGCTCAAAGATGTGCTTCAGAATGCTCCAATGATACAATAATGTTACTCTATCAAAAGAAGCATGCTCTTGCAATCTATAAGTACAGAATATTGAATATAAATGGTTTCGGTCTCTTTGGGATGCTGGTACATGTATTCTGCTCCAATAGCTTTAGGAATTCTTAAATTGTAATGAACATTTTTTTGTTATTTTGTTATTTCAAATTTGGTGGACTACAATGAATATTATGATTTACAAATTAAATTATTATGAGCTCTATTTATATTTCTATTGAAGTCAGGTTATCTCTAAATGTTAATTTCTAGCAAAGAGAGACTGTTCTCTTTTCTATTTGATCTCATGTAAAAATTCATTTTCCAAGCCCAAAACATTATCCTTATTGTAATTGTAATAGACTTTCTGACAAGAAAACACACATACATGTTGTAATGGTAGATTCAAATTAGTACAGTTGACTGATATATTTTTACTTGCTTCTTGCTTGTTATAGAGCTTTAGAGTGTGATATTGTGGATAAGCTAAAGCCCCTACCTGAACGCAGAAGGTAGATTCAGCTTATGGGACCAAACTACCTCTTTTCTAAATCCTCAACATATCTAAATCTAAATCCTCACATATAGTAATCATTAATATCAATAAAAACAATGAAAGCATTGAAACATTTAGGTCTTATATTCAGCTGTATTATACCAAAAAAGCATTAACGCAGTTTGTTGACACACAATTAATATTAATTCAATGTTTCTCATGTCTGTGAACATCAAACCATGGGCATGAAAGCAGAGAGATGTCCCAGAGATACTGCCTGCTATTACATTATTTTAATGAGAAAGTGATACTCTTATTGGATCATTCAGTTTGGTCCCAAAATTAGATATAAGCTGCATGGGGAATAAGTATTGTAGTAGAAACATGATGCTAAAAGTAAGATCTGATTATAATGGTGTTTAACACGGGATCCTTGGGTTGATATATTTTCACCCTTTTTTGAGTGTTGCACATCTTTTTAAATAAGTGTATATGGTTCCTTTATGGGGTGGCATCCAATGGTCTTTATCATTCATCATTTGATAAACAAGTACATCGTGGCTGGTAGGATTGAAACAGTAAAGGAATAGGATGAATAATATTGCATGCTTTCCTTTAGATTGGATTCTGTGTTTGTAAATGATTCAGGTGCTGGTTTATTAAGTAGTTGGTAAAAGGTTTTACTTTGGCTTTCTGTTGGCTTGAATGGGTTGTGAAAATTATTATCAGTTAATGAATTTCATTTCTTTAAAATTACATTTATGAATAATACTACTTGAGAACTGTAAATATAAATCACATGAAACATCACTCCAAATACTACTGATATATATATCAACTCATTAACATCAATTTATACATCAGAAATTCAATAATTTTTTTTCTTGTCTACAAACATTAACAATAATGTAATTTCAGAGCAAAACAGTACAAGGTGATCAGTTTTGATGACTCCTCTGTCGGTGACTCAGATTTGGAATACAGACGTATAAGTGTTGGACTGGTGGAAGATCCCGATATACAAAAGGCCATGAAGCGATCATTCAGTTCTGATGACCTCATAGAGGAAGAGACTATTGAGACTTCTTCTGAACCTGATGATGCTGTGAGTTTGGACATTTTGAGTAGGCTAGTTAAAGAAAACACAGAATTAAAACCTGTACTAAATCTCTCTGTTTTATATCACCTCCACAAGTGGTGACATGATGTTAGTCTCTAATCTTTTGTGGACAGTGTTTGATGGTTGTTTTTTGGCAGTCAGCATCTGTAACAAATGGCAGGTGGTAACATTTTGCATGTTATGCCTTATTAAACTTTATGATTACATAATCTTGGTTGATGGAAGTCATACTTGTTCTTCAATTCTATGTGCATTATTTATCACCTTAAGTACAGATTTTTATTAAGTTAATATTGTTGATTTTGAAAAAACAGGTGGTTAACTAGGAGATCTGTAATTAAGTTTCTGAATTTACAATTTCAGTTTGAAGATGAGGTTGACACAGAATCAGACAGTTCAGGCCCGTCTATGTCAGATAAAGTGAGAAATGATCACCCTATACCAGCTCCTAGACTAAAGAAACTGGCTCAATTCCAACAAGGTCAAAGTTCAAAGCCATCTGAGCAGAAGGATATAGCAGCGCCATCTAGTGAAACTTTGAGAGAGGATTCTGAGAAGCCAGGACCAAAGCCGTCCCCTAGGCATAACATCACTAGTGACACTCCAACCAAACCCAATGTAAATAGTGACACAGCAAAACGTGACATAATGCTAATTAGGCTTGATTCTTTAAATGTAAGTGAACCAGGAAATATTGAATTTGATCCTCTGGCTCAAAATCAAACAATAGGTGACTCTTCAAGCTCTAATGACCTCACTGGACTAGAAAGTAGTCAAATGGTGGCACAAGCAACAAAGGAAAATGATAAGTCTGGGCATCAAGCTGGAAAAGTGAGTAGTTTTGTGAAAATGGTGGAGTCAGGGCTGGACCCGACTGCTTCAGGAACTCCAGGGAAACCAGTAATGAGGACTGATTCTTTTTATCGGCGTGAGCGACCACAAACAGTTGTCCATAAACCACATGATACTAAAGTTGCAGCTCGAACAGCATTTTTTGAAAAACCCGTGTCCAAACCTGTACGGATTGATCCATCTAATTTTAATTCCCTGGATAATTTGTTTGGGAACAATAGAACAGGGAGTAATGCTGCAACCTCTAATAGGCCTATTAGTATGATAGAAAGCACAAAAACAATTCGGCAATTTGGAGGTGCCATATCAGTACATGACACTATCAAAAAAATAGAAGAGCACAAGAATTTTGCACCTCATGAAGAGGACAGTTTACTAAAGGAGTGGAATTTGGATAGTCATTTTGGAAAGATGAGACAAGAGGGTAGTGGTAGTCTAGATAATCTACTGAAGGATTTACCAACTAGTAGCACAAGCTCTGGACTATCTAGTCCCCCCATCCCTAAACCCCTGACCAAAACCACTGGGTCAACTCCTGGTTTGCACCATGTCCCTGGGCCAACAATGGGATTACAGCAAGGGGTCCATTCAAGTCCTCAACATTTAATGAACACTCAGCCATATCATACTCCAAATAGGCAATCAGCTATGCCTAGCTTAATGGGAGCACCACAAGCTTTTAGTAGTGCATATACAACAAATAGGAGCTCTACACTACCTTCATTTGGTTACCAGAGCAACCAGTCTGGTTTCCATAGCAGCCAAACAAACAATCCAGTATCAACCCCACAAGTGTTTCAGTCAAATACATTAGGATCAGGTGTCTATTCTAGTCAGAAAACTCAACCATTTTCAACCACTAAGGAGATACCACAAAGTTCAAATATTTTACAGCCAATGACTGCATCAGATGTGAAAGAAGATTTGGATCCATTTAGTGACTTAGTATCCACAGTGAAGTCAGTGGTCCAGCCAGAACAATCGAAGCAGTCACAATGGGAGACATTTGAATGAGTCAATTTAGATATTACATGTGGACATGAACATGCAGTGATCTCCCCATGCAATGAAGCAATACTTTTGGACACAGTTCAGAATTTGAAAATTAAGCTTGCACGCTGTTGAAATCCATTTGAACACAGTTGAACTTGTTTAAAGAAACCAGTTAACCCAGTCTAAAGAAATTAGAATTTTAAACATATTTTATAATCAAATAGATCAAATGTGAATCTTTCAACCATCTGAAAAAATTCTGGGGAGATCACTTTTATGTAGATTGTAACTATCCAAAGAGTATATACAGTGACAGTGTACGGAGTGTAAACAAAACTCAAAGTACAAATTAAAATATTTACTTGTTTTAGGGTTTGGCTTCAAATGGTTTTTGAAGCTACTAGTTCAAAGGGTAATGACATGTAATGTAATGTACTAATTATACCTGTAAGCACTTATTCTCATTGTGAAACTTCATTAATGTGTACAGTAACTGGTTCATTTTTAAGGAAAAGTCACATGGGGTGAACTTAATCTTCCAATGAAATGCATTTACCATATGTCACTATACTAATGGCGGAATTTTGTGAAATATAATACTGTACTTCTACTTAGTTTTGCAGCCATTTTAATTTGGTGGATCCACCAAATTGTTCAAGTCCACCAAATTAAGAAGCCACCAAATTCAATAAATCATATTACAATTGTAAATTTGTGTGGTATATACATTTCAATATTGCAAATCCACCAAATTAAGTAGTCGCCAAATGTTCAAAACAGCAAATCCGCCAAAATAAGTAGAAGTACAGCACCATAGAATATTTTGGTACATTGGTCATTGATGACGATTTAAATTTGAATCAATTAAATCAGTTACCAAAATAAAAGCAATTTAAAGTTAGAAAATTATTCTGTATAACTTAAACCTAGATATTTGTCAATATTTTATTGTGAGAATAAAACTTGTGGTACCTTTTAGACAGATATATTAGATTAGAGTGTCATCTAACAGTGTATGAGGACGTTGATATTTCTAGTAGGCTTATAATAGTATATGTCTGCATGTATTTTTGTTTTTATTAAGTTTGAAAAGTACTTATAATGCACAATCATAATGCTTATTGTTGAAACTTCGGTGCAGTTTATGACAAGTATGCAATATTTCAAATGCTTTTGAAACAATTTTAAATGTTACAGTGAACTTATTTTTGTTTAATGAAAGGTGTGATTATTGGAGAAAGAGGGGTGTGTGCCAGGGATGGTTGTATTTCATATTTTTGCCTTTATTTTCCTTGTTTTCTAGATCTTCATTCATCATTTCACGTGTTTTACATGCCAAGAGATACTCGGAGATTTTGGGAATCTATTTTTTCAAAAAATAATTCAGTAGCTGAATTTTGAAGGAACATGAAATTGTCTTAATCGTCACAGAGCTCAGGTTTGCTGTAACTGACTTACTCCCAGTTTTCTGCGAATTGAACTGGTGAGTTTTACAAAAGAAAAGGCAGATTCTGTGTGCTTCTGCAAGATTTTCTGCAGTTATAGATGAAAATCGGACAAATATATTGTGAATGTCATTCATACTGTCATCTAACAAATGTCATCTAAAAAAGTGAATATTTTTGGGATAAATTCCAACCAGCAATGGAGCTGTTAAAGCCATAAGATAACAGGGGTAAGAATGATCATTCAGCACACTTAAGAAGATTTGTTTTTTCAGTAAATGTTGCAGTTAGTCAAACCTCAAGATTCTGAAAATCGGTGGGCCAAGACAAATTCTGTCTACACATCTTCTAAATAGAAAAACTGGGAGTAGTTTTTAAGACAAAATGTAAAAAGGTTAGATTCCCAAGATCTCAAAAGGACCACCCCTACACTTGGTTTTAGAACTAAAATTTAGCAATACAGTGTTTCTTTATCATCTATGTTTTGGGTTTATGACCTGAATGATGGTTGCGATTATGAATTCATGTCTTCAGTCTACATAGATATGTAACTGTAGGTAAAACGATTGATGATAAATTTTAAAATGTGTTGTACACAATGGTGTAGTATTGAAGTTCATGCATTGGTTCATTATGTAATTTAAAGTAAAACCTGTCACAATTTACACTGTTCCACAACTAGTTACTTTGATGGAACGTCAATGTAACAAAATGGATGAACTTCCTGGATGCGAGTTTTTTGTTTTCTTGATTAAAATCTACTTATAAGTCAAGCTGCAGATTATCATCTGGCGCAACGTTAGACAATATAGTCTAGCTTTAAGAAATGCTCTCGGTTTGGAATTTGATTTTTAAATAAAGCTGTAATTCATGCATTTAGACCATCGCTTTTGTTACATTGACGTAAGTCATCAAAGTAACATGCATTGGTAATATGACTGACTAAATATATGAATAGCAACTTCATTTACAAAACAAATTCCAAATCGAATAAATTCATTAAAGCTAGACTATATTTCCTACCTTTGTGCCAAATTACAATCTGCAACTTGACTTATAACTACATGTAGGTTTAAATCGAGAAAACAAAAAACTCTTATAATCAGGAAGTTCATCCATTTTGTTACATTAACGTTCCGTCAAAGTAACTATTTGGTGAACAGTGATTTTGGGGAGGCAACTAACAACATAACAGTTTAGACATCAGTCTAACTTATTTTACAAACCTAGCTTAAATTGAAATTAGACAGACAAATTTCCAGCTTCCAAATTGATTTAGAGTCTAATCACAAGTTCAACATGTTTTACTGCACTGAATCTTCCATAAGGTAAAATACCATGGCAACCATAGGGGATGTTTGTTTTTATCCCACTGAACAAATATTGGCAGGGATATAGAGAAGCCATTCATTCATCCATTGTTTGTTTGTTCATCTGTTTAGGGGATAACACAAATACTATTGGACTGATTTGATGGAAATTCTTTACCTTAGGGACCTCTGCTCAAGAAGAAATTTCAAGATTGCCATAGTTTCTCACGAGAAAAAAATTAATATTTGTTCTTATACCAGTTATCTGATTTAGTCCACATTTAGTGTGCTAATGTCTTATGGGACCTTTGATTGAGAAGGAATTTTCAAGAAGATTGCTTAATTCAAATATATGATTTCTCAATTTTGGTTCAAAGTTTATAGGCTTATGTTTATAGGTTTATATGCCTTATGGGCATAGAATCTCTTCTTGAGAAGGAATTTCTAATATAAAGTCATGAGTAGATTTTGCCAAAAGGAGACAATACTCCTGCCTGTGGGAGACAAGTCACTGATTTGATAATAAATAAATATGTTTTTTGGTGGGATTTGCTACTCCTGTGAGTTGCTGCTTTTCAAGTTATTATTTCTTGAATTCTTTTTTTTTCATATTTGGAATTGCAAATTCAAAAATTTGCTTGCTTGCCTGTTGGAGATTTGTACATTAATGCAAAAGATAACATACATGTATGTTCTATATGCATATTATTGCACAGTATTGAATTATGCTATAAGTGTGATGCTTTCTATTTAAATATCTAATAAATGATAATATTTAAAATATAAAAATATTTTTCTTATCATTCTTATCACAACTGTTAAATAGGTGAGTGTTATGTCTCTATTTAATCAAGACTTGCCATTCAGACAGTTTGTATTTTTAAAATATCCTCGGAGCTGTTGGATTGAGGCACCACCTGTTGTTCATGTTTTCCTGGGATGTACTTTGAAAAAATATCTCAAAATTAAAGTAAAATTCCTGATCAACATAAACCACAAACACAAAGAATATGACTTATTGCCTGGACAGAGGGACTGGGTTTCACTATAAATACCCATCCAACTTGACAAATATTCCACAAAACGAAACCTATTTTAGAATACCAACCCAACTTGACAAGTATTCCACAAATCAAAACAAAACTTTTTTAAAATGAATGAAAAAATACCTTTTTATTCTATTTACATCCTTCATAATACAAACACCTGTACGTGTATTACATTAACATTGAAATGAATGCATAGTGGAATCAGCCTCATAATATGTTCCAATTATATTGTGTATCAATCTGGAATATTTATGAATATGAGTCTATGTACATTTGCACTTACAAACACAAAAATAAAATACCATTTATTGCAATCATTTTAGCACTAAAATAGTATTCCTTAATCTTGAGATGTTCATGAAGAACCAGAATGATGTTTATGCATCTTCTCACCTCCAAATTCAAAATTGACTAAAATAAACCACACAGGGTATATTTTGGTTTAATACACTAAAATAAATATGAATAAAATACACAATAGGCTAAAAGTAGTTTATACTTAGTCATACACAAGACAAAGGAAGGAAACTATGTGAATGAAGCAAATGACCATACAAATATGATCCTTACTGGAACCAATGACATATGCTTTGAATCCTAGTAAGCAGAACCTAAGATATTGAAATCATTCACCTTGAAAGAACATTCCACTTATTAAGGCATGTACGGTAGAATTAGTGGAACTACCACTATAATTGTATCAGTATACAAGCATAAAAGGTCTAGGTTTTCATTCTACATAGTAGACTTCATATACAATTGGGTATTTTTATCAACCTACTTTACATCATGAGGTAGTTACTAGCCATACTGAGTATCTCAGTAGTATCCAACAACAGACATGTACATGTATTGTGAATTTCCAATGATTCCTTTTTACAATCCTGTATTCATTCATTAGAAGTGAATATTTAGAATGCTAATATTTAAATGTAAAGGTTCCATGTAACTCTAACCCTAGAAGTAACACCTCATTAAAGTTGATAACATTCAAGAACCTGCTTAAAAACCGGGAAGTTGATAATTCTGATCCAGAATTTAATCATACCTAAAATTCTTAGTTAAAAAATCTTTGCATTTTTATCTGAATTTCGAACATGACTAAAATTAAATTTAAGCCTATGACAATACATAAAATATAAAACTTTTATACAAATATTTCATCATACATCAATTGAATAAAATAATACATTATAAACAATTTTAAAAAGTGTAAAAATAATTGAATACTCCTTATTTGGCTGATAACATGCCTACTAAAATCTGCCTCATTTGAATATCAATCGGAGCTTTCCATACAAAGCATGAGTATAGTTTATACCGTTTTTCATACAGTTCCATAGCATTTGGCTCAAGATCAGGTCTATCTTATGGCTGCGTTTTGCTGTGTCTATAATACACAGTGTCATAACTTAGTTGTCATAATTGCATATATTCATACACCTCAGCAGATAATTCCAAAATACAGACAATGCATTAATCCAAGGCTAAAATCTAACATTGACATTTGTTCATTCCAGGTTCAACAATCTTAATATGCATCCTATTGTATGCCATGTGCTATAACATGCTCCCGTGTAATCTCCTAGCTAGTTGCATGTCCTTAGGTTGTATAGTGACACGTTTGGCATGTATAGCACAGAGATTAGTGTCCTCGAACACATGGACTAGATATGCCTCAGCTGCCTGGAAACAGAAAACAGTTACATCACATTTAAAGGCTGTCTGGAAAATGGTATCTGTTTTAACATATTTTTGTGGTTATTTCAAATCCTGTTCAGTTTTGGCAGCCAATTAATTTGACAACAACATCACTGTTCCCCAGCTGGATGACTCTAACTGCAGTTAGCGTCATTCAAGATGGTTGCTGAAATTCTTTTGTTTTCAACAACCTTTGATTTCAGCTAAATTAAGCTGAAGCTTGATTCCAAAAGTTTTGCCATGCAAACTAATAAAACTATGATTGTAAAAAAACAATAATGCCCAAGCACCCACAATATCAGAGAATTTGAAAGAAAATGGCTTCACTTAGAATGACTCTAACTGAAGTTGATGGTGACAACATAAAAACTTGTGTAAAGCACACTTCTAAGAGAATATAAATAAATCATATTGAATAAAGTGTGTGTCAATCATTTTACTCTAGATCTGACTACTCTTATCATCACACTTGTGCTTTTTTAATACTCTGATTATTTTCTAGGAATTCACGCATGTAAACAAAAGTTTTTGAATCAAATGCTTGATACAGCTCCAAATATCAAGTGTTGCTTTCACTGTACAAGTGCATTTTTGCAATCTGCCTTTAACGGAGATAATAATGGGAGTGTGGGGAACTTGGTAATACAAAACAATATACTGTACTCCAGATATTTTTCGCATGTGATTTAGTTTTGCACTTTTTGGGATTGTGGTAATATCCCAAAAATTAATCTTCACGAAATTGTCATGTTTGTAAAATATTTGTCGAGAGTTTTTAGATGATAAATCTGATACTAAGTAACAATGTCTGTTACAGAGGCTTATTAGATCAAATAAACCAAAAAATTATGATGTAATAGAGGTTAAGGTGCAGCGTGTCATTGACATAGATGACATAGTAGTATATGTGTACTTAGTGAAATTTGCAAAATTTAATAGTTGTGAAATTGTGTTTTCTCAAAGTGAAATTAACTGAGAGTACAATTTTCTGTACAAAGAATACAAAATGAAAAATATTGTGAAAGTTTTTATAAACAGGTATATTCTTACCTCTTGTAATGCCATAATAGCGACAGCCTGCCATTTTAACTGATGGGAACTGTACTCCATCGCAATTTCCTTGATCTAAAAAAAAATACCGGTAAGAGTAATTAAAGACTTTTATTTCTTTTAAATGGGCCAGGCAAAAATATCAAAGGAATTGCTTTAGTAAACCAGTGAGAATATGTATTTAATTTATTTATTTTATTTAGACATGTAAATGAATTCACTTACTTTTTAAAAATTTTACATAAACTTAATGAATGGGATACTTACCAATCTAGCAAATGGAAGTTTCCTGATTAAAAGATCTGTCGATTTTTGGAAGCGCCTTATCTCCATTAAAGCTCTTGCTCCTGGTCTATAATGCCTTTTTCTTGCTGAAATAATAGTAAATGATTTTTTAGGATAATTTAGAGATTATTTCTTAGGATATTTCTAATCTAATATTTAGACATTGTGGCAGTGACTTCTAATATTGTTCTGCTTCTATCCCCATGAGTTTTGTCCAGCTATATCTAGAAAAGATCAATGCCACTCCTCAAAGGTGGGAAAATTTTAAGGTGATTGCATTGCATTGCATTGCATTGTATTGTATTGTATTGTATTGTATTGTATTGTATTGTATCCTTTATTACCACTTTCCATGTGAGTGCATTACAATTTTCAATGTTTTGGTAAAAACATATTTACATCAAAAGATTTGTTTTTATACATAAAATAAATTTTACCACATGGACTTTTTTAAATTATAAGAATTTTTATGCTCCTGGTCAGTCCAAAAATTACTTTTTTCTCAATTCCTGCCATAATTTTCCAATTTTTCATTTATACGGTAAGTTTGGCCATAATGGTGTTATATCTCGCCTACCTTTCGTCAGTTCACCACGTAAGAGTCAAGTGGAATTCCGTCCAATACATAGAGAGTTTTTTCCTAAATTTGATGAGCTAAGCGATTCTAAGAATGTGATGTTGCCAGAATAGAATTGACTAGTCCATGCTTTTTTTGAGATAATGACTGACCTGTCTTTCGATATGTATAACAATTTTCGAGTATTTCTGTTACTAGCTAGATCTATTGAATGGATAAATACACGCTGCCATAAAACTCTATCATGATGATAGGTAGTTCAAAAAGTTAAACCCAATTCCACGGCTTTCATTTATAATCTGAGTGTTCTTGTTGCCGTGGTTGGGTTTAACTTCCGTGCTATGCTTTCATTGGTTGCAAATTCTCACTATCAGTTATTAGTAAAACGCGCATAGAATTCTATGCGCTGCCATAGGCCATCATTAAAAATGTTTGCATCAAGGGCCGAATAGGCACGGATGTTAAACCTAGGGCGGGCCACAAGAAATGTCAGATAAGAAATACGAAGTGTCTGGAGAACCTTAAATTCTAAGGCCCTTTAGCCAAAATGCTAAAGAGCCTTAAAATTTAAGGCTATTTAGCTGTGAACATAGTATTTTGGCTAGAGAGCCTTTGTATTTATAATCCGTGTTTATTTTGTTTTTATTGATGTTTTCGTAATCTAAACAAAAAAACAACAGTCTCGAAAGTTTTTCAACCCAGAATGCCACTTAAAAATATCACACATGTATATCACCATAAAATTTTGAAAATTTTAGAGCACTCATGGAAAATCCACTCTGATGTAGTGGTTAGGGTGTTCGCTTAGCACCTATGCGGCGTGGGTTCGATTCCAAATGGGTGCACTTTTTTGTTATGAAAAACAAGCCGGAATTTTGTTCTCTGAGGTCCGGTAATTATGTACACAATTTTTTTCTAGAATTTTTGGGCTTGCTCCATCTTGACGCAGTTTATCGTGAATGCAGGGACATCAGCCCGGGGACATCACAGAATACACTTCAAAATCTATTGCCTATTAGATTTCGATGCTGTTTTTTAGGATTTTCCATCAGCTGACAAGATATTTTTTCACAACTTTTTGCAAAAACTTCCGCTCAAAAGTCCTTCATTTGTATGTATCAACGATTTTAGCCTAGCATCAAATTCATCACTAAATGTGACTCTCAGCTCATTTACGTGATTGCCTGGTCCCAGGGGGTTCACTTCAAATAATTTGGGTAGGTATGTGCAGCACAGGCAATTTTGGCTTTGAGCATAAAACATGGAACTCTGCCAATCTGAGAGGAAAAAAATATGGAAAATTGTCTAAGAAAGTACTCTTTTTAAGTCAAAATTCAGTTTTTCTACAAAAAATTATATTAAATTTGTTAAATCAGTTGCTGAGGCCTGGAACAAATGACTAGAAAAGTTGATTTTATAGTCATTTATTAGTCTCAGATGAATTTAACATGGAAACCTTCAATCTTAAGAGGAAATATACATGGAAAAAATCCTCAAAATGGGGGTCTTTGGGGCGGCACATGGGTATTAAGAAGAATATTGGAGTGAACCCCCGGGTCCCTGGTCTTACACCTTCTCTGGTGAACCTATTTTCGATATATACATGGAGGTCCATTTAAAGTCGACGTCTGAACCTTTAAAAAGCCAAATTTAGACTGAGGATTGAAAAGGTTTTAAGAACTTTTATTTTTCTCGGTAGACCGGAAGTAAATTTATGAGTCGAGTAAAAGTGAAAATGTTCTTTTTATGAAGTGGGGAAGTCAAAACAGTAATAATAGAAGTCAAAGTAAGCATTCAGAGATTATTTAGAACCATTTAAAATTAAATCGACGGCAAAATTGAATTGACTAAAATCTTTATATTTTCTTCTTCATCTTCATCTGCGGACCTCAGAGAAGACACTTCCGGTTTAATAATCAGTGATTTAATCGATCAAAAAATATTTCTTTTTGAACTTGTCCGATATCTGCTAATATGGTATGTATATTTGTGCTGATTGTTAAATTACAAAATAGGTTGGGTATAGAATATGTCACAAAGTCGTTTGATCTTGTCCCAGAAGCAATATTTCGTCATTTCTGTCGCCTGGAATTCCTTTAAGGCTCTCTAGCAGAATTGGCTATCAAAATGCTAAAGAGCCTTAAAATTTAAGGCTCTTTAGCCCAAATGCTAAAGAACCTTAAAATTTAAGGCTCTTTAAGCATTTTGGTAACCCGCTAGATGATAGGTTGCTTTATTGACTTCTTTTTGTGTGGGTGAATACAATTGTTGATGGTTTTGAAATTCAGATCCCAGCATAATCATTACTAAATCTGGCAGTAGGAATAAGCTATTGATTATTTTTATTTTGTGCGAAACTGAAATCAGAACCTTCTTGTACCCTGGTCTAGCCCCGGGCGTCTGCCATGTGAGGCAAGGATACTCACTCACCACTGTAACTGAGGACTTGATTGATGTGATTGACTTACGTGATTTCACTGCACTTCTTGAAGTTCCTAGTACTGTTTTTCCTGCAGGTATTCTTCCTCTTGAAGTAGATGCAGCTGGAGAAGGAGTTGGATTGTGAACTGCACCACTGAAACTTAGTCTTTTTTGAGGTGTCAACCTTGGATATCTCGATGGATTTTCACCTTTTCGCTTCTGCTTGTCGGACCGTACCATTTTGACAGATGTTTGATTGATATATTTGTGTAATTACACACTTACATGCCGTTCGTTGGTCAAATACATAGATTTAGTGTACAAAAAGTTTTAAACGGAAGTTTACTGACGCCTTAGCAGCGCATGCGCATTTAGATATTACACTGCACGAAAAATCAAGAATTCAAGTCGGAAGATTTCCCTTTGCAATTTCCCGGGAGTTAAACTCTTTAGGTTCTTCTTCCATTCTCCAAAATTTGTATTCACCTTTTAATCATTATTCAATGATCAATCTAATCTAATCTAATGAAATGGCATGCCTAAATAGTTAAAATGGTTTAGTTTTATCATGGACTTCTAATGATTAGAAGTGCATGGTTTTACTATATTCAAAAAACTTGATTTTTTCTAATTCTATACTAAAACATGGTTAAAAATGAGGCATAAGTAATCTGTCAAGGTTCAGATCACAGAGATTGTTATCGCCAAGCTTTCGTGGGAACAAGTGTGACAAAGCCTCCGTTATAAGTTGCAAAGTAATACTATATTTCATCCACAACTTGAAGGCTACATGTACATATATCTATCTAATCTAACTAGCCATTTTGAAAAGTCCTTTGAGAGCAGAGTTCTATTTCTATTGGGCATTAGCATATAAAACCTGGACCAAATATGACAAATGGCATATGAAGTATCAAAATCAACATTTTTACAATAATGGCCATTTTTTTTAGCAAAGCAGCCATATTGGAAATTCCTTCTTGAACAAAGACCCTACTACTGCAGGACATTGCCCGAAAAAAATTTAAAACTATAATCTGTTTACTGGTATTGAAGTTATCAGGAATTTCATTTACAAATGTAGGCAAAACAGCAAATATTGAATTCAGGAGATATCTTGAAGATTCCTTCTTGGGCATCGTCCTATATACCCATTTCCCAAGGCATCAGCATATTAAATTTGAACCAATCTGTCAACTGGTATTTGAGTTATCAAAGGCTACTTTTTGCAAAAAGGTGGCTTTATTGGAAATTCATTCACCAACAGAGATTCTATGCCTAAAAGGGTAAGGAGGATCGGCAGCCTTCTCAATATCCCTTCTCAATGAATGCAAAAAGCTCACCCTTGAAAAACATCAGGGAAACAAAAAATTAATACATGTATGATGATTTATTATGACTTTTATTTCACTATTTTTTGGTACTCAATTTACACAGCTCGCAACATTTGGATTTTGGTTCTTAGTGGTAGAATAGTACAATAATGATTAATAAAATCCACCCATTAAGATCACATTTAATTAGTAAAAGCAATGACTTATTCAAAATCAAATGAGATCTGAATATATTAGAACCATTCATTCATACTGTATTTCTTTTTTTATAAAATTCTATCGAGCTGTGAAAAATACTAAATGTACAGACACTAATGCACATGGCCTATTCATAATTTGTACAAACTTGCTTTATGAGTACTAATACTTCTTATTTACACTGTACAGAAATATCATACAAATATTAAGGATATTCCTAATAAAAAGAAAGTGGTCAAGGAACCATGAAACACTTTTGAGTGCATAAACACTAAACACAGTACACATATATTCCCATTATATAGTAGTGCTATTACAGACATTGATACATTAGGAACATTTACAAGTATATATTATAGATGTAATGATCATTAATCCGTAAATTACTTAAAGATTCAACTTAACAGAAAGACAGAAACTTTGCATAACTAGACAGAAAAGTTCAAGAAAGCCATCCTTATGGAGTGTTTGGTGTTTATGCATTAAGTCATCATCATCAAAGTCGTAACTTCCACATTATTCATAGCTGTTGAGAAAGTCTGAGGTGAATCTTTTCCTCGTTTAGTTAAACATGATTATATTTCACTTATATTTTAGTGGCAAAACAAGGTGATGAATGCAAAGTTCTGCACACTGATCATTTAAAAGTCTGTGGCTTGAAATCACCAGTTTATTACGCAGATGACATATCTGAGAGCCAGTAGAACAGTTTGTTGTCTATGGTATGGTTGTAGCATATTAATACATGTAAAATGTATATTATATGATTGTTATATCAACCAACTAATGATTAACTACTACACGTTGTCACAATGTCACGAAGAAACAGGTACTTGTAGGAAATCCATACATTGGAAGACGGTCAATATCTGAACTGGCAATCCATAACTGGGCCAAATGCAAATCCACTAGGTTTGATTTGTACTCAGTTCACTGTAGTTTTGCACAATCGTCAATCATTATCATTCCTATATAGTAAGATCCTATTGACAATTCAATAGAAACTGACACAACTGCTCAATATAAAGAGGGAATTTTGGAATCTATTTTCATACGTCACTCCGCCAAAGTTTGATTGTTTTATCATTCTCTAAAGCTGCGGATGCTATAATGTTATCTGTGGGATGACAGGCACAACACAGTACAACATCTGAAATAGAAAACACAATTTGGGTAAATGCAATACATTATACATATTTTCACAATTCGTTAAACAATCTGCATCAGGGAATTTATGTATTGTGATGTCACATCAGGGAATGGCGAAAATGGTTATTTCATGGACCTCAATCCCAATTCTCTGAACAATGCTTCCCTTCAATTTTTATATTTGATTCTGAATAAACAATGATAGGCCATTCAATATGGTGAAATTATACACTCATTTGACATTGACGGAATGTCATTACTTACAAATGCCATCACCTTCGGTTCATGCTTTATACGACATTCTATTTAACTTGTGCTGAATCTCAACATATTGAATGGCCTATCATTATTTCCTTAAAGAGGAAAACAAGGTTTAAAAGGAACATAGAACAGCCAATTATGTCTGTTGGAAATATGTGGATCACTTAAACCATTATATTTACTTTGATTTTGCCAATATCATGATCATGACTTCTATGAAGTACCGAAGACCCAAATTTGCTACAGTCATGTATGAAACCATAAAAAATACAAATATGAAATAACTTTCAAGTATTATATCCCATATTTCAAGCAAACTTGAAAATAAATATTTCAAATGTCTCATTAAATATAAGCAGTAGGATGTGGCTTCAATTGAACTTCACCAACAATCTGCAATGCTACAGGGTCAAAGGTTAACACATGTAAACATAGCATCAAATCATAGCAGCAAGATACCATGTGCTGATATGTATAAATACCCCACTACTGTTAAGTCACATCTCCTGCTGACAGCTGAATGGCTGTTTGTTATCTACAGTAGTAGGCATTCCAAATGTTACATAAGACACCTGTGTTTATCAATTAAGGATTAACTGAAGTTTTCCTCTTTAGTTAATGCTTCCAATAACCAGAATGGATCATCCTTGTAGCACATTTTACTCTAGTGTATAAAAGTATATTATACCTGTATGACCAGAAAGTTTCTGTACTATTTCTTTGGTCTGTAGATTCCATATGTAGATTTTATTGTCCTCAGATCCTGCTACTATCCACTGGAAAATTATCAGTGTATCAATTCAAATGTAATACAATCAGGAAAATACTGTTATTGGTAAACCAACCGTTTATAATGCAATAGTACAGATTTATGGAATGACATGCTAAAATAAAAGTTTGACAACTGGTATAGATTAGGATGTGATAGCATTGATGGTTAATAGGACATGTAAATATCAATAATTTTGTGTTTAATCAGCAAGAAGCCATTGTAGGGTTCATTAAAGAAAGAAAATTCAAAATTGTTAATCATAATTGAGTTACATGTATTTCAAAATTAGGGGGTTACATTTTGTGTCACCATATACATACCTTTCCTCCTGTCACTGAGAAGTTGGCAAATATACAATATTTTTCATTTTTATGTCCTGTGTAAGTTTTTAGACATTTTCCCTTGCTGTAGTCCCATAATTTTAAAGTGCTGAAAACAAAGAAAAGTTTGATTTAAATATAAACTGGTTTTATTTTCTTGTCTCAAAAGAGTAAAAAAACAGTTTGAAAATACACAAGGCAGGATATAGTAAGCGATTCATTTATTTACTTGGCCTAATTTCCTAAGACTGGTAAAGTAAGACTACTAATACTTACTTGTCTAAGGTAGCTGCTAGAATATATTTTCCATTGGGTGAGAATTTCACAAAAGAAACAGGTGGGTTATCATCATCTGTAATAAATGTATGCAAGTCCATGTACTTTCAGGTATGAATCTATACAATATCAATACACAGCATTAACATGGTGCAACCACCACAGTTCTGAAGGAAATAGATATTAGCCACCATGGCTCATAAATTGAACAACAATTATTAGCCACATTATTAACTGTAAGTGGTGAGCGAAGCAAGCTTTAAGCAGAGCAAGTAATCTTGAGACAGTTCTCACAGAGAATTTTGATTTTTACATTAAGATAGCATCAATTGGTAAGTAGAATTTATTCATTCATTTGGATTAATTTTGAAAGTAGGCCTAATGAATCAGTACTTTAGGTACAAAGTGATTGGTTTTATCATGTGAACACCTACCAACACTGAACGTTTTGTTTTCTCGGCAAGAAAAAGTTCAATAGACACAGGTTTTACTGTATTGAGAGTATCTCACATCTTGCATACTATTGCAAACATCTTCATCTCCATAACAAATATATTCAAGGAACAGAATCAAGAGTTACTTACCTATTAATGTTTTAAGACATTGTCCTGAAGCTGTGTCCCATATTCGACTGAAAAGTATATAATGTCAAGTTACAAGGTCGCATTAATTGACACATTTCAATCACATACATTGTAATTTGTTTTTCTTCTTTATCAACATGGTAATTCTCTTTATCTTGAAAGTGAAATAATCCATCTTTGTGAGTGTTGTTATAACTTTTTATTTGACTATTTTAGTGTTTTTTTATTTCATCAATTATGTATACAATTGTGTATGACTTGTACTTTTATAAACCATTTGTTTTAATAAAGAAAATTAGCTGTTGCCCATATGTATGCAATGTACACAATAAACGAGACAACATTACATACCAAAGTCCATCATAACTGCTTGAGACAATGAGAGAGCCATCTCTGTTAAAGTTTACAGCTGTTACAGGGTCAGAATGAGCGGGCAGTGTCTTCAAACACTTGCCTGTCTTTACATCCCATATACGCACACTCTCATCAAACTGCAACAAATAATATTCATTTCTGTACAGGATGACCCAAAAGAGTGGGCCCAAGTTACTTATAAACTTAATTTCTAATGTACCTATATCCAATATCAATACTAAAAATATTAGAAATCAAACAGTGTTTATCGTGAAAACTCCTTGATTTTGATCATCACATCACTCAAGGCTCAAATAACACTTTTTTCATGAGGCATGACATGTGGAGACTACTAATATGGCATTACTATGATTCACTTAATACATGAGCTACCTGGTACTAACCAGTCCTTAGAGTATAATGACACAATATCCAGTGACTGTGTGTTTACGATCCTATTTATGATCCTGATATTCTTGGGGTTCTACTAAGCCATTGCCTTATCCACGACAGTTTTGATCAGGTCGATTTTTTATATGAGCAGAATATTTTTGAAAATGACCTCCCTGATTTTTGTAACAGCCTACTCAAATGTGATGTGATTTTTAAAATGAAAGGAAAATACTGGTTCTTCAGATCAATCCTGAGACTATATATTTAACTCTTGATTAAGTTACTGATTGATCCTTGGACTATCAGGTAAGTCAGCGTAAAATTTACTCACTGATCCTGAAACTATAAGGTTAGACTGTGGGTTGAAGTTGCAGCAGAATACATAATTGCTGTGGCCCTTCAGAGTCTTCAAACATTTTCCCTGCAAGAACAAAAGTATAGAGTAGAAGTATGAGGATGTTTTAAATGCATCCCCTATTCCACTGTCATCCATAGAGTCATAAAATACAGTGATCTCCCCAGCATTAAACCTAGTGGGCGCAGCACCCACCTGAGATTTTGAAAATAGGCTTGCACCCACCTGAAAATTCATTTGCACCTACATGTACTTGAAAATGAGAAAAATCATGAAAAATCGGCATATTTTGACTAATTTTGGTCTGAATTATGAAAATGAGAATTTTGCACCCACTTGAAAAAAAATCCAGTGGAGATCACTGAAATGTTAGAGCATGTTTCAGTAAAAATATGCCAGTTCAGGACAACATACATATGTATTTGTTATATTATTGTTAGCTGATTATTGTCTTCACAAATAAGGGTAAAGCCCAACTATAAAAAAATCAAAAAGATATTACAGAATATCACCCTGTCTATATGGAAACTATTGCATGAATATTTAAACTAGAAGATTAGAAGTATTAGTAGTTCTCTTACCGATGCAAGCTCCCATATTTTAAGTGTTTTGTCATCTGATGCGGAAACTAGTAGTCTACTGTCAGTCGACCATGCTACATCTGATATACCCTGTAAACAGAAATAAATGTAACATAAAATACATTCGATGAAACTATTGATACAGTAAGTTGAAGAATGAATAAGACTCACAGTTATAAATATGGCATTTTTTAATCAAATTTCATAATGACCACAAAATTATTTTCCCAGAAATCCCGAAAATTAATCAGATCCTGGCACGAGATAAAGTAATGCTCTTGCATTATGATTTGTAAAAAATCAAGTTGAACATGTAAGTAGGTTTCCTGGAATTTTGATGAAGATTTATGTGGGGTTCGCCCATTCACCCATCCAAATGCACACGACAATGACAATATAGCACTTTGAAAAAGTGTGATAAAATAATTTATAGATATTTTTTCCGCATCAACCTATACTTAAAGATATCTTACCAATTTATGTCCACTTATTGTTTTTTCAAATTTTCCATCATATGCTCCCCAGATTTTGATCAGTTTATCAGCGGCTAAAATGTAAACAAACAAACATCAAATGTATAAATATTTTGAATATTTTCTATTACTGTGCAAATGACACATGATTCAAATGTGGACTCATTCAATTTAAGTCATCTGTGAAAATGATAATCAATAAAACAAGAAAATTTCATATAGATGTTAATGAAATTATATATAAAAGACAGGTTCAAAAGTGATTGAAATTGAGCTAGAAGCTTCAAATAAAAGCATTTTAAAGCTCTTTTATTCTTCTATCTCATGATTCTATTTTTATTGGTTATGGGGGCACCTATCGCACACCCCCACCTTGGCACACCTTAGTGTCAAAAGACAAAAATGATGATATAAATTTTGATTCAAATAAAAAATAAAGGTTGAATTATCTTCTCCCAATGACATCCATGGAATGTGTGCTATTATGTATCATCACTCACATGAGCTAGCCAGCCACTCTCCATTTGGACTAAACTTCACAGATGACACAGCTTTTGTATGACCAGCAAGAGTGAACTTTAATGTATAGCCTGGTTTCTACAAAATAAAGCAACAGCTTTCAGAGAAAGTTTACATTAAAAATGAATACCAAATCAATCAATCAATGGGAATTACATGTTTATTTATCATAAAAGTAAAACAAATTATAAGGCAGAGTAGGGTAACTTTTGAATATGAGGTCACTTTGAAATTCTAAGGCAAAATTCTGGATTTTTTTCCAGATCACTAATAAACTTAATTTAAATACCATCGGGGCTGTGGGTTTACTACTTTGAGTTGTGGGGGTCTGTGGCAATATTGTTGCAGTGGTCGTAGTGGTATTAGCAGAAGACTTAGTGTCTTGCTCCGATTTGATTGGCTCTCCTGTTGACATGTTCACTCTGAAAGCAGTAAAATACAACATGATATTTTGGGAGATTTTACTTCCAGTGCTATCTACAGGATATTTAGTGTGGAGGACTTTGTTATTTTTTGTGCAACATTTCAGAATTTTGTAAATTTATAGACAACATTTAAATCAATATGTGGCATCCCCGCCATATATCAAGGTTCATGTTTTTACTATGAGACTACAGGTACCAAAAGGAGGATTTCCTGTATGAAAATCTTGAGAAAGAAACTGAATTGAAAACGATCTATTTTCCTTTTTATGACCTTTACGAAGCTTCTACTTCTAGCTATTTTCAGTTACATTTTCAGAGGGCTGAAAGTCATTTCATAATGTTTAGGGTCATTCTGACCATGTACATTGTGATCCTGGTCATGTAAATGATATGTGGAACTAGTTTAACTGACTGGAGGTAAAAACAGAGCTCTGTTATAGTTCAAAAAATGTTTAAAATCCAGCATGGTTTTGTCACTTTCTGTTAAGTACCATGAGACCTTAAAGACTTAAAGACCTTAGAGAATTTGAGGTGAAATTTTGGGAATAAGTAAGTTTTTCCTTGGAAACTTTGTAATGCTAAGACCTACAATTACAGGCCCAGGAACATGTATAATTAATGCAAGTTTGTCCAGTCGGAGTCATAAGTAGTAAATAGTAGGTAGATATAGGGAAACAGAAAATGTTAATCCCAAAGTTTGATCATGAAATTAGTTAAGATTATCGCTTTTCAGTGTGTTTTATATGAATATTCAAAATTAAGATAAAGTAGTAAATAGCATAAGATGAATGCTTTGAGGAAAAATGTCTGTCAGATAATGAACCAAATCAGAGATGTTGCACAAAATTTAGAAATACATGTAGATCCATCCTGTCATGTATGAATAGGCCCGATCTAAAGGATGTCGTAATTAAAAATTCAAATAAACTGCCACTGGTCATTCTTTTCCACTTCGGATTTTGAATCGCCAGATTTCATCTTATTCAATAACAAAAAATTCAAATCACATATCACTATGAATCTTTTGATTGCTGATTGGGAAATTCTAGCCAGTTGTAATTGTCTGTGAATAATAATATATTACAGAGGGCGGAAGCCAGTTTTTCTGATTTAAGATGCCCCACCTGGAGTATCTGCCATTGAGAATAAATATTCCTCAAGATGAGACACCGAATCTTGTTCCCGGCTCCTGTGTGTCGAAATACATAGGATTACTTGTATACCGTTCATTCGTGAAAGGTAAAGAATAACAAGACGCTTCGAATGAGGTATGATTTGTCTCATAAGTTCCTGTCTTTGCTGCACGATGTCATTTCAAAATTCGAAATTTTCTTCAGTGTCTCATCTTGAGGAATATTTATTGAGCTACTGATCCTATAACTAAAGAATCTTGTCGGCATCTATGGGCCTAAATCAGTTCATGTGCAAGGATACAAACATAGTGCGATCAAGTAAGACAATTTAGACTGGAGAACATTTACATCACACGATGCTGTATATATCCATGATGCAATCAAAATTGGATTTCTCAATATCAACCAGGATTTCAGCAATGCAATTGAGCTTTAGCAGTCATCAGTCAACAAAATTTTGATGTTTTGTTCAAATGGGCCATTCCATTTAAAAAATGTACGGGGGGTATGGATGCACAGGCTGAGACACCCCCCCCCCAGAATTTTTTTTCTTGCTACCCCCCCCCCCCCCCCAGAAAATTGCATCCATACCACCACCCCCCCCCGGAAATTTGCATCCATACCCCCCCCCCCCCAGAAATTTGCATCCATACCCCTCTCCCCTGGAAAATTGCATCCATACCCCCCGAAACACGCAAAATCCCCCCTTGAGAAACAATATAAAGGTTATAAGTTGCTCCTACCATTGAAATAGGCAATCAGTTTGCAGAATTTACAAATTAGTGTTAAAGGCACATGTTCATGGAAATACCCACGTTATCGGTGTGTATACAATAGAACCACATGTTATATTTCACAAGTCCAAAAATATCTGCACCAGCTATGCACATATTTCTTACCTCATTATTGATTAGTATCCAACAGACTGAGTGTGAACTCAGTGAACTCAGTTTGTTATCCTTATTTTCTGTCGTGTGGTTATTGCGGTGAATTGTATTGCACAAAATTATCAATTCATTAGAGGAAGCATTACTTCAATAAAATAAACATTATGAAAATTCAATTAGGTAGTAAGGTACAATTAAATGACATAAAAAGTAACGCAAAAAATACCGTCTAGAGGATGTAGTCTGCTCAACTGATTCTATACACTAGCTTGAACATTCTCACAAAGCTACAGCTGTCTTTTGAAGTACTGGTCGATTTAAAAGTCTGCGATTTGAGACAGCCGCAACTTTTGGGCTTTGAGAGAACACTTAAGCTGGTCTTTAGATTAAATTGAAGTAAGAAATATGTACATAGCTAGCACCGACTTTTATGTCTTTTGATAAATAACATAATGTTCTTTGGATTCGGTGTGCATAACCTGAGATTTTCTTGGCACAAGATAATTACCAGGCTTACTCAGTTACTTAAAGAAGGCAATGCAAAGATAATTTCCTGAAAAAAAACAAAGAAATAAAACACATGCCTTCATACTATATTTTGTACCAGAAATTTTCAAAATATTTCCATATACACGTGCCTTTAACAGAATGTCAGTAAGTCATACGCTCAGAATGAATTATTGCTTATATTACTGTAACAGGATATTTCTAGGTCAACTTTTTTTGCCTTAGCTATGGTGGTTTTGATGACATCTAGTCTCAACAGTATATTTTCACGTACTAGTTAGCACAAAAAGTGTATGTATATAGTTTCAAAGATACAATCTGATTGAATTAGTCTGAAAATATTGCTGGTAGTTTGAAGTAACCTTCCTCAATAATGTAGACAAAATTAGTGAAGTAATTTTGACTACCAGAAATTAGTGTACCTATTAACGGTTCACAATACTTTAGAATGTATGAATAACTAGAATATTCAGTGGTTTACTTTTCAAACTACTGTCCTATATTTTCAAAAACACATGAAAAGTTCAATATGTGAAGCAAGTGACCACATAGTTTATGACTGAAATTAGATGCCCAAAATGTGGAACAGCTAGACATGACAGAAAATAATACTATGAACTTGTGTTCTAGATACTCTCATCTACTTGAATAAAGTTATATTTGAAGGCTACACATGTTGCATAATTTGACCAAATTGTCTAAAAGTCTAAAGAACAAGGAAGTAATTGCCAGATTGGAACCTATATATTGGTTCCAACATTGCAGTTTACATGTACGTTGATCACTGTCACATAAACTGTTTTTTGTTTAGATCTAGTGTACTATATACTGCTTGTAGCTCTCAATTCAGAGTAAGGTCATGTGCTTACTAGTGTAATGTATCCTGATCTCTAGACAAGTTCACTAATTTGTTATATTGAGGTTGTAATAGTTTTATCCTGATATATTCAGATGACCTGTGTACTTTCTCAACAGACTAAATGATTATGAAAAGCAAAAATAAAAACTGAATATTTCATAATTAGTTAGTTGAACTCGCTACCATTGTTCACTTCACACAATCAAAATTAAAATGTAATGTTTCCATTGGTAACTACAATATTTTTTCATTATTTATTATTTCTTCAACATAAATTACACAATTCGGGCTCAACGATGATGCAGGCCTGTCAACTTGGGAACACCTAACATGAGTGACTTGGAAATGTTGAACACCTCCCCTCAAAATGTTGACACCTTGGTCCAAATCTGAACACCTTGATCCAAATTTTGAACACCTTGGTTTAAATTTTATTACATCTTGCCAAATTTTGAACACCTCAAACTTTTCGCGCTCGCTAGGCTCGCGTTTCTAACATCCATCAACGGGGGGGGGGGGGGGGGGGGGGGGGGGGGGGTAGGTACGAAAAATTTCGAACGGAATGCGTGACATATACGTAATTCGCGTGAAAAGTCCGAACGAATTGCGTACGTTTTTTTCCGGCGTTCGTATTTTTGCTGTGTAGACGATCTTTTTTAGAAATTTTTCTACAGAAATATTTTTGCTTGACAATTACCAGGTAAAATGCGTATTTGCGTGACATTTTCTGTCACGCAAAAATAACTGGCGTGACTTCAAATTCTTCAGCAAATGCGTGACAAATACGCAAATTGCGGGACAGTTGACAGGCCTGAGATGTCAGAAGGAATGACCATATATAGAACGTCGGTCAAATTTGGCCAACGAACACTGATTGGCGCAGTGAGTTCACAGGTTTATTTTAGTTTGAAAGAGTAAAGACGAAGCTCTCTTTTAAGAAGTGAAGTCAAACAAATGCAAAGGGTAACGATTCTGTTGTCCTCTGAGCTATTTTTTCGCAAACATGTACATTTTCAAAAACATATGATACTGATACACGTTTGTGAGAAAGAATGTCGTGGGGAATCTGCCTACAACGCGTGAAATAAGGAAAAAGAAAAATCGTACCTTCGACATTCCGACAAACCTTTTCGCTAACCAGTGTAATCAAGTGGATCCCCAGTATATAGGATGTATGATATAAATTAGAAAATGTACTGATCTCACTTGAGAATGAAGATATTCTAATTCTCATTGTCTGAATTTAAAAATGTTTAAATAATATGCAGTAACTGTTTCAGAGAAAAATGTCATATTTGTTAATTTTAATGATTCTTCATGTTTTTGGGGAAATCATGTTTTACTGTTCCAGAAATGAAGAGGAGTTCTATGAAAGCCATGACACTGTAGAGAAAGTTATACCCTTAACAAGAGCATACCAAAGTTTTCCTTATCTTAGCATTAAGCATTATATAGGATCACAAATACATTGCAAATATGAAAGTGAGAAAAACCTGTATACAGCTAGCTGTAGCATACTTTGTTCTGTTGGCTGGGATTAAATTTCGAAATAATAAACATGACCGAGATTTGGTGTCAGACAAGTCCATACACAAAATACTCAAGAAATACATGTACATTAACTGACTTATTACCGCCTTTTAAAAGACTGAAAGACACTCCACCCTTATACCCCTATAGAATACTCCCCCACAGACTACCACCACCACCCCCTATTATTACCCCCCCCTTCATAATGCCTTTGCAAATACCCCCCCCAGAATTTTTTCGGTCTCCTACCCCCCCCCCAGAATTTTTCGGTCAACACCCCCCCCCCCCCAGAATTTTTTGGTCTCCTACCCCCCCCCCCAGAATTTTTCGGTCAACACCCCCCCCCCCCCCCCCCCAGAATTTTGCATCCATACCCCACGTACATTTTTTAAATGGAATGGCCCAATTTCCAAATGAACTTGATCATATTCTAGCTTATTTACACCACCTACATGATTCATATTTAGCAAACATAACCAAAATATACTCACCTTAAAGTAAAACAAAATTAGAAGTATCTATATCGACTTGTATGGATGTAAAATGAGTATTATGTCCACTTATGGAGGAAAGCAGACCAACATGTGAAGCTCACGCAGGCGCAATGCTTATCTCGAGAAAATACGAGAATTGAAAGTAGGTCAAATTAGGTGTGCTATTTCTCTCATGTTTTCGAATGGAAATCAGGTATCTACGAATCCTATTGGGATATATATCCAATCTTGAATATGCAGAGAATATAGGAGAGAAATTATTTGGACATATGTGTGCGTAATTTCATCTATATTTGGTAAATCATAAATTAGCTAGTCATGTGATTGCCATTGGCCAATCAAAATGGAGATGAAATGACTCGACGTTGGTCGATTGGGTGGAATTTATTTGCCCAAAATTCAACACGTTCGTAGGGAGTCAAAATGAACACACATACTACAGAAACTTATAGGATTAAAATGAGAAATGTATGGAGAATAAGACAGTAACTTGTTTAGAGACAAAGAGTGGCTAGATTTTGTGATATTTAAGGTTAAATATATTTGAAATAGTCATGTGATCAAAATTGACCAATGAAAGCGCCGGACTATACCCGGACACTATAAATACAAAGTTGTTGCACAGTGAGAAGCCATTGCCGTTGACGGAGGCCTCAAGTGTTCAGGAGAATCCAGCCAGAAAATGGACACGGCGAGCCATCCACTCCCGCAAGGCTATCCACAGAATGCAAACAACACTAATACAGGGTACTTTATTGATATTTTTATTTTTCAAGTTGTAGTGTTCGAGAAAAAGACACTAAAATTTAGCGAGCATTGTTTTATTTTCCGCCATGATCGGCTTTTGTCGATAACAAAATTGTGTATTATATCTCGAATATCTCAATAACTAGCCAAAACTTTGCTCTAAATTAAAGTACACGTACATCTGCATAAACTAGAGCGTTATAATGGACTGAACTAAGCTAGTGAAGTAGAGAGATTGAATGAAATTTCACTATAATACTAAAGTACGAATAAAATGATAAATTTTTATTTAAAAAAACTAATGTGGGTTAAGTTTCGTTTGTGTTTGAGATGAAGAACTGTATGTAGTAGTTTTGTACTGTCACAACTTGAGCATTCCTGCTTTAGGTCTATGTTGATATTACTTATGACCTTGGGTATCTTCTACAGAACCAGGATTTACCTCCAGACAAACTGAAAAAACAAGTTGTGATGTGTACTATTGCTTTATGTGGCAATGATGACTACACAACAATGGTAATTTCCAGCAAAAGCAACTCATGAGCATGACTCATAACATTATTGATAGGTTAAACAACTCATGTATTGATTTTGCTGCGTTTTCCACACCCTTAGTCATTAATTTCTGTGTAACTGACATTGATGCAACAAGGAAGTGTTTTGACTGACTTGTTACAAAAATTAAGAAAGGTCCCATACCTATAAGACTGAATAGTATGATCACGCAAGTGTAAACTATATGTATGATGCTGGTTTATGCATAATCGGGGTGTCATTGTTTTATGATTACGTAGCTGTCACAGACTTCCGTGCTATGCTTTCATTTGTTGCAAATTCTCACGATCAAATATTAATTAAACGCGCATGGAATTCAATTGCATGCGCTACCATAGGCCACCATTAAACTTTTTGCATCAAAGACCGAATAGGCACGGACGTTTGACCTAGGGCGGGCCACAAGATATGTTAGATAAGAAATAAGGCCCAGACTAGGTTTAACTTGTTGAACTAACACAGATTGTGACTTCAATCATATAATAACCATGACGATTAAGATGCAGTATATGACAGTATCAACCAAATCATAGTTACAAGTCCTGTAAGAGAGTAATTCTGTTTGTTTAAAGTCTATGTGTAAAATTGTGTATTTTTGGAATTTTTATGCAGCCCTCCTTGGAGTCGTTGATTATTTTCAGGAATAAATAACTCCTTTCATATACATGCAACCAGTGACCTACTTATTTTAGAGTACAGAATAAACAGGTCACTTTATTTTCTCATTTATATATAGATCTACAGCTTATATGAAATATTTGTTTTTCCCTTCTTGGTACCTAAGTGTACTCTGCAAATGTGAAAGGTGTAGACTGTATATGAAATGAGTTCCACGATGCCCATGTCAAGCAGCGTGCCTACTAGGCACGCAGTTTGAAACTCTGACAAACTGCGCGCATATTTCAAAATTGAAGACGGGGAGGACACGACTCCCAAAAAGAGCCAAAATACGAAAAATACAAGGTTAGTCTCGTTCTATAGATAGTACCATTCTGTGAAGATGAACTTAATTTACTCTTAGTACTCAATGTTTTTCCCGATGTTAACCTAGTTATCTCAATATAAGGGTCTTAAGTAACTTCTGTGCTCAAAATTTACAGTGTAAAGTTATATCTTTGTATGTTTATCGTCATATGCCGTTTATTCAGCCATTGTGTCTGTGTATGCTAGAATATATAAGATCACTCCATCTGATTAAAGCAGCATAGTTTGTGTTCAAAACGATAATACGCCATAAACGTGATTTAAACATTTTTCTTGTCAAACTGCGCGCCTATATGCACATGTATTTCCCAAACTGCGTGCCTAATTGCCTATCCAAGCTTGTTTTGTATTATTAGAAAACGTAAGCGCCATATGTAAGGCACATATGTGTCTAATAGTAGAGCCCTATAATTAAAACACTATGAGAGTCCATCCACCTAGTGGTGATCTGAAAATAAAATACTTTCTTTCGTTCCCAACTTAATTGTCACTTCTATTATACATTTTGACTTTCAATATGAAAATCTCATAAAATCTGACAATAAAGCAAAGTTTCCAAAGCTATATGAAAAACACCTTTACGTGCCTCTGTAAAAATTTCATTGATAATATGTAGTTTTAATAGTGTATGTGCACAGTTTATAATTTCTGGCTAAAATAGGTGCGCAGTTTGTGGTTTATTTCTTTTTAATCTCCTTATTATCTGTTTTATCTCGAAATATTTTGAATTATACATGATAAATGCGTAAGGAATTAAATATAAAACGAATCTAAAGTATTTGTCATTTATGTTTAAAGTGCTAGATCGATTTACGTATAAATTCCCGTTAAATCAGTGACGAAAATGCCATTAATCTGCTTATGTTTTAAAACTTAGATTCATTTGCACATAGTTTTTGCTAGTATTTGCAAGATTTGTATATTCGCCACAGAATGAACGCATTGAACAAGAAAACAATGCAGGATAAATGTCCTTAAATTACGTTTCAAAATACAGACTCCAACTTAAAAGATGCAATGTTGTTAGGCACGCAGTTTGTGATCGAAACAAACTGCGCGCCTACTTAGGCGCGCAGCTTGACATGGGGACCGTGAGTTCTCTACTTCCAAAAATTACATGCGATTCTAATGAGGAATGCATAAATTCCAAACGTACATATCTCACTTGAGAAATTTTAATTGGTGTCTAATAGTTCTACAGTCAGATTCGTAACATTCCATTGACCACTTTGAACTACAGTAAAATTTTAAATGTTTGGAACTACTTTGAATCTAAAAAATAAGCAATTAAAGGACCATATTGAAACAGAATATGTAAAAATAGAAACATTCATTCATGTCCTAACAACATGTATATTAGTTTGTATGTTTCCATTTTTTCATTTAGTAACTGTTGCAATATAATGATTTGATTGCTTATTTTTTTAATTTAAAGTATTATTTCAACCAGGAATCACTTGTTCCCCACACTGTCTACGTCTTCCAGTTTTGCACAGAGTAGAAAAGACTGGTGAGAAGATTTGTTTTGTGAAATATATTTAAAAAACAAAAAAAAACATGTAAATTCAGTGAGAAAAAATTCAACTGAATTTTCTTGTTTTTATTATACATTTTATCAAAACATTCTTCTCTACAATCTTTTCTAGGTGCATTAGTGCACTCGTGCAAAAGTGAGAGATGTAGACACTGTGGGGAAGGAGTGTTTCTTATTTGAAAAATAACACATGACCCCATTGAGGACTGCAGCAAAGTTCCAAACATGCACCCTGACCATAACTGTATATACAGTGATTGACATTATAGAGACAATTTCATCATTATTATTACATTTGAGTGCCTTATTTGGCAAGTTGAATTTACTAGTAAGTCTTATTTGACTTTTCTTAATTGATTTACTACAGCAACAATACCATTTCATTATATTTCCTGATGACATTGCATGCTTATTACTGAAGTATAGGCGCTGTGACTTTCTTGGAGAATATACATGTCCTGGATTATGTCATGTTGACCTGTCACCATATTATCTCAAAAATATCAATGTGGCTTCAAGAAGTTTTTCACCAAATCTCAATCCAACTGTTTTTGGTGTGGGTAGTACGAAATAGTTTTATTATTGCCTATTTCAATGGGGTTACATAGAATCCAGTGTGGAGTCTGGAGAACCCCTTTGCAAACTATATACATGTTCTTGTAAATGAGATCATTTATCAATCTACTTAAATACTAACCAACAACTTGAACCACAAATATTCTTTATTCTAACAAGATCCATCCATATGTATCTCCATCCTGAAAACACATGAATAGTACTAGACTTCTTTCATATTTTGTAGTTAGAAAGGTGTATATTGTAATCCCAGTTAATTTCGCGAATTTTGAGAAACACTCGCCGCTATTAAATTTCGTGAATTTCACTAAGTACACCTACTAATATGTCATCTTGCACAATGACATGCTGCACCTTAACTCTATTACATCGTAATTTTTGGTTTACTTGATCTAATAAGCCACTGTAACAGACATTGTTACTTAGTATCGTATTTAACGCCTAAAACACTTCAAAAAGTTTCAAAAATCCCCAGGGATTTAATTGACAATTTCGTGAAGATTAATTTTTTCGATTTTACTGCTATCGCGAAAAGCGCGAAACTAGATCACACACAAAAATACCGGGAGTATTGTATTCATGAAATCTGAAAGAGTTTTTAAGATCACTTATGCTTGGGTCCCCTGAGGTGGCATTAGGACCTCAAAGTGAGGGGAATTTTGGAAAGTTTCAAAGAATACTTTTGGGGACACATCTGAAAAACGTGAAAATTCCCAAAAATAATCTTACCCATGTTATCAGGAAACACCTAAATAGTTTTAGACTGCATTATGTTTTTGTCATATGCATTGGACTTATGCCACATTGTGATCAATATCCAGAATGTCCATAATGGGACAAGTATAATACAAAGTCTGAATAAAGTTTAAGGATACTGTGTACACCCTGTATATTTCTTTTCATCCAGTTTCTGGTACTATTATTTTGACAAACCAATGGTCCAATGACCCTAGATGTCCACTAACATGATCATCAGTTCCAACCTGCATAAAACATTCCTTCCACCTGAACCATGGCCACCCTGACCTTAACTGGATATACAGTCTACAAGTGATTGACATTATAGATAATGTATTTAACAGTCACTTTGATATATGATTTATAGAGGACGAATATCTATTTTCTCCATCGTAATTTATTTATTTATTTATACTAACCTTTAGCATGTTGCCTTATTTTGGCAACTTTATCTTATATGGCTGGCATATTTTTCAAAGTGGCAAAATGGTTTACCTTGGGCTAAATAATTCATATCTCAATAACTACTGGATGATTCTGGATACAATTTTCACGAACTAAAGATACACTGGCTGTTTTTGTAAAAATGTAGGTTTGATTTACTTTTTCATAAAAACATGACTGCAGTAGCAACTTTTTTCGCATTTTTGCTCGTTTGCTTGAAATCTTGATTCATCCTTCAACATTTAACTCAAATTGTGTCTTTACTTCAACTACATTATTTGCCAATGATGATGTGTAGTAATCCATTTGACAATTACATAGTCTCATAGTCACATTGTCATTCATATCAACTTGCAAGTTTAATATACCAGTACAACTTAAAGTGTAAAATCCTGAAAATCCTAATGTGATGCTTTATGCACCAGTCAAGTTATTCCATTTTGACAGTAATTAAATCTCATTTTGATTGGACTAGACAATATTATACTAGACATTCTGAAGAAGCCATGTGACAAACTTGTAATCAAGAAAACTTAACAGTTCAATTATGGTATAGAGTGAGGTTTATTTTGAATGAAATGTTGAGAGGAGATTGCTAGGCTTCTGCTAGTCAAGTTATCATCAGTATATATTAAAATTTGGTTTTGTTAAGTATTATTCCAGAGGTTCACCTGCAAACATGTGTGAGTTAACTAATTAGTACTAAACATATGGATTGCAATCATTGTATTTCTTTTTATCCTGGTACAGTGCCAAAGAACGTTCTAGATTGCCAGCTGGTTAATGAATTTTCATTATGGGATATAATTAATATTGGTCTTTGTCTTTGAAAGTGTCCTTTGTCTCACAAGTGCAATGTGGCAATTTACAGTGAAGTAAAATGGTAGAACAATAAGATATTGTGAAGGAATACATACAACATGTTAACGTATAGCAGATCTACTTATTTTAGTCTCATTTTCTGCACTGACTGAAAAGATGTACATGTATTTTTATAGTGTTGATAAATGGTTAAGTATATTTCAATATGTACTATTTGATAGAATTAGAGAATCCTCAAAGAGTATTCTACCTCTCTTTGCAGATTGCCTACAGTAAAGTCGCCGATGCCCCAGAAAACTGAAACTCCAGTCGCAAATACAAAAATCATAGAAAATAACACAGATGCATCACAGCCAAATGGGGAGACAAAACCAATGACGGTGTGTATTTTATATTTTAAATATTATATTTGTGCCTTTTTTCCAATGATATATTAATCATAAGACATAAAACTCTAGTTTATGAATGTCTAGTTGTCTCATTTGACTTTTCAAGAGTATCCAGAGTCCCATCTACTCCAGCAAGCGCAGCAGGCATTTTAATCACAAGTTTGATGATTTCGAGCTTGAACTAAGTGTAGATGTGAGCCTATGTTATACCAAAAGTTGCGTTTTGTTTTGAAGCAGCTCTGTTCTTGTTATTTTTTATCATTATTCTTTTTATTAAGTTCTTGTTAACCTTTGGTCCTCCCAGATCATTACATTCCAAACAAAATTGAAAGGGGCTATCCTGTTAAAAGGGGACGAAAAGGGGAGATTATGAGCATAGACATTAACTATCTTTGGATATCTCAATGCAAGTTCAAAATATTATTTGATTATGTTCTAGAATAACTTATCATCCGAACACAATGCAGAAGAAAAGAAAGAAGGGTCGAATGAAACTAACCAGAATAGCACAGCAGGGACTGCTGTTAAGAAGAAGGGGCGAATGACAAATCAACTGTCCTACTTACTAAAAACTGTGATGAAGTTTGTGTGGAAACACCAGTTTGCCTGGCCCTTTCATGTCCCTGTAGACCCAGAGAAACTAAACTTACCAGTAAGTCTGAGAATAAGCTTTGGCTAAATCTTGATGGATTTTTATAACTTAATGATCATGGCTAATGGAATTAAAGTCATGTTTTTGAAGTGTAGAGTCCTAAATAATACATAGATTCAAGTGGAACTAAAGGAATTTAATTAAAAATATTTGCACATTTTGATAATCATGATTCTTTGCTTTCCAGGACTACCACAAAATAATCAAACATCCTATGGATTTAGGAACTATAAAGAAAAAACTAGAACAGAATGCCTACTTTAGTGCAAAGGAATGTATCGCTGACTTTAATACAATGTTTACGAACTGTTATGTATACAACAAACCAGGAGAGGATATAGTATTAATGGCTCAAGCATTAGAAAAATTATTTTTATCAAAAGTATCTGGTATGCCCAGTGAGGAATTAGAGACAACTGCACCTGTTAAAAAAGGTCCTGGAAGGAGAGGTGGTGTTCCTGTACCAAGACCAGGGACCTCTAGGGTGGCTGCCACACATGCTGCTGCCCTAGTAGCTGCTCAAGCCCAACAGGAGTTGGCCCCTATAGCTACTACAGATGCAACAGCAACCACAGATTTAACTGCCATGTCTATAGTCAAGGACAGTTCTGCTGCCGTAACATCTACGACAGCAGCCACTACTGTAGTGGCCCCCTCTGCTGGTGGAGATTCCAATGTACCACCTCCTGCAGCAGTGGTAACGGCCCCACCTGTAGCAGCCCCGCCCACAGCCCCACCCGCAGCAGCTCCTCCAATCATAGCCTCACCTCCTGTTGGACTTCCCCCTATAACCCCCATCACAAAAGTAAGATTTTATCTTATTCATGTTCAACCTGCTCGACAATATAGGATTATACATTATTTTGGGCTGAGATGTCAATAATTGTTGCATCATACGTGTGATAGTGTGGTCAAAATTCACACAGTCTAGCAGGGTGTCCAAAAAGGGTCTTCGGCTCTTGCTCTCATTTGATAGTTTCATCGGTGAGTTCTGTACAAAGATGGGGGCTGGTGTTGCAATTTGAACAAAAATGTGTTCTCTTGGGTTTCATACATTTATACAGAAAGTTTTCTCAATGAATTAAGTTTTCCATTATTTTTAGAACATTTTTTTTTTGTTGTTTTCAACAGAGATTTGAATTAATATTCTAGTTCTTGCGAAACAGATTTATTAAATGCATATCATTTTCAAAACAATGTAGGCCAGTGTTCATTTGACTACATATGATAAGTTATAACATCTCTTATCGGTGAAGGTGACATAAAATAGCAATGGTAACCCCAGTCACTTCTTATTTATGGTAGATGATTTAGCAACATCATATTCTAATGTCTTAAACAGTATTTTTTTTTATCTCAAGTGGGGACTTTTCATCTCAAAGGGGGTTGAGTATTGTCAAAATTTGAATAAGTTGTAACATTTTCCTTAATCCTTAATCTTCTTACTTGTTGTGATTGTAGGCTAAAAAAGGTGTAAAACGGAAAGCAGATACAACAACCCACACATTACTTCCTACTAGTCCGTTTGACCCCCTGTTTGAACCAAGTGGTACCCCTAAAGTTGCAGCAAAAATAACCCCAATGCGTCGAGAAAGTAACCGACAGATAAAAAAGCCTAAAAAGGACCTTGTAGACGAACAGGTGGGTATTGTAAGTTCACAATTTAATTACTTTTATCTGTACAAATGAATACCCACCCATTATAGTATGGTTGGTCAGTGGGGGAGTAATGTTAGTGTTAATTGTATTAAGTTAAGAATCTGTTAAATTGACTTGTATTAGCTTGTATTGAGCCCGTATTATATGATGATAGCCTACATCATGCGTGTCATCTGACTGCACGCCAGAGTTTCTCTGGTGAGCTAGTGTGATCATTATGCTTCTCTGATATATTATTATTGTCATATTCAGTCTCATTCATCACTATTTCACAAATGATGGAATAACCTCATTATTTTCATTTAGGCCCAGCATAGTACCAAAAACAAGAAAGGCCGACTTAGTGAACAACTCAAGTATTGTAGCAATCTTACCAAGGAAATGTTCGCCAAGAAGCATGCAGTGAGTAAAATTTAATTCCTCTTTCATACACATTTGCACAACACAAATACAAAGATTCGTAAACTAATCCTTGTCAAACATGTCTAACAGTGCACTGTTTCTAAACGTGCATTAAACGATGTTTAATTCATTTAATGTCATGAAAATGAAGTCAGATAAGATATTGATCATGGTGTTGTTCAAATCATAAATGTATGTTTTCTCTCCATTTATAGACATATGCTTGGCCATTCTACAAGCCCGTGGATGCTGAGGCTATGAACCTGCATGATTACTATGATATAATAAAAAAGCCCATGGACCTAAACTCTGTCAAAGTAGGTAACTTCAACATTGACTTGATGAATACAAAGTTAATCATCAGTTATCTTATTTTCCTGATAACATGCAATACTAAGTGAGAATGAGCATATGAATGTACCTCCCGGGCATGGGCCTTAGCATTTGCAATAATAGCAGTCCTAATCAGTGGAGGTGACATAATATAGCCAAGGTAATCCCAGTCATTGTTTCTTATGATGGACTGTTTCATGACTTGGCAACATTACATTCCAACATTTCAATGTGTATTTTATAGCGATTTTTAATATGATTGAGAGAGTAGCATTCTTAAGGCGGAATGTGTTTTTGCAGAGCAAAATGGAGAATCGGCAATATGCCAATGCTGCCCAGTTTGCAGAAGATGTGCGGTTAATATTCTCAAATTGCTACAGATACAATCCTGCTGGCAGTGATGTAGTCAACATGGCAAAAAAATTACAGGTAATTTTGGGTTTTCCTTAGATCAGCCTGCATGTTGTAATCCCAAAAAGTAAATGCATTTGAAAGATAGCTCACGCTCTAGCTTAACATTATACAGGGTGTCCACAAAGTCTCTATACAAAGTCTGTATATGATGTAGAGACTTAATCGTCCTCCTAAGCAGGTATCCAGAATCCATACCTCCTTATTCCCCCCCTGCTATAACCAATTTGGAAGCGCCCGATTAAACTGAATCACTTGATCCATCAGATTGCAAGTTCTTAATCGGGGAAATGCTAACTGCTTATTGCAGGGGGTAAAGAGAAAGAATATATTCTGACTTTTGAAGCCCCGTGATCGGAGGTTGAGACTTAATGGACATCTTGTACTTCTGTTGCAACATTCTTACATATATGATGATACCTTACATCATGCGTGTCATCTGACTGCACACCAGAGTTTCTCTGGTGAGCTAGTGTGATCTTTATGGCGTCTGATATTTAAATTGGTGCTTTTGCAATTAACAGTGTACATGGCACTCCTTTAACTGTTTCAATCTTGTTTTCATAAGCATGAGCACAGAGTACTGCCAATGAAGCATTTTGTTTATTGTACAAATTTATTTTGAAGTCTAGTCTTCTTTTGTTCTGAACTGACCACATTCTAAAATAACTCTTGTTATTCCAGGATGTATTTGAAATGAAATACGCTAAACTTCCTGATGAGCCCCTGGAACCTTTAGAACTTGGTGACGAGTCAAGTTCTGAGAGCAGTAGCTCTGAAGAAGAGGAAGACAGTGAGGCAGAGAGGGAAGAGAAACTGTCTGAGCTACAAAAACAAGTAAGTGCCATCAACCCAGAATGCTATGATGACAAATTGTTTGTCTCCAGCTATTTGTGGATGGTGTGCAGCAGTTGGTGGATGACGTCTGTAACAAATGGCAGGTGGCGATATTTTGCATGTAAATGCCTTGTCTTATTACTTTGGTCTCATCTCTATTTATCCATTGGTGCATAATATATTGCTGTATACAGTATATGCAAATGAGAGCCTTTTGGTTAATGCATTCATAATTTGCTTTCAGCTAAAAGAAGTGCAAGATCAGCTAGGAAAACTTACCCAAGAACATTTACAAAAAGTGAAAGAAAAGAGTGAACGAGCAAAAATAAAAAAGAAAAAAAAGAAAGAGAAAAAGGAGAAAAAATTAGAAATGGCTGGGACTCCGCTTAATACACCTATGCCACTTTCAACCCCTATAGCAGAAGTGAAACCAACCAAATCTTCCAGTGTTAAAAAACAAGGAAAGACTCCTAAAACCCCATCGACGGGTGCTAAAAAGCCACGTGTGAACTCTAATAAATCTCTCAAAAAGAGCAAAGCCGGGGCATTAGTGCCAACATTTGACAGTGATGATGAGGATAGTGCAAAGCCTATGACATATGATGAGAAACGTCAACTTAGCCTTGATATTAATAAATTACCAGGTATGAAAGCTTGGTTGACCTGTTATACTGATATTACCCGGATTTGTGCAAGATGTCAAGATAGCGTACATTGAATGCTATATTTTGTAATAACAGGGGTTTCACTAGAATTTCTCACAGCAGGCTAAATAAATGAAAACAACAGCCAAATTAATGGAGATCATAAATTTAACATGGAAATGTTGAAAAGTCCCCAAAAACAACCGGTGAAAATCGCCTGCTGCAAATGAAATCCCTGAATAATATAGCCTACATCATGTGGGCCATCTTAATGAATATCAGTGGTTTCTCTGGCCAGCTTGTGAGGTCATTATGCTTCTTTGATCGTTTTAAACCTCGGTAAAAAGTTTGTCACTAATTGTTTTCTGATGCAAAACATGAAGGTTAAGTGGGATGTTGTTGATTGATTTACAGGTGACAAACTTGGCCGTGTTGTCCACATAATCCAGTCCCGGGAGCCTAGTCTACGGGACTCTAACCCAGATGAGATTGAAATAGACTTTGAGACGCTCAAACCTTCCACCCTGAGAGAACTTGAGTCTTATGTAATGCAGTGTTTAAAGAAAAAGCCTAGAAAACCTTATAGTAAGTAAAATCCTTTTTAAATCCCGTTTTGCCTTCAATTTTCAGTAAAATTTTTCACATTCTGTAACGGTAGCTTACATGAGTCATCTGCACACTAGAGCTTTTCTGGTAGGCATGTATGATCATTGATCATAATGCTTCTCTGAATTATGCATTAACAAGTCTGCAAATATCTTTCAGTTCATTTTGGACAAGAATTGCCATTTAGATACTTCTCAAGATATATTTCATTCAATAATTGTTGTCTTCCTTTGCAGCTAAAAAAGCTGGCAAATCACGGGAAGAGGCAAATAAAGAGAAAAAGCAGGAGTTGGAACGTAGGTTACAAGATGTGCAGGGTCAACTTGGCAATACACCAGCTCCTACCAGTAATAAAAAATCTAAAAAGGGTGAGGATAATTTTGAATTCCATTTTCTGTGATAGATTTGAACTGTGAAGAAACTTGCAGAAAGTAAAAAAAAATTTCATTGTGCATGCTAAGTGCTAAGCTAACCTCACAAGTGGAATGGGTATTTAAAAGTCCTGGGCCCCATTGACTCCATAGTGATGAACCTCTGTAAGTGGACCACCTAGCAAGTGGAATACTTTGTGGTACTAAGGGTGTTCAACTTACACAGGTTCTCCTGAAATAAGAGAAACCAAGTTTAACCGTACCCAGTATGAGAGGCAAAAATACCATTTACATGGTATTTATTTATCTAAAAAGGTTATTATTAAAAGTTATATATCAGTACAACTTATTATGTGTTGCAGGAGAGAGTTCACATGTAGATGTGGTAGGTGGACCTAGTAGGTTAAGTGAAAGTAGCAGTAGTTCATCAGACAGTGACACCAGTAGCGACAGTGACTCATCAAGTTCATCCGACACAAGCGACTCAGAAGCAGGTAGGTGAACCTTCTATATTCTTTCATGAGTTTGAGTTATATTTTATAAAGTTATTTCATGTCCTATTTTCTAGTTTGAATTATGATTTTAAATTTGAGTGATTTGAAAAAATGGTAGTGTCAGAGTTGATCTTGAATTCCCTGTATCCATGGTAATGAAGCAATAGTCCTCTCTTCTCCTCTCTTAAGTTAGAGCTGCAGTTGTGTGCTACTTCACATTATATCAAGTAAGAGATGAAATCAATGAGTACACCCAGTCTGAGTTGAGTTCTAGGTATAATTATTGAATACATGGTGTTATGCCTTCTGGCTCACCATGCAGGGTAATAATGTGAGGTAGCAACCAACCATGCAGAGCCAGAGTGCAGAGTGTATACATACATAGCAGGAGCCTTGCATTGTAGAGGTTCCTAATATATATCTCAATACATCAGAGTATAATCCCAATGTCTTACTGGATGTAAGTGGGTGTTTGCACTGGAGTCCAGTGTATAAGCCATCTACGTAGTTACTAAAGTGGTGCATGCTGTCCCGTCACATCGGAGACTTCCAACAGTCAACGCAGGTTCTTAATAAACAGTAGCGGAGCTGGATAAATCAATGTAGTTTTCTGGCAGAGAAGAGTGGGTGGTTAAAGGAGTATATCTACATTACAAGGCCTAAGGTTGTTGTCACACATGCACTCAGCGGCTAAATCTAGCAGCCATTGGCTCATCAATACATCAGCTGTTTAATATCCAAGAGATCATGAAACTACATGAAAGATGGATTACCTTTTACACAGGGAATCTTGATATTCAGTTGCATCAGTTTAATTAAACCAAGATAGCAGGAGTGTTGAACAGCAATGTGTCAAATCTCGATGTTATCTAGGTAATGAATTATTCTTTTGATGTTGATTGATTGGATATAAATGTTGGTTACAGTTATTGATGGCTCATTGGTATAGGTGGAGGAGAAGAAGGATTAGAATTGTGGTGCTTCAATTTAATTCAGTTAGGTGTCCATTTAAGTAGTACAACATTCACGGCATCACAATTCTTTTGAAAGTTACGCTGATTACCCTACTGTATAGATTATTTTTCAATTCACTGTTCCATTCAAACACTTTGTTCAGATTTTGACCAGAAAGCTTTTTATACAGTATAAGGGCAAATAGAGCGTGATTTGCCACAACTGGAGTTGGATAAATTATCTTGTAGCGTGTACACAATATCATTATAGTCAATAAACATTTTGTTGAGATTGAAATTCTATCAATTGTAGTAGGTTGTATTGGCTTGTGAAAAATAACCCATCTTTTGGTTGAAACTTCTTTACCTTATTCTCATTAGCAATACTGTAATATGCCTCAGTTATTTAGTTGTTCGATTCGGGATTCCAAATTGACTGATATTGTGCACATGATACTTTCATCATACCAACTTCAGTACCACCTGTAAACAGCTAGATTTAGTTGCTGAATAACCGTGGCCATTTATTTTTTCCAGTAAGGGGTAAATAGAGCATAGATGGTAGTTGTACTGTCTTCAGCGTGCTGTTATGTTCTGCCGTGAGGGGTGATCTAGCTCTTGTACTAAGTGTTCACTCAAAGGATAGGCTCTAGCAGACCCCACCCACCCGCCTGCCTAGCACTTCATATACAGTTTTATGCCTGGACTGTAACATCTCACATGCACGTCCACTCTGAAGATCATTGGCTGGCTTGACAATGTTGACCTGTATTCTTAGAATTTTGAACTTAATGACTATTTGTGTGGAATAAGACAACATCATTCCTGTAAATAGGAACATTTGGACATCAGTGACTATTATAGAGCAAAGTCCTGTCTTTATCCAGGCACCAGAAAGCTTTGTCTCCGAGTGATACAATGAAGGTGTTGCTAGAGTAAAGGACTTTCTACTGATAGAAAGCATTAATTTACCCATTATGTCATAGAGGAATGGATTGTGGAAAGTATATTTCTTTTAACACATGAGCCAATTGTAAACTGTCAAATGAAATACATAAGATAACTAATTGAATAACAGACGCAGATCCACCATGCAGGAGGAAAAATCAAAATGCTGACAAAATTATATTCTGATTGACATTGGTTCATTGTTAGATGAAAGATGTTGTATTTATTCTTTGGATTTGTGAGAAGTTCATTTCAACTAGAGCTTAGTTCAATATACCTGCACAAGCTTTCTCACATTGTTCTAAAAAGCCCCACAATTTACACTGTATAAACTTCATAGATTAGCAAACTTGATTTTGGCACCCGTGTGACACAGTAGGATGAACCTTGAATCCGTTTGATCCATTTAACATGGTGCAAGTGTTTTGAACTTTAATTCACATAAGTGCAGGTGAATGTTGATGCAGTGGAGTCTATATTGTGGCAATTACACAATTAAGTAACAGGCTATCAGATAACTAATGACTGGTTCCCAAAAAATAATATTATGTACAGGTTTGAAGTAATGGAACCAATGTTTTGTACATTTTCAAGGCTATTTAAACAATGAATTTACAACTGTCTTCAATGGAGTTGAACAATGAGTTGCAAATTGCAGGATTACATTGAGGTATCCTCACTTATGTGTTGTCAGTGGGCTCTCAAAACCTGTGGTGAATATTTAGTTCAACTAAATTGAGTTGTCACGCTTCGAAAATAAGCCTGTTTGATATGCATTCTTCAAAAACATTTCTAAGCACATTGCATCGATCATCGGCAGTGATACTAACATGCTCCCTTGAGTATGTTTTACTACATTGCCCTGGTTTCCCTTCAAGTTTCTGTCGCTTTATTTAGTTGCAATATTTGATCTCAGGGAACATTATGTTCCATATAGTTGTTATGATTTTTCAACATTTACATAGGTTTCGTTTTATTTTATATACTAAATTCCATTGTTTTAGATTGTAGAGATGTACCGAATTTGTTATAAACATTTAAACATGAGGGTTGTTTTAAACTGTATAAATAATGAATTTAGATTGTTTTGTAGTGCTGTAATTGTATACTGAATTTTAATACTATATGATTAGACAACTTGACATGTATCATTGTCAACAAACACACTTGTAGACCATGCAATTATGATCAATTTCGATTTACTAATTTTGCAGACATTACTTGATAACATGTATCTATTGTTGAATTAGAAATTTATATTTTCCAATGTTATGATTACAAATCAATTGTTTTTGTAGAAGGTATTGATTTCTAATGATGAATTTATTCAACTTAATGCACCTTATTTATAAAAGTATCTACAGACTTTTTTTCCTGTTATGTGAAGTGTTTGTCAAACATACACGTGTTATGTGTCTTTGTGTAAAACAGTCAAAACCTTAAAAATACATTGTATTAATTTTATTATTATTTTCTATTTAAATAAATCTGTGATTTTTGTAAAAAATTAGTGTAGCTTAGATAGTTTCATTTAGTGGACAAATATCCTATCTGGAAACCAAATTAACCAACTTAACTATATTGCTAGAATGCATTATGACGTTTTGGGAGATTTAAGTATTTCAGTTTGAAATCATATTGTTGTTTAGAGTCTTCTGCCTCAGGTGCAAAATTCTCATTTTGTCCTGGACATTCAAAGTTCCCAATGCTCAACACGGCTGCAATTTGCAGCAAATACATTTACAATTTAGAATGCGGGTTTCAAATTCTCATCTAGAGACCGGATTGACAATTGAAATACTGAGGAGATTGCAGAAAGATAATGTAAATCTCACATGGTTTTGTTGTTGATGTAGTATTTATTTAGGGCATATAGTTTTTTTTCACTCAGCAGCTACTCTGTTGGATATTCATTCATACACTAAGGGACAAGGTCAATGTTTCAATGTTGTCCAAAATGTAGTGAATTTCAAGTCAAGTCTGTTCCTTTGAAAATCTTGTGTAAGGGTCCTTTGTGTCGAACTTTGACAATTAGGGTTTTTCAACCTTGGCTTATATTTTCAATCCACACAGTCGGCCATGGTTGATTTTGAAAGTATTAAAAATCTATCATTATCTTCTACAGGCGAGATCTTAATTGTCAAAATAATCCTAGAAAGGAGTAATTCCATACATTGAAGTTCAATGAAGCATCTTTATTCTATGAGCCATGTTTGACTTCTGCTCCTCACCTGCTTGTAATTCATTACTTTTGTACTCCTTTATATCTATATTGACTTTGTCCCATATACACTATGCATCTAGATGTGAACTAGGTGGTTGGTTGCATCAGTTTGTAGATGTTTCCTCATTTATTTAGATTCTATAGTTGATACTGTTATATACATAAATTGTGAAATAATAAATATAAATAAATTAATGTATATTTGTATATAGCATGACGTATAGTATACACTATATGTAGAGATATGTATATGAATAAAAGAAATCTAAAAACTTAATATTCTTCTAATTAGTTTTGTTGATTGTCAATATGTATACACTCTGCACAATGAGATCCAAGCCCCAAAGTTCTGCTAATGAATGATAATGTAAATATGTTGATTGTCAATATGTATACACTCTGTACAATGAGATCCAAGCCCCAAAGTTCTGCTAATGAATGATAATTTAAATATGTTGATTGTCAATATGTATACACTCTGCACAATGAGATCCAAGCCCCAAAGTTCTGCTAATGAATGATAATGTAAATATGTTGATTGTCAATATGTATACACTCTGCACAATGAGATCCAAGCCCCAAAGTTCTGCTAATGAATGATAATGTAAATATGTTGATTGTCAATATGTATACACTCTGTACAATGAGATCCAAGCCCCAAAGTTCTGCTAATGAATGATAATGTAAATATGTTGATTGTCAATATGTATACACTCTGTACAATGAGATCCAAGCCCCAAAGTTCTGCTAATGAATGATAATGTAAATATGTTGATTGTCAATATGTATACACTCTGTACAATGAGATCCAAGCCCCAAAGTTCTGCTAATGAATGATAATGTAAATATGTTGATTGTCAATATGTATACACTCTGTACAATGAGATCCGAGCCCCAAAGTTCTGCTAATGAATGATAATGTAAATATGTTGATTGTCAATATGTATACACTCTGTACAATGAGATCCAAGCCCAAAGTTCTGCTAATGAATGATAATGTAAATATGTTGATTGTCAATATGTATACACTCTGTACAATGAGATCCAAGCCCAAAGTTCTGCTAATGAATGATAATTTAAATATGTTGATTGTCAATATGTATACACTCTGTACAATGAGATCCAAGCCCCAAAGTTGTGCTAATGAATGATAATGTAAATATGTTGATTGTCAATATGTATACACTCTGTACAATGAGATCCAAGCCCCAAAGTTCTGCTAATGAATGATAATGTAAATATGTTGATTGTCAATATGTATACACTCTGTACAATGAGATCCAAGCCCCAAAGTTCTGATAATGAATGATAATGTAAATATGTTGATTGTCAATATGTGTACACTCTGTACAATGAGATCCAAGCCCCAAAGTTCTGCTAATGAATGATAATGTAAATATGTTGATTGTCAATATGTATACACTCTGTACAATGAGATCCAAGCCCCAAAGTTCTGCTAATGAATGATAATGTAAATATGTTGATTGTCAATATGTATACACTCTGTACAATGAGATCCAAGCCCAAAGTTCTGCTAATGAATGATAATGTAAATATGTTGATTGTCAATATGTATACACTCTGTACAATGAGATCCAAGCCCAAAGTTCTGCTAATGAATGATAATGTAAATATGTTGATTGTCAATATGTATACACTCTGTACAATGAGATCCAAGCCCAAAGTTCTGCTAATGAATGATAATGTAAATATGTTGATTGTCAATATGTATACACTCTGTACAATGAGATCCGAGCCCCAAAGTTCTGCTAATGAATGATAATGTAAATATGTTGATTGTCAATATGTATACACTCTGTACAATGAGATCCAAGCCCCAAAGTTCTGATAATGAATGATAATTTAAATATGTTGATTGTCAATATGTATACACTCTGTACAATGAGATCCAAGCCCAAAGTTCTGCTAATGAATGATAATGTAAATATGTTGATTGTCAATATGTATACACTCTGTACAATGAGATCCAAGCCCCAAAGTTCTGCTAATGAATGATAATTTAAATATGTTGATTGTCAATATGTATACACTCTGTACAATGAGATCCAAGCCCCAAAATTCTACTAATGGAGCTCTGAATTGCTGTACCTGATGGATTTTAGTACCAATCTAGAATGCTTAAGAAGTTGGAATAAGTAGTTTTACTCATGCCTTGCTTTGTGGTTCACTACCAGACTTTAAACACCTACGCAGCTACCGAAAGTGGATGGGTCAGGTTCAATAGTGTGACTACTGCGGTTCAAAGCTTATTGGCTCACATTGTGAGCTTTTACAATCATTCACTTTGATTGTAACTTACCCATAATATAAGCTTAATCTTGGAATGTTTGAAAGCTCCCCAAATTTTTATAGATTTTTGAATAATTGATGTACCGCACTAGTCGAGCTGTTGCTCCAGACCAGTCCATTATCGACAGCTGCATATATCGAGAGTGTAAAAACTTGAAAAACCAAACTTCTTGTATCAAGAACTTTTGTCCAGTAGATCGGACCTTATGTTCCAGTGAATCAAACATGATTGACAAAGTTCTGAAATCATTGTTACTTGTTATATTTCACATGTAAAAATGACTGAACTTTGAGGCTGTATATTCAATGAAAAGATTATATTCATACATATCTAGTATGTCATGAGAGAAGTGGAAATGTTTCCATTGAAAAAGGCATACATACTCTCATATATTTCTCAGAAATAAGGTTGATGATTTATTCATCTGTCTTACAGACTCCCCCAAGAAGAAACTCAGGAAATCAGCAGAAAATGTAAGTATAGCCTACAGAGAAACAAACTTGTGTGTTGAGTTTTGAAAATATGTTTTCAAACAGAAATTAAAGGACAACTGAAATAGGTTCTCTCAACTAGCAGCTACGAACATGTGGTTTTCCAACATAGAGTTAATGTTAATGAAATGACAAATAACATGATCAGTCAGATTGGCCCCCATGTGATCAGTGATATCGGGCTTATTTATAGTTCTGGTTTATTTATGTCTTGGTTATTGTGACATCATAGCAACCTCAAGATTGTTGTGCATGCAAATAACATAACATTAGTGGGCCAAAATATGTCACAAAACATCTAAATATTGCTTTCTGTAGAATGAAACAGTTGCCACTTTACTGATAAGATGACATGTCTTATAGAATTGATTTCTTGTGAGGTTTGAATTACTATTTCAGTTGTGCTTAACTCCCATTTACACATTAAGGTGGACTTTGTGGGATGACTTACTAGTATAAGTTGAATAACTAGTCTACTCCTGCTACCTTAAAATCTACATAAAAATGTGTATTTTAATGAACTCGACTTTTACTGGATAAAACTTGTGATAGACCCTTCAGAAAATAATTGTATATGGCCTTTACATATCAATTTGAAAACCTACCAACTCATTTTGTTACTGAGATTTTTTTTATTTATTTCATTTTCATTACTTCATATTTCCAACAATAAACTAACAACTGATGACAATATCATTGAATGTCTGAAACACTTTGGTTATTTGCTTCCAGAAAAGTCCAACACGGTCGCCACGTAAAAGTCCCGCCACATCGAGACAATCAGATCTGACAGTGTCATCACCTGAAGGAACAAATAAACTCTCACTCAAAATTACTCCAAAAAAGCAACATGCTGAAGGTAAACAATATTGAAGTTTGATATTTATTCTCTTTTTTATATTTCTTATTTTTTGATGAATATTGAACTTGTCCTGCTGAGTTGAATACCATAGCATGATATATGGGAAAAGAACTACATGCTTGATATGTAACCATTTTTAAGTAAGTTGTATCAAGCCCCTGTGTTGCCCTAGCATTCATTAGGTGTAAATTGCTCCTTATTAGTCAGATAATGAGGTAGATGTATTTTCGACCACTCAAAATTAAGCTATATGAAGAATGTATTCATGTTTACAATTATTATCTTATTTGTTATTTTTCCATTGCAGATCCAGCTCCTGGCAAAGCCAACAACCAAGCACAACCCCCACAGGCTTCTCGTCCTACAAGTCATGCTGCTAAAGTCTCTCATGCAGGTCACACCCTACCCCAGCAGCCCAGTCGGCCCACAAACACCGCCATTGCAAAACCACCTCCATCCAGAAATACAAGTATGTAGCATAGCGTAAAATCAATTTTTTCAACATGCATGGTTTTCCTTGCGAGTATTTGTGTTTTCTTGTATATCAGATGGAGAAGAGTCTTTTGGCTTGTTTTACAAGATGGTAAAGTATTTTAGAAATGCTTAGTTCTTGTGAGAACCTTGAAATAATGGGTTTACTTGAACAAATCCCAACAATAAGTACCCATGTATCTGAGGTCTACAGGTCACTCTAAGTCATTGCTGAATTTAAGTCTTTATTGTTTCTTTCAGTCACACCTCAAGTTTCTCAACAGAATACAGCTCTCGGGTCCCTCCTGACAAAACCCATCAGTGTGTCTCCACCAGCCCCACCCACACAACCAATACATGTAGATGTAAAACCCCCAGATGTCCACACCAATAACATTATGCCTTCTTCATCACCGGATCTTAATACACCACCTATTGACAGGAAAGATGCGGTGAAGTTTATCCTGGGTGGAGATGACTCTAACAGTCCTAAACCTAGCCCCAAGCCAGCTCCCCCTGGGGCCACTGTCTGTAAGTAGATATCGTCATTATTAAATGTACCATTAATGATATTTAATCAAACAAACCCATAAAGCTATTCCTCTGTGAAAAACAGTTGTTTTGTAATACTGAGTAATAGTTGATGCTTATGAACCAAGTGGCTAATCAGTTCTTTGGTTAAATAAAGGAATAAATAATGACAGGCCATTCAATATGGTGAAATTCAGCAAGACTAGGACAGAAGGTCATACTAAGCAGAAGGTGAGTGCATTTGTACTGACATTCTGTCCAACGACTGTAAAATTGGTCGTGCATCTCTGGAGAATTAGAACATTCTATATTGGCTATGCTGCATTTTGATTGGTCGAGAAATTCAATTAGGCCACAGTCATGTTTAATTGTAAATCTGTATTGGTTCTTTTGCAATTGAACTTATAGAATCTAAATGGTTTCATGAGGTTGAGAAAAGGAATGAATCGTAGGAATCACATAATGTAAGTGAATGTTTTCTTGCAGCATCAAGTGGTGTTGGTTTATCATTTGGCCACAGTAATACAGCCCCCTCTAACTCAGGAAGTAAAGATAAAGAGAAGATATCAGAAAAACAACCATCTAGTCAGGCATTGGACCAAGCCAAGAAGGTAGGCATTTCATTCTTTATCAACTAGTGGTGATTTTGGCGTTTTATTTTTATTTTGTCACCACCAAAAGTGGTGACATATTGTTATTTGTCTCCATTTTTGTGACGGTGGTTGGCATATGGTATTCGGCATCTCTATAACAAATGGTAGGTGGTGACATTTTGCATGTTAATGCCTTGTTCACTCTTGCTTTGTCTTATTTATATATTTTTCTCAAATAAAGTAGGTTTTTTTGGTTAACTGTATCATGTCGAATTATTAATGTTAAAAGTAAAATGTGATAATATCTATGCATACATTGATAATATGGATTCAAGACTTAATATTGAATACTATTGTATCGTTTATCTGAATGATGTAACTGTATTTTTTATGGCTATAGTGACAGCGTATGGCATTACCAAAGATCTTTTCCATATGATGCAGAATTTTTACTACTTAACCTTTACCACTTTACCAAATTTATTTTCAACTTACTGTGAGAAATTCTAGTGAAACCCCTGATCATGCTTCTCTTTCTTTGATTCAGGCTGATGTAAAGTTGAAGAATGTCCAGTCGTGGTCCAGTCTGGCTAACCTTAGTGCCAGTCAGGGTAACGCCTCTATGAAACGTGGAGTCACCAACAGCTTTGAGGCATTCAAGAAACAGAAGAAAGAAAAGGAAGAGAGGGTGGGTAGAAGTTATTATTATTAGTTGTATTGCAATAATGTACACATGTAGACATTTATGCCGGTGGTAACTTAGTAGAAGGCTTAGTTTGTAAAAAATGTGATGGGAAGAGCAATACATTCCATAGGCATAGACAATGACCTTAAAAATCACTTTAATTTTCTAGGAGCGTGCCCAAGCAGAGTTGGCTGATCGTTTGCGTATACAGCGTGAAGCAGAAGAACGCATGCGACAACGTAAGGAGCAAGACAGGCAACGAGAGCGTGATGAGCAAGAGGCTCTAGAAAGAGCTAGGAAGGCACACCAACAGAGAGAGGAGGAGTCTAAGCAGAAGCTGGCACAACAGAAGATCCAACAAGAGAGAGAGGCTGAAAGGGAGAGGATGCAAAGAGAAAGGATGAAGGAGCAGGCAAAGAGGAAACGAATGCAGGTCAGTATTACATGGTTTCATGAGACTTTAAGGGCAAGGCTGAATCATTCTGTTGGTCAAATCACCTCTTTAAGGTATTATGTAGCTGTTGATGCTTGCTACTAAATTCTACATGCTTGTAAATGATTAATGTATTTTGACCCCCAAAGAGATAGTTACCATTCTTACACTTTTGTATGATCATTTCAAATAAAAAATATTGTTCTAGAATTAAACAGAACATCGCATATTACCACTGATTTGGTGAGTTCTGAATGGATTGCTTTATTTCAAAAGGCAAAACCAACCCAGTGTCTTCAAATACTTTATAAAACACTATTGAGTTTCTCAAATCTTCACTACAAGTGTTATTAAAAAAAACATAAATAAAAATGGGGTTAATGAAAAATTCTCTTTTTCAGATGGCGAGCAATACAATAGACATGAATGAACAAAGTGAACTGATGGCATCGTTTGAAGAAAACTTCTAACACATGACATTCTAGGAAATAATGTACTCTATATTTAATCTATAACAAACACTTAAATGTGAATCCAACTAAACTGAAGTGATTTGAGATGAAGCAAATGTTTTCCAATACTGGCACAACATGGACGAGTTTTACCTTCGCAACAGACTGTGTTGAATGGAATTCTATGGGACTTACTGGGTTACATAACTGTAGCATTAATGGGGTGAAGAATATTTAGATAATAATTTGTAGTCACATTTAACTGCAATAATAGTTAGACTGTTCAGCATACTTTCTAAAAAACGTAGTCTTAACGAAGCATTAGTTTATAAAAAATATGAGAATTAATTCATCATTATGGTGCATTGTTGAACATTTTCTTGCCAGATTTCAGGCATGCATGCCTTTTCCTCTTTCTGATGTGTAACATTGAATTGAATATGTGTATGATGTACAATACTTATACATAGTCATGGAAACAAAATTCAAGCATACCACAACATTGAAAAGCAAACGAAAAACTTCAAAATATTCTGCTATATATTTGTATAGCATTAAAAGCCAAAGAAAAATGCAGGTCATTTATTGGATATGGTCTTTGATTTGTATAAATCTATATTATTTGATTATTGTATCGGTTAAAATGAATGTTTGTTACTGCTCGTGAGTTGTATCTACAAACATCAAAAATGACAAAAATGAAATGTTCAATAAAAATGTGTGTCTTGTATATGTGTCTTTTGCCCATTGTAAAATATTGCATCTCTTTATATTAATTCTCATTTTTTGTCACATGGCATATTATGTAATGTATATATACTGTTTATGTAAATGAATGTTATATGCACCATCGGCCATTGGTACATTAAACTTGTAAATGTTCTCGATACACGGATAGTCAAAGCTTAGCTTTTACTTTGTATTTTAATTCTTGGAGTAGCTTAGTTAATTGAGATGTTGCAATACACAGATAGAATTTTGGTTAGTCAAGAAAAGTATCAAACCAAAATAAGCAGTCTACTATGTAATATTGTATATATTCCATGTAGGTGTGAGTTGGTGTTAAGTTCATTGCTAGTTGTTTTGTTTTGTTACTAAAGTTGTTTTGTACAAATGATAATAGTTTATCCATTTTAGTAGTCTCCATGTAAAACATGTTCTATATTTGTGATATAAATAAAAATAATTGTCATATATTGTGAACTGAAGCCACAATAACAAACTTTTGTTTTCAATTTACCTGTAATAATATTACATTACCTGATCATATGGTGGCAACTATATTGCCTTATATGGTTTTGTAATGGATATGAGTTCATTGAAATACAGTGTAGAGTTTGTTATTCACTCTTCAGTGATGTAATATGTAGGTAGATGTAGTCTTAACTAGTTAGGAAAATAACTAACAATACAACAAATATACAATGTATGAATTGTATGAGCAGATATACCTCTTAAACACATTGGCTTTCTAGATTCAAGACAAATTGATTTGTTCTTGTATCATCATGCTTAACTTGTGATGCAATAACTCCTTGAGTTCGTCTTAATCATCCTAACTTTGAAAAAAGGTTAAAAATCCATGCACTGCTTTCAAAATACCAAAATATATCATATATTATTATAGCATAGTGCACATAGAAGATATGACTTGGTGTGTAAGATATATGTGGTGTATTATTGTACACTAAACCTTGTATATAATTTAATTAGTCATATTATTGTATTTATATGTAGGAAACATCCCAGGTATCTTGCACACCTCAGCGTATATATTATCTCGTTTCCAGCATAGTTTCTTCTCTGTTCAAAGAGTGTTAATTTGATCTCATGTTTGGTTAGTATTAAAGTAAAGCAATACATTTCATTGAAGTTAGCTAAATGTATTTCCTTAACTTTGAATTTTACAGCTATTTGGAATGATTTAATGCAATGTATGTATCACTTGCTTGTAATGTTCATTTCCACTCTATGTTAAGTTGTAGTTTTTCTGAATTCACTAAATATGTTAAGTCCAAATCATTGGTGTATATTTCATAGTTAAACTGTAGCATGTAGATATAGATGAGATATATCGGTAGAGGCCTCTTTATTTAAATTGAGGAAATGGAAGTTTAAAAGGGGAATCTACCAGTATACTATGTTATTCAGTTAACATGCAAGGGCAGATGATATTAGCTTGATCCATACTTTTCCTGCAAACCCAAAAATATTTATGGGAAATGGGTATTGACACTGCATTGCACTTAACAGATATTTATGGAGAATGGGTATTGACACTGCATTGCACTTAACAGATATTTATGGGGAATGGGTATTGACACTGCATTGCACTTAACAGATATTTATGGGGAATGGGCATTGACACTGCATTTCACTTAACGGATATTTATGGGGAATGGGTATTGACACTGCATTGCACTTAACAGATATTTATGGGGAATGGGCATTGACACTACATTTCACTTAAAGGATATTTATGGGGAATGGGTATTGACACCGCATTGCACTTAACGGATATTTATGGGGAATGGGTATTGACACTGCATTGCTCTTAACATGTATTTTTTATCTAAAAAGTTTTAAAACAGCAAATATATATTTCTTGTAGGCCCCTAATAGCTTGTCTTCAAGAGCTGATATGATCTGCCCTTTAATGTTATAACTACAGTAATATATTTAGTCTTTCTTAAACGACAATGAAGTATTACAAGTGTCTTTTTGATGGTCGAAAACATTGATTTTGAATGAATTGTTTATATTTTCAAAATGTACAAGATGTGAACTTGGATGTTTCTATGTTTCTATTAAAGTCATACTTTTATGTAATTGTATCAGTCCATATTGGATAAACTGAAGAACTTGCTACTCTAAATGGATTTTCAAAACTAGGACCTGTGATGAATTCATTTAAACTTTGATTTAAATTCTTGGCTGTATTTAAATATTCCACTTTCCTTATTGTAAAAAGTGTAATATAAATCCTATTCTTGATGTATTTTTGTCAATTCAGCAATTTAGATCATATTGTCTCAACATGTGACATCTTATTTTTTGTAATTTTGTATTTATTTGTTAGTGTAGAAAAAGCAAACTAAATGTGGCAAAAGGTCAAAGTCACTATTAGGTAACCCACAACTAACTTTTGGCCAAATTGTTGTGGAGTTGGCAATGAAAAATAAAGAAACAATTTAAATTATGAAGAAAAAAAACAAATAATTGTGTTTAGTTTTATATACCATATTATGTTTGACAGTTTCAGATGTAGTTTAGCCATAACTTTTTGAAACCCATTTGACTCTTTATTATCTGCAAAAATATCTTACCATCATTTGAATCCATTATGAATTATTTTCCTTACCCAAAGTATGTTATCATTGTTAGGAAATTACAAATAAAGGAATTATCTCCCAATTGTAGCTACCTCCCATTGTGAAACCCTGTCTTCATGTAAGGATGAACATTTTAATAAATGCTTTTCGAAAAATGTTTTTCTGGCGTAATTAAGCAAAATGAGAGCTTAGTTATTCTACAACAAAACAAAGATTTGAAGTGAAAATTAATGTCAACCAAGATATCACATTGCTGTGCAGTATTCAGATAAAAATTGATGGAATGTGGAAGAATGAGATCAACTCGTATGAACTATGGCTTTTCTTTACAAAAAGCTTGTGATAATTTACATGATTTACACCAATAATCTTTTTTTGAAACATTGGAATGGCTATATGCCATGGGCCTCCCTTTCGCAAGTGCTCAAACATAACTAGAAATCATCAATTCCACGGAGTAGCAAATCCTTAGAACACTTTATGAATCTATATATGTCACAATGTAATATTTACTTTCTACTCTACCCTTAATTAATTGGCACATATTCTAAGGCAGAAATCATAAAGACAATACAATGTTTGAGATCAGTAGATCTAATAGAGTATAATGTAATCATACTTAGAAGAGATCTCTATGTAATAGTGAATTCCTGCTCTAGGCAATGTTCGAAGGGATATAGGGAATGCCTCCATTCTATGTATATCCGTCCAGATGATAACTCAAATACTGTCGGCCTTTTCTTCATGTTTTGTACACATATGCCCTATGGGAGTAGAAGTTCTACCCAAAAGCTGATTTTTAAAATGGTCGCTTGTTTAAAAATGGCAGCCCTTTTAGTGCCGATTTTATAGTAATTTAAGTGCAATATATAAAACTGTAATAGCAATATGTTTTAAATGTAAAAAAGTTACATAGGACATTAATAAAGCGAGAAATGTAGATATTCAAGAAACACATGGCAGCCATCTTGAAAAATGGCGGCCTTTACATGTTACCTAACTTGAAAAGTAATAGAGCGATTTTGTTCATATTTGGTGTGTGCATACTCATAAGCATGACACAATGTTTTTTGACACTCTCAGGCCTCCTTGACGTCCATCAACGTGAACATCAGTTCTGACATTGTGGACTATGTTCCTTGCACTCCAACCATGATTCTCACATCGCAAACGTAAAATCTTTAGTTGCGCACCACTATTTCCTCACTCCTGAGCATATTTCTCCACTCAGGCACAGAGATCCGTGCTCACGAACCAATATGTACAAGTTTAACACCACTTTTGGTGGTGACATAAAAACATTGAGTTTAGTACTAGTAGTTGTCCCACATGTCTGTTTGTCTGACCATTTTTATGACATGCCGGTACATCAATGGTCCTGGCTCCATTTGTCTTGTTTTGAGAATTTTCACCATGTGAGCTATCATTTTTTCTTAGTGCTCCTGCCCATGTTCAAGAATTTATATATATAAATGTACATAGAGAGATAGGAGATTTTTATTGATTATGAGGATTATTGCAACCTAAAAGGTAGTCGATCCCATTTTCACAAATGAAATGTTACAAACAGCAATAGTTAGAATTTTTACAAGTAGAGCGAAGACAGCCATTTTTGTCGCCATTCTTTCATCCGTCCACAAATGATGTGAGCTCACAAGGCATAATAATCCAAACATCTCTTATGTTGCTTGAGTGTAACATCCCACCTTGAGGAAAAAAGTATTAAGGTAGTGCCAAAACAGAAATTATAGACAAACCTGCCTGTTTCTTACCATATTGAACATTGAGAAATATTAACATACATTTCCCCCACACATTCCTGATGTGACATATTTATACTCGATTTAGTCCCTAAAGGTGTATATTATCAATACTTTTAAATGCTGTTATTCATGTATTCCAATAATATTAACATAACCATGGGGTAATATTAATAATTTTATTAATCTTTATATAAATAAAAGATCTCTTGTTATTACTACTGATAAACATGATAAATGGCGAATTATGATTAAATTCAACATTTATGGCACACAGCTTCTGAAACATCCAATGGTTCTGAGTATAACACCAATACATACTAAAATTGACTCTATGCGACCATTAGTGTTTCCTCATTTCCACCAAAAGTTGAAATAATTTAATTTAAATTAATAAATCAATGAAGGAATAATGGAATATCATTGTATAAACAATTATACAGTGTATATTATAATTGTACTTATTCATATGTCAAATCTGCATTAACACTTCTATATACATTGATGAATCCTACTCATTAATTTTAGATACAATGTCTATCTTTAATTCATTATTGCAATTCGTCTATTTGACTATCTTCACAAAACATGCATGTTTAGTGTTTACATCTGTCCTATTGGTTTGTGTCAATAATGTTGCATTGAAATACACTATATAATCAAATATTCAATCTGATTCAATATCTTCTTGTGAGATTTTGAGAACATTTTATATGTAAGTGTATACTAGTACACATTGAATTCCACCTGTTGACAGTCCTTATTGGTATTCATTAAATTGCACCTCTGTGACCAGGCCCATAGCCGGGTTCGATGGGTTCGAGCAACCCCCCCTGGCCAAAAATTCTTACAAAATGATGCAGTTTTTCACCATTCTGAGCACTTTTTAAGTGATTTTGGCCATTTTTGGACCAAAATTATCAAAAGTGAACCCCCCTGGAATTTTTCAAAAAGTGAACCTCCCTTTGGCAAATCCTGGCTACGGGCCTGTATGGTGACCATATATATCACTCTTATATTAAATTATACCATTTCTGTGGTGAACATAGACTACCATGGCTATACACCCACCCCTTTATATTAAACTTTCAAAGAGCAAGTGGCAGATAAGGGGCATGGTAATAACCAGAATGCAGCCTAACTCAATATTATATGTCTTTATAATCTTGCATACAGCCCCCCCCCCCTAATATTATACACATTATGTATAATATTTTGAGGAAAAAAGACAATAGACCAGAGACTTGGTACAAGATTATTGGAAATATAGAAAAATAACTACTGTACTTTAATATTATTTGTATTGTAATATCATTTTCTCACTTTTAAACGTAAATTTCAACTGGAATACACCAAATGAAATGACACTTTCTCATATGGAAAACACCAGAAATCATTCATAAAAGTGACAACTTTGCTCTGGTATTTCTCCAAACGGACATTACGAATATTACAAACTTTTATAAATAATTATGCATTGGTACCCTTGTGATTGATATGTTTTCAGTAAATAGACCATAATGGACTAGATAATGCATGAAATTACGGTCAAACTACATGCCCACCGTGCAAATCTTTGTTTACATTTAGATCTTTTGTTTACTGCAACTGCGCATGCGCTGAAAGCTGACCTTGCATTACAGCTGGAAATGTTTTTAAATGTTGAAAACGTAACAAAATACCATTCCTACTGAATAATAGTCGATGTTTTTGGACTTAATTGAACGCTTTATATGTGATGAATGTTCATGCAATGTAAAGTCTACGTGGATTTAATATATACACTGAAACATACACAAGGTAGGCTAATATTATTCTATTCGCCACTTTTTATGTGGACATACAATGTTTGAATGCAATGCTGCTTGATTTCCAAACTGAAGTTGTAGTACTAGTCTCTTGGACATATGGGCCTTATGATGATTACGGTTCCAAATCAAACAACTACATTGCAAAGGGTCCATTCATCCAAACCTGGTAAACTTCAGTTTTGTTGAGAAAATGTAACATTTTGGAACAAAACAAATGACAGGTGGATTTTTTATCACCAAATCCAAACCTTGGTGTTTTGAAAGCCCTATAGTCTCAGATATTGTCTAGATCAGATACATATCCTTTTGTGTATTTGTTACATTTTCATATACTCTCATTTACTGACGTATGGCTCCTTGAAAATTAA